GAGTTAAGGCTTGGGTGTGATGGTCCGGTAGTAATGCCATCACCATTATCTTCAGCATCTGAGTCGTCGTATCGTTTGACGTTGGAGGTGATGTCGGCCATAAGAGCATTGGCTGTGGATGCGCTGAGCTTGGGCTTGTGCATTTGGATAAGACGGGGCTTCTCAATAACAACATCATCGTCATCATCCATCTCAGAGAACTCAGCATCGTCGCCATTCTGGCCGGGGATACCAGGGAGGGGCTTCCTGCGTGGTACTCCGCTCTTAGCACGTACCGACCCGAATGAGGTCGGTCCAAGACCTCCATAGCCTTGTTCGGATATGACTGGCACGTCGCCCTCCATCTTTTCTCGCAATTCCCTAAGCTTCTCACTTGGCTGCAGGTTCAGAGTCCTGCCTTCCAAGGTGGCTTGGGTCCTGGCTCTCTGAAGCTGAATCTCTAATCTGTTCATCAGACGTTCACGATCCATGATACCTTGCATTTGAGCAGGGTCCGTAGCACCAAGGCCATCTTTGCCAGATTTCTTCGCTGCTGACGCTGCAACATCCTGGGCGTCTCTAAGCATCAGGTACAGTTCACGCGTCTCCAGCTCGTTTCGTTGCAGCTCTTGTGCTCGTATCCTCTGCATCTCGGCAAGTTCTGCCTTCATCGATTCGACCTGTCTGCCACGGAGCTCAATGATGCGTTCTTGCTCTGACAGTTGTTTCTGGAGCTTCGACACCAAGCCATCAGCTCCCAGTTCGAGCTGCGCTTTCATCTCATCACGCTCGGCAATGGCTGAGTCTGCAATCTGGCGTGCTTCGACAGCCTCGTCGCGTACTTGGCGGGCTTCAGAGTCGGTATAGAGCTTGTCGAGCAAAGACTGAACAGTAAAGTTCAAGCTTTGCTTCAGATCCATGTCTGGCAGTCTGCGGTCCATAGCCACATAACTGAGCATTTGATCTACCAATTGGAACATGCGTAACCGGTCTTCGCTCTCTGTATCCCGCATCAGCAGCAGGTGTTGCATGGCTGACGTGAAGTAATCCTGTGCCCTGGTTCCGCTAATCTTGCTCATGATGGCGTCTGTGATTTGCAGAGGATCATTGAGATCCTTGGTCTCGCCCTCGACATTGTCCATCATGGAGCTGTTCTCCTTTTGGAGGAAGTCTTCGTAGTCGACAGCTTCATTTTCGAGGTAGTGCTCGATTTGTTTGTCAATGACGTCGTACTGGAAGCCCTCCATCTTGTTGAAGATGCGCTTGATGCCACATGCTGTGAACTGAGCTCGCACGTGCATCCTAAGCTGGAGATCACGCTCTGGCGCATCGACAATCATGTTGATGAGGAAGAGGGTTGCAATGGCGTATTCCATGAGGAGGTTCTCTACACCAATTCCTCCACTGCGGACTTCGTCTGATGCGCCGACCATGGATCCCATCTTGCCGCGGCCATCGACCGTGACCTCGACGATACGCATCCATGCGTCGAATCGGCTGTTTTCGCCATATTGTGATTTGAGGTTGTCGAGTGCTTGTAGCACTTTTTCGTGTCCGCTTCCGTTGCCCCAGTGGCACAAGAAAGTCAAGACATCCGAGACGAGTTTCCGTGTATTCAGTCGTGATGATATTAAAGAACCACATAGCGCCTGTATGATTGACGGGTGGTTCAAGGCGTTGTCGGCGCCATATTTGTTGTTCATCAGCGCCTTCAGGCACTTGATAATTTCGTATTCGCGTTCCACATCATTTTCTGCTTTTTGTGCAATGACGCTGGGTGGGGGTTGAGGCCCTGTGCCTTTTCTGCGGTTGATCTTGGCCAGGACATTCGTAAGGGCGATTTGACCCTGGGCTTCGATGAAGCCCCTAACCCAGGCAATCGGCTGAGTTCTCAAGCTAATCTCCAAACTTGACATTTGCTTGATCGTTATCGAGTTGTCCATGACCTTTTTGACATACCACTCGGGGGATCCTTCTTCTTCTGCTCGTATCAAAATGTCTTGGTTTCCAACCATACCTCCTCCTCCGCCGCCGCCTCCATATGTTATCCGTTGCGTCTGGCGCTTCTTCTCTTCATGCTTGAATTCGGCAAGCTTGTCCTGGTACACAAGCGTCCACTTTTTGTCAATCTTGTATGCCTCCATCTGCCGCCGCGCCTGTTCTGGTAAACTCTTCCATCCTCGCTTGACCATGAGGTTCATAAACTCTTTCTCGACGATGTGGTCGGGGGGCCGTTGTATGCTGAGGGTATTTTGGGGAAAGGAGGCCGTCGAGGCCGTCGGGGACGATACATTGTAGTGTAGCAAGTGACGGTGCGAGTCGCGGGGGGCTGATGCGGCGGTGGGCAGGAGGCTGCCGGGGTCGAGGCCTACGGACGAAAATGTCGACTGCGACGAGTTTTGGGGGTAGAAGGTGTTGCTCGCACGCGATCTGGAGTCGTTGCTGTAGACGCTGGCCTGGTCGGACGAGGTGCGCGAAAAGCTGGCGTCGTTTTGGGGGTACTGGGGATAGGAGCCGTCTCTGCTGCTGCCGCGAGTGCCCCATTGCTGCATCGAGACACCACGGTCGCCCGGGTTGCTCGAGGCAATGGTCGTGTGCGACGAGTGCGGCGGGGGCCTGGGCGGGCCCTGGTTTGCGTAGCCGTTGGGAGGCATGTTGGTGCCAGTGAAGACGGGGTACTGGTGGAAGTCGCCGCCGCCCTTGTTCAGGTGGTGTGGCAGCGGTTCGCCCGACTTGAAGTTGTCGTCTCGGGGCGAGTCAATCGATGACACGGGGCCTGCTCGCGCAAAGATGCCCTCGGCGGTCATGGACACGGGCCTCTGGTCTATGGACGCGCCGCCGATGGAATGTCTTTGCGAGTGGCGGGACGACTGGGAGCCGTATGAACTGCCCGGGGGGCTGTCAATCGAAGACGAGGCAGTATGCTTTGAATCGGTGCCGCCCTTCTCCTTGTCCTTGTGCAGACGGCGTCCGAAGAACTTGCCGGCGGAAGATTGCCGACCCTTGCCATCCATCCCTATAGCGAGATTCTGTGCCCAATGCAGCCGACCTGGAGCGCGCCGCCCGACGAGTGCTCCGTTCCCCTCGGTGCAGATGCACTACCGCCACTCGCGAACTCTGGCGGCACGGGGCAAGCGATGGCAGGCCGTGACTGCGGTTCAGTGTACAGGTGCAGCGAAGGTGCGGGGCTTTTGCTTTTGGGGCGTTGGAGTAATAGAGAATCCCTTTGAAGGGAGGGGGGGGAGGGGGGCTCTGTGGTGGGCAATGCGGCTGCAGGTCAGTCGCGGGAAGTTGCCGAGTACTAGCGCCTCCTCCTGAAGAGAGAAGAGAAGCGCGCCACAACGCCCAACTGGGCTGGGGTGGGTAGACGAATGAGATGGGTGGATGTGGTAGTATTGCGACCACGGTGCGTAGTCTGTGTGGATGGTAGCCCTCCCAGGACGGGCGCTTTTTTGGTCTGCGGTGCTACATGTATGTGTCCATGTAGTATGGATACCGGTAGGTACACAGACATACTAGAGCAAGATTCACACACTCCACCCACGGCCAAAACGCACTCCTCGTTACAGCGCGCAGAGGGCCGCTCCGCAACTGTCTCGTCCGTGTATGTGCGTGAGAGCCGTGGCCTGAGGCCCGCCCGCCCTGGCCCCGACGTTCTCCTGAGACGTGCGCAATCTGCAATGTCCGTGTGGGCGTGGCGCCATAGCCCGTAGTTTGCAGGCACCGTACGAGTACGAGTAGAGTACACAGTAAGTAAGAGTAGGGAGCCCCCTAGCTCCTACGCCTGGCCGCTCCAAGCCATTCCCGGCCAACCCAACCCCATCCGCAAACCTTCATTCTCCCATCCTGTCCCCCCCCCCAAAAAAAGCCCAGAACGCGTCTGTCCGTTTTGCGCGGGACCAAAGTGAGCTGTGGCGCAGCAGGCACCCTCCCACCGCCGCCTGCATAACCGCCTGTCGCCTGTCACACCTCTCTGACGTCTCTGGCCCCTCGTGTCTCAGCGATCCAGATCCGTGGCCCGGCCTAGACAGTCGCAGTCCCGCGTCGCCCGCCTCTTCGCCCACTAGACCTCTCTCTCTCTCCACATACATGCATCCGCAGTCATGGCGGGCTCGACGCATTTCTTAAAGGTGAGTTTGGACTACTGTATACTCCACATACAAACACCGTACATAAATACATACATAGAGAGAGACGTGACATGGCTGACAAAACCACGCGCCCCAAAGACCATTCTCGTGCCGCTCTTCCTCGCCGCCATCCTCTATGTCCTGCTCGCCCTTATCATCCTGCCCTTTGTGCGCCGCCACCGCAGCCGCTACAGCCAGTACCTGCCTGTGACCCCAGGCGTCACCGACTTCCCAACCTCTTGGCGCACAAAACTCTCCGACGCGCTATACGGCCTGTTTGCCCCTTCGGCCTGGGTGAGACAGCGCGGCGTCGTCCACGGAAACAGCCAGAACGACGACGAGCTCTTTGACGATGAAGAGGGCGAGGGCATGGTCGGCTTTGACCCGATTGACGAAAGGAGGAGAGAGGCCCTTGAGCAGCGCAGAAGCATGATGGACGACGAGATTCGTCTTGGCAGGGACCTTGAGGAAGGCTTCAAGGACGACAGCGAGGATGAGAGCGATGACGACACCCGCCCTTCGCGCTCACGGCACCCATGACACCACCGCCTCCACTGCCAATCCCCTAAAAAAAGACACACCTTCTTCCTCACCTTGCATTTACCTATAATCTGATTCCTTTCCTTGGTCTGATACCGTTTCCTAGCAAACACAAACACAAACACCCATGCCATGTTCTAGGCTTAAAACAAAGCCAAAGTTTTGCATAAACCACGCATACAGTCTTAGACATCACTCATCGGCGAAACATGCATAGACTTTCAGTGAATATATTCATATACATGGGGGTTGGGCGGGTGATTACATCCAGCGCCCTGTTAACTAAAAGGAAATTCGTCCCAAATCGCTCAAAATGGTCGCTAGCCTGCCACACATGCCAGTGTGGCCCGTTTACTTGCGCTGACCGTACGCCTTGGTCGCATAATCGCCCTTGTGTACGATAAGGTCCTCGGGCCGGTAGTTGTGGCGGCCAGAGAAGTACTCGTCCAGGATGGCCTTGGTGCCGTCGGCGTAACGCTGCAGTCATAATCAGTATCATCCTTGCCGCAACTCTCTTTTTGGCTCAATCTTACCTTTTGTGCGTCGATGGAGGTACCCGACATGTGGGGAACCATGGCGTTGCCGCCACCCCATGGGTTGGTCGCATAGCGGAGTGGGTGGTCCTTGGGAGCGGGCTGAGGGAACCAGACATCACCACCGTATCCACGAAGGTGGCCGTCCTTGAGAGCCTGTGCGACATCCTCCTTGACAACAATGGCACCACGGGCAGTGTTGACCAGCCACGAGCCCTTCTTCATCTTGGAAATGAGCTCCTTGTTGAACAGACCCCGTGTCTTCTCGTGCAGCGGGCAGTTGATGGTGACAACGTCGCACTGAGCAAGCATCTCCTCGAGGTTCTCAACACGGCGGCAGCCAATCTCCTTCTCCTTCTCCGCGGACAGAGGCTGGTAGTCAAAGTACAGCAGCTCCTTGCAGTCGAAAGGCTTGAGACGGCGGAGCACACGCTCTCCGATACGTCCGACAGCAACGGTTCCGACAACCTTGCCCTCGAGGTCGTACTCGTTCTTAGCGACCTCAGCAACGTTCCATTCACCCTTGGCAATCTGCTCGTGGGCGGGGACAAAGTTGCGGACAAGGGCCAGAATGGTCATGACAACGTGCTCGGCGACAGAGACGACATTGGAGCCAGTAACCTCGGCGACGGTGATACCGCCATTTGTCTTGTTCGCGGCGTTGAGGTCGACGTGGTCAGATCCGATACCAGCAGTAACGGCAAGCTTCAAGTTCTTGGCCTTGGCGAGACGCTCTGCGGTAAGGTAACCGGGGTGGAAACTGTTGATCCCCGAGCAATTAGCCGAAACGTTCCCTCACATCATGGTGTTTGCATTACTAGTGCATGCCGACAGCGAGCTTGACGCGTGCTGGTGGGGCCGCCCTAGTGGGCACTGCGGGGTAGCTCTGACGTACGGAGTGGTGATGATAACCTCAGCATCAACAAGGTGCTTGTCGAACTCGGAGTCCTCGCCCTCCTTGTTGGAGGTGGTTACCAGCTCGTGGCCTTGCTCCTCGATCCATTTCCTGATACCAAGCTCGTTCTCAGTGGTACCGAGAAGCTGGGGCTCCTGCTCGGCGTGGATGCCACCCTACCGTCACCGTTAGACTACAGCACCCAAAGGGGTTCCAATTGCCAAAACTTACATCGTAAAGGACGAGAAGAACTTTTCCCTGTTGTGAAGCAGTCGCGGTCAGCGTTCTGAAAGCATTGGGTTGTCGCAGCGACGAAGTCAATCGGGGTCCGGCGCGAGCGCTGAGGAGGGACGAGGCAGGGCGGGCAAGACGCGAGGCAGCACGGGCAAATACCATTTTGAGTTGTTGGGCTTGTGAGATGCAAAGACTCGAGGTTCCCAAGTGAAGATATATAATAAAATCCTACGCAGGATAGGTCAAGGTACGTGTTCCTGACGCAACATCAGTAAGCCACATGCGGTTCTGCTACAAGGAGCAGGACAAAAGAGGGGGTGCGTGGGTCACAATACCTCTTGCGGGCCGAGGTGACGTCTCTGGCAATATGGAAGACGATTGATCGCGAGATCTATGTACAAAAGGAGGTTGATGTTGTGAGGAAGTAATTGAGGGGTCGTGAGGGGGTTCATTATATATCCTCCGCTCGCCCCCACCACGCGTGTTGTCGCCTTCACTCTTTGGGTCGTGGGCCCCGAGTGTGAAGTTAGTTGGCCCTTTCCCCCACTTGATTCAATGCGACACGGTGCGCGCAAAGACAGGCTGGGCCAGCAGCGGCCCCTGCGGGTACGACGGTCGTGTTTGGGAATTACTTCGCATTGCTCCTGGTGCGGGGTCGCATCCAATGGCGCGAACCAGGTCGAATATGCGCCAGAGCCGGGCACTAGCAGTTGATTTCCTATTCTGGAATCGCGAAGTCTCGCGCGAGAGATGGATAGCGTACGTAGTAGTCAATGGGACGGAGTGGGCCAATACAATTGCTCCGTTGCCGGACCAGCTGCCCGACCGTGATGGCACACATGTGCAGGTGCGTACATCGAGCCTCGTTTTGGGCTTGAGGGATCTTACACGCGCGTACGCGAGTGCTCCATCTCATCAGCCTCCAAGACCTTGATCGAGGGGCTGCGGGGCTATCCATGTATGCAGTTACCCCTCCAATGCAAGTAAGCTGTGTGTCTTGCTGCATACACGGCAGTCTTGTCCCTTGATCATTGAGCTGGTATTGGTGTCTGCGTGTATACAAGAGAAAAACCCGTGTCCAGTATGCCATGGCTACTATGACTGGCGCCACGAATGATCATCCTTAGCTCCGTGGACACGACATCTAGTTGGGTGTGAGTATGTAATAGACGCAGTGCTGGCACACCCAACTCCATATCGAGCATGATGTCGCGGCCAAGCCGATCCAGACGACCGAAACCCAAAATGCCGTCCCGCGGCAGACGCAAATGGGGCTGCCCCCCGCGGTCGAGTCTCGCCTTTCTGCGGCTGCGAGTTGTCGCCGCCAAAAGCCGAACCAAGCTCGCAGCAAAGTAGGACGACGGTCGGTGTTTACCTCGTTCCCTCCGAGTTTCGGTGGTCACGGCCCGGAGATGCTTCTTATCTTTCGGCCGAAACACGGCGCCGACACTACTTCGCCTGCCCCTCCATTGTTCTAGCGAGCGGCAATTCATGGTAAACCCACATCGCCAGCTGACACGATGCATTGCTTCTCCCGATCTAGTAGACTGATCCCGCGGTCTGCTAGTCCTCAGCTTACAGGAGCATTACAAGGTGCACATGTCCCGTTCTTGAGCTGGAATGGAAACTCTTGCCTCTCCCACACCTCATCCTTCGGTCGTGTCTTCGTTTGTGTGGCGTTTTGTGCCTTCCTAAAGTCAAACGGCAATTGCAAAATGGCAAACTGCTACACAGTGTCCACTGTGGACACATGGTTCGAGCACTATCTCCTGCCGGCCATCCACGACCTGCACCAATCTCCATGAACAACTCATCGCTGGGCGTCTTTAGCAAGCTCCATGTTTGTAAATCTTTCAAGAATGACTGCTTCCTTGCGTGCGCTTAAACTGCGCAAAATCGACCACATGGCCTCTACTCTCCACTCTAGGCCACCTGTTTTCTGCCAACTCCAACATCGAAATACTATCATCTCTATATAATGCAACACGCTGAAGAGAATTTCTAACGGATTCTTGCACAATTATGAAAGAGCTCAGTATAATCAACGGAACAAACACCACATATATGAACACCTTGATGGTCCAAAAATGGGACTTTGAGGTCAAGTGGAATGATGGTTGAAGGGATAGTCAAGGTTACAGTGGCTTATGATCATCCACAATGTCCACAAGTCCCCACAGATATAAAAGTTGCTCATATAGCTTCTCCTGGAACTTCACTCCAGCCTGGGCAACCAAAACCTATCAGTTACGAGCACCACAGCAACAATATGCCTTACGACCTGCGAAAACGTAGGACGGACGGTGAGTGTTCGGCTCGGAAACGGGTTGAACTGACGATTTCTGATGGGTCAACAGAATCTACGGCTGCTGATAATCCAGCAGAGACTACAGCTGTTGATAACGCAACAGAAACTATAGCTGCTGATAATCCAACAGAACCTATAGCTGCTGATAATTCAACAGAGCCCACAACTGCTGATGGTTCAGCAGGATCTACAGCTGTTGATGACCCAGCAGAATCCATGGCTACTGATGACCCGGCAGGACCTACAGTTCCTAACACTCCAGTAAGGTTCACTGGCACGTCTACAGGAGGAAAACGCCCAGAAGTCATAAGTCAACTAGGAGACGTTATCCTTGAACTTACCGACAAAACATCTGGAAAGGAACTGCGCAAGCTTTTGGTCTCGTCTGTAGTCCTTAGCCATGCTTCGCGGTTATTTTCCATGATGTTTAGCCATGGCTCCGATAAGGGTGACGCTTTGTCAACAAGTTCACCGCGCACTGTACCACTCCCTGATGATGATCCGAATTCGATTTGTCTGATATGCCTAATCAGTCATCTCAAAATCTTCCAGCTGCCAGAGAGGCTGAATATGACCGAATTCACCAATTTTGTTTATACTTGCCACAAGTACTCGTGCGAAGAAGCTGTCCAGACGCAGTCTTTGCTTTGATGTAACTTCCTATTGCAGAATCCAGAGGACGCAGATTTCGAGAAGCTGATCCTTGCTACGCACTTCCTCGATCTGTTCCGGGCGTTCAACATAGTCACAAGAAGTATAATTCAAGACCGGTCAACCATCACGGACATCGCCACTGCTATGGGAGGGCATGAAACACTGCCAGTAGCTCTCTTTGAGAAAGTGAAAGCTGCCCAGATACTCTCTCAGAAGCAAGTGGAGGAAGCTCTTGGTGCTCTTATGAACGAAAAGGACGCATGCGAAGGATTCAAGTTGCGTGTTGGCACTGTGGTTCATGCGCTCGTGTCCGGAGGAATGTGGCCCCTCGGGAAACAATCCATCAAGAAGGTCAGGGACCGACTGAAGCAGGTTGGTGGTCCTACTACCAGGACTGTGGCCAAGCTTTGCGAAAACCCCAACTGTCCCTGTAAGTCGGCTAACTCTCTAAATGACCAAGTCGTTCGTCAGCTCAAACAGATGTATGCCGATATCAAGGGCATGTGCCTCGACTGTGCGCACCGCAATGGCTTGGGAACACACGAATCTGACATTTTCTTCATGTGTCGCCTTGAGAATTGCCCGGATACCTGAGTCAAACGTTATCGAATAGCGTCACGTATGGCCGGGTTATTGGGCCGTTGCGGTTGCTGCTCTTACATGATGTTGTTAGAAACTGCGGGCTACTTTCGTAAGTTTGTAGGAAAGTGGGAGTATCAAGATTATATCCATGGAGTCTGGTAGTACATGGCTTCATTTGCTTAGATATCAGGTATCACTCAATTACCGGACTAGGTCTCTGCATCTGCTTCAAATAGTGTATAATTTAAAAATACAAATATTTTCTACCTTTACTTTACTAAGATGATTTCCAGAATTGGCTTTTTTTACTATGTAAACTACACAAATGTACTTTTAATCATCTGAAAAACTTCCTCTTTTCCATTTCCTGCCATTACTACCTGCTTCACACGCAAAGTTACACCATCAAGTCCACAAAATGGCCGCAAGACACTCGCCCTCATATCCATATCGCACTCGCTAACCGCATGCGGAAAGTCATCCACCCAATGCACATCCACGACCCTCAAATTCGGCGCAGCCGTCTTTAAAATCTCGCACAATCTCCTCGAACTTCTCAAAAGCATCTCTGTACAATTCTTCAAATCAATCTCATCATACGCAGCCACGGGCTCCATGCGTCCACGTGGCCCACGCGGCTGCCTCTGCCGATAGCAACTAAACCTCGCTATATCGACACGCAACCGCGCCTTCCTCATCATACGCACATATAATGATTTCGGTAGATATTCATATGCGGGATGCTCCAGCATAGTAGCATAGTACTCATACACCCAGGAGCCGTCACTCGGCGTCAATGGATGCAGTTCGAATACCGTCGTCGAGAAGAAGTGCTCGCGCGCTTCTTGGCATACCCTTCTACAAACTAAGAGCAAATTTATCGACGGACAACTTCCGTGTATAGCAATGATAGCATCGTCTCCGAGTACGTAGGAAACTGCATCTTCTCTCTGCTTCTCCTGCGGATCATACGCAGCAATATCCCTGGAACTTCTTACCTTCGTCAGTACATCATTTCGCGTAGAAAAAAAAAGGCAATCCTTCTAGGCAGATACGAATGCACAACGTACGTTATTCCGTATCTTCCGCCACCACTTGCATAGTCGTATATCATGCACCTCAGCTCCGTCGGAAGCCGCAAAAAAGCTGACGTGTCGCTGTCTTGTTGAGAGCGGCCTTCAGACTGAAAAACGTTACAGAGACGCCTTATTGGCTGGCAAAAGCGTTTCATGTACATGTAGCATGGGCGTGGTGGCGGCGGTGGCGGCGACACATATCGTTGTAACTGACACCTGTGATGGGTACACGGCGGCGGATGGAGACGGAGCCACAGTTTACGTGGGAAGTGGTGTGGTGCGAGTAGGAATGTAGTTATCGCCTCGAGGATTCTCCAGAGTAGGGCTGAGGTGCCCCGTTGAAGGATGAAATTGTGGAGGATGGAGTGGACGTACTGAGGTAATAGGCTCTGGGTGTAGAATTGATAGATGAAGCTAAAGATGGCAGCGGGGATGATGCTATTGAGGAAGTCCGCAAGCTTTCTGCCGTACCTAGCCAAACGGCCCATGGTGATCTAGACTCCGTAGACGAGATGTGTACTACATACGTTGTTCGGAAACGCTTGCCTGGTTTCGGTAGGTCGGGCTGGCGGGCTGGCGGGTACACGACGGGAGATCAACGGGTAGTAGTAGCTCGGTTTGTGGAGAGTGGCTTTGAAAGTTGCATATCGTGATACGTACGTGAGACGGACATGGCTGGGATAGATAGATAGATAGTAGCAGGATATGAGTACGTAGGGGTCCTTTGTAGACGTCGCAAGCTGACTGGTTGCCTAGCAGTCTTGCTGTACAACCCTCGTGTCCACAACTTTCTTCGGTTTATCTAGTACTTCATCACTGTGTAGTAACAATGCAAACTCCACTTACCGAGAAGCGAACCCAACATTTCCTATACAACTTCACCTCGACACATCAAGTTTCAAAACACAACATGTGCAAGCACACAAAAACGTTCCTCGTTCCCATGCGGCTGACATGACGTAACCCCTCAAGCCACCATCCCCACAATTTCCCAACTAGTCCTTGGCCCCCCCGATGTCCGAACCTCACCTCCCACTCAGCTTTCCCGCCCCATCCCCTTCTGCATCGTCCACATCCGCGCTGACAGATCACTTACACATCTGCCCCCCCAACTCGGCAATATCAAACAGGATAAAATAAAAAAACCGAAAGCTCTTTCCTTCCTAAGCCACTCGGCTCCTTTCCCCACCTCTCTCTACTTATCTCTCTCCCTTGTTAATATTTCGACACCCCTGCTCGCTACTACTGATTCGCCATGTTTCCCATCTACCCACTCGTGGCGCTACCTCGTAAAGTACAAAACTTGCCAACTTGCATAATCACGCGCTCCTCGGCTTTTGCGTCCGGTAGTCCATCTTGATCGACTTGTTTTTCCCTTTTTGCTCCTGCTCCCGTTCGCGGAACAATCTGCGCCCCTCCCCCCCAAAAACGGGTCGATATTAAAAAGGCGAAGTCACGCACTCTGCCTTTCTGTTGGTTTGGGCAGACATAGGCGAAGGTGTGGTAATAGCGAAAAGGCGGGGGAGGGAAGGTGATACGCTAGAAGCGGAAAGCGGGTGTCCCGTCCGTCACGAGGAGGGGACCCGAAATTGCGTCTTCTGAGGTACCCTAATCTATCGTGCAGGCAACCGTCCTTCTTCTTTCGGTAGTATCAAAGCGTGGAAACCAAGGTGGGGAACGTTTTCGCTTTCACTAGGGATCCCTTTCTTGTTGCAGCTTGTGTTAAGTGAAGGGGTGTTGCCCTTGGAAGGAAGGCCCAAGCGGCGGAATTTTTTGGATCCTTGTTTGTTTGCCGCGTGCGTTGGTATAACGGGGGCTTTGGGTGAGTGGGATATATACCTGTGTGACGGGCGATCAGGGTATAAGAAGCTTTGGGTCCGGGTCTAGACTAACATACGTAGTCTTGACATTGGACTACCTCTTTTACAACCTCGTCACCTGACTTCGATATACACTACAACCGACAGCATTTCATTCAAGATGTTGGCCACGCTCTTCCTTCTCGCCGCCACCATAGCGACACCCGCAATCGCAGGCATCCAGCAATCCGACTTCAGCGGCATCGGCAACATCTACGTGCTCAAATCAGATAACTGGCAGACGGCCACCCCCAAAGCCACAGTTGGCTGCCTCGACAACAACGGCAAATTCATCTCAGAAAAGAGCCCCTCCAACAAATGCGGCGTCTTCTCCCGTCTAGACGATTTCCCCTACACGCTCAGTACCTCAAAGGGAAACTGCACCTTCGAAGACGACAAGCAGGACAAGAATACGGATAGTTACTACGGGAAGACGGATTCGGCGTGGAGTTGTGGTGAGCGTGTCGCAGACATTTATGACCAACTATATACCATCGTACGTCTCCTTCTCCTTCCTCTTAAACATCCGATTACCCTGTTCCACTCGCTAACCAAAATCAGAACGGCTTCCCATACGTCTTCCTTTGCTTCGGCGACGTAGCATGTTTCTACGACGCCAAACACACACCTAGCTCCAATGAGGTACTCCCATTCTGGCAGTACCGCTGGGGCTCCCAACAGATGGGTATCACGCCCGGCCACGTGCAGTTGCAGCTCATGTGGAAGAAGATTGATGACTTACCGGGACGCTCCGAGGCAAGCGAGTTTCTAGGGCCTAGGGTAAGGGTTGAGGAGGGGTCGCAGATCCCGTTGTTGGGAAAGAAGGCTAGGGTTTGAATGCTGTGTGTGTGTGTGTGTGTGCAGGTTGGAGGAACTGAGGGTATATATATAGCTTGCTGTGTGAGGTTTTCTTTTTCTTTTCCAAAGTATATGATATGGGGGATTTTGATTGTTCAAGGTTAGGTTTTTGTGTATATGGTAAGGGGGGTTTTTTTCTCTCTCTCTTGGAATGATCGGAACAAGCGAGTAGAGAGGCGCATGAATGTCGAGTCAAGGTCCAGAAATTTTAAAAAAAAAGATTAAGAATTGAGCATGTGTACATATATATATACTGCACTCTCTGTATTCGCTATCCCATTTTCAATCACATATTCCAAGCCAATTTCTTCTTCTTCTTCTTCTTCTTCTTCTTCTCTTGAAAGAAAAAAAAATCTAATGATGGAGACTTGGGCCTTTTCTCCATCGTACCATTAATCCTTTCCCTTCACCCCAAACCTGATATCACCCTTTTCTACCCGCTTTTTTCCATGCATACTTGTACGACGTTCCGTTGGTGAGTGGAGTGTTGCATGTAGTCTCCATCACGTAGAGAATGATGCAGAAGAAGGTGGAAAAGAACAGGGAAGACGAGGAGGAGGGGGAAGAAGGGGGAAGAAGGGGCGTCTGTTTGGAATTTTGATGTGGAAGATGAATAAGAGGTAGGAAGAAGGAGGTCAGGATTGGAGGAAGAGATGTAGTGTGTTGTGTATGGGACGGGTATGAGAGAGGGGGATGGTGTGTGCGGATATATTGGATTAAGGGTGTTTGGGGGGGGGGGGCGAGATGGCTGGGGATTGGTAGTGTGGTGTTGGTATTCAAGGGGGGTGAACGGTGGTGGTGTGTTGTTTGAGGGTGGATTTGTGGGCTGTTGAAGGGATGGGTTTAGTATTAGACGGTGATGTAACATTGTAACTCCTCCTTCTTTTTCACCATGAAGATAGCAAACACCACATCAGATTTTCTTTTTGTCACTGCATCACCATAACCCCATGAAATAAACTTCAATCTTCAATTTGACTTTTTTTGCACGTATCGGGATATCGTTAGTCCCATACACGTCCCTTATCGCATCTTCAAAGACTCCTATCAAGATAAAAGAAAAGACTCCAAAAAAAAAACCCCCGGTTCTTTCCACACGCCGCGCTAAATCATGACCGACTGCACTCTCTCGTAGTAAGAGTCCAAAAACTCCTTCGAAACCAGCAAACGATTAAAAAGAAGGTTCCCACCGCGCTCATTATATATATGAAATCACCTCGATGCTGACAATTGCGCCGAACAAAGAAAAAAAAGATCCAGATCCGAAACCAGCAAAGAGTTATAGAAAAAACGGAGATGACACCTTCAAACCATGCAGTGTATTGTCGAGCGAGTAGAAAAAAAGGGAAGAAGAGCATGTCTAATCCGAACGCGCGCGCCTTGTAACAAGGGGGTATCAGAATGATTGAGGTTGGTACGCATGTGCTGTCAAGTTCGCGTAAAACGACAGGAAAAAGAAAAAAAGGACGAGTAAACTCGTCTTTTTGTCCGAAAAGCCCAGAGAAGAGGCCAGATCCTGCTGGAAGTAATGGTTGGGCGATTGGAAGCAGAATGCCCGATCAGGATTAAGGAAAAGTTGGTGGTGGGATGGATGTCGGGTGGTGCCCGAAGAAGAACACAGTAAGTGAACCGGTCGTTAGACATCGTAGCTAGGAAATAGACGCTGGAATGATGGGAGGACGCAGATGCAAAGTGTAAGAAATGATGTGTTGACAAGTTCCCGCATGGATTTTGGATTTTCGTTGCTCGTCCTTGTAAGGTGGGCGGCTTTGGAGATTGCTCCGGCAACAAATCGTTCGTAATACTTCTTAATCAATACAGCGGCCACCATCTCACTCTGGTCTATCAAGATTGACCCTGAGACTGTACTCGAGCTTCTCCTTCTCGCAATACTCGTGCAGGAACTTCAGACCAAACCGGACAGCTTGAATGGGCGTTGTATCTATTCCGAGCGGGAGGAAATATGGACCAGACATCTTGGCGCCGCTCACTTTCTCCGGCTCACGTGCTAATTTGGCGTTAACTTCTCGACCTGCATATGTCTTCTTGTAGATGTTTTGCAAGTCCTCAAAAGGCAGAGCGATTCTTGCTTCTTGGTAGTGGCGATTCATCTTCAATGTGTGATCGGAGAGAAGGGCAAAATTTTCAATGTGCTGTCGAGCGGATTCTGGGTGGTTGATATCCTGTGGCGAGTCGTGAGATTTAGAACTGCTGAATCGTTGTGACACGTGAGTGCAGATTGCAGAGGCAATGACAGAGCTAAGGTAGGAGCGGAGACCGTCGAGATGTTGAAAGTCTCTTGTGCATCTGGAATACGACAGACAGAGCGGTAGCAGGGTCTTCCATGTCTGCTCAACTTCACCGGCACGACCGCGGAGGTTTAGCGATAGGTCTTGAGCAAAATATGCGGCCATGTATGCCCTAATTGGTCAGTCAGCCAGTCTAGCCAAAATTGGTAAGAGAGATGAACTTACAAGATACACTCCAGGTTGGTAACGGCAGCTCGCTTTTCGTCCTTTTTGCTGCTGGCGGTGTTTAATATCTTGGTTGCCTCGTGCTTCAGAGCGCGACCTGTTTGGTTCAGCTTCGCCGACGTCTGTCCAAGCAAGGAAATGTCGATTTGCTTCTTGTTGTTCAGGGGTGCGGATGTGGGTCCGGCCTTGAGCTCCGCTTTGGAGCCGGCGGGAGTCGCACCGGAACGACCTGGAGTTGCTTCGTTGCTTTCGGAAGATTGAGTGCGAAGCATGTTTATGGATCTGATGTCCTTCTTGGGTGTCGGGTGGAGTGGATTGCTCTTCTGTATGGAGGGTTTTGCTGAAGCCGCTGGAGATGCCGTGGTCGGTGCAGAAGTGACAGGAAGCTCATTCGTTGAGCTTGCCCGTGGGCGCTTAGCGGGAGGTACCGCCAAGGAGCCATCCTCCTCAGTTCGCAGTCGTTTCTCCACGACCTTGGCACTTGCCGGGGTTGGCTTTGCACTGGTGGTCGGAGTAGAGGTGGATGCTGGTGTGGTTGGCTCTGCCCGCCGAGCAGTGATCTTGGGTGCTGGCTTCTTCTTGATGACAGGCGGATCAGTAACCTTGGGCTGGCTATCTGTCACTGTAGATTTTGGCGTGTCGGTACGTTCTTTCTTCTCGGCACTTGAGCGCTTCGGGGGCAGGCGTAGAATTTGGCTTACAACCTGTGCCTTTGGCTTTGAGAATTTCAGTTTCACAATCATATTGGCATGTGTTTGTTGTGAGGGACTGACTGGTTCGGGGTTTGGCGATTTGCCGTTTACAGATAATGATCGTCCGCGATTCTCAGTCTTGAGAGATGCGCTGGACTTTTGTGATGAGTCGGGCAGCACAGCAACGGGCGCACTCTTGATATCCGACGACGATATAGATACGTCCGAGTCTGCGCGCTTCCGTTGGACCTCTAGCCTGTCCAATTCGGCTTGCACATTGGAGGGTAGCGTGGGCGAAAGAATGGTAGGGAGGCCGTATGGATTGCCAAGGGGTTCTCGAACAGGTGATAGGAGTGGAGGCAAGCCGTGCGGTGTGGAGTCTGAAGGGTCGGACTTTTCCACGTGGCTTTTGTAGCTGGCAGTGTCGCTCTTCTGCGAAGTGGAAGGAGCCCGGGGGCGCGAGCTGACTTGAGGGGCCTCGCGCGTCGCTTTGCGATCGTTGCGCATAGCGTTGGAGGAGCTGTTGTATGTTAGCAGAGCAATTGCGTCTAGAGCGGTGTACCCACGATCTCGGCGATCTGGGCTCGGCCTTTTGCGTGGGTGCAGCGAGCTTTTCGGACTTGGTAGTGCAGTTGACCTGATCTGACGTATTTTTGGTGGGCGCGCGATTGGACAAGCTGGACTTTGCACCAGAAGCAGCCGCGCCGTTGACCTGCTTGACTTTGAAGGCTGACAGATTGGGCTTCTTCTTTGTCGGCTGGCCGTTTACAGTTTGTGACCGTGGCGGCTCCGGCTCCGGCTCCTCGTCTTGGCCGGCTTGTAGCTCGAAGCAGTCCTGGCATGGCTCGCGGTAGAGGTAGGTTCTGTACTGAAGGTGCTCTTCGTCCGGGCGCCACAGCCTTCCTATCATCCAGGCATTGGCTTGTTGCTGTGAATGATAGCGATACGGGTCCAGCGAGGGAGTAGAGAGTATGTAGGGCGTAGGCGGCACCGCGACCTTGATGCGCTTGACGATGGTATCGAGCAGGTCTAGCTCTTCCTGGTCGTTGGCCGAGTAGCGGGAGCGCTTGAGAGGGCGGGAGGGATCGCCGGGGTGCTCAGCTGCATCTGGGCCCGTCATGGCGTACTAGCTCGTGGGATTGAGGGTGGGGGATGTCGCGCGTAGTGGGTATGTCGCAGGCGGGCGGCGGTATGTGCAGTGGGACGAGGTGCGGGAGCGGGGGAGCATTAGAGGAAGCGCTCAGCCGGGACGAGGGCTTCGTATTCAGCGCGCACCAGCACAATAGGATCCAAGGCGTGCGGTTGTTGGTGATGTTGTGGTGAAGGCCTCACCCGCGGTCACGTCGCCGTTGGTGCTGGCGGTGGTGCCTCGGGACCCGCCAGGCTCGGATGGAGGATTGCTGGGGCACAGCGCGATAGTGACGACGGCGGCTATGGACGTGACGGGGTATAGAGGGCGATTTGGCGTTTGCGACGGCACTGGGGGGAGAGGAGCGACATGTCAAGGTGGACATGTCTTGGCATAGAGGCTTGACGTGCGCGCGCAACGCTTCCAGCTCGTCGGAGCCTCTGCGCCGGCCATTGGTCGCCTGCCTGGCACCGACACGCTCTGCTCCACACCACATCACCCGCAGATCCCTTTAGTCGTGCGCCATTGCATTGCATTCACATGAGTACACGGCGTGTCCACGATACACGGCATGCAGCCACGCCTGGGGCTGCAACCCTAGCATTGCCGTCTTTTCCATCATCTGCGCCCGTCGTGCTGGCTCGTTGTCTGTGTTTGCGACGTGCCCTGTCGTCCTAGACCATAGGTGCGCATGCCATCAACCAGCTGCTACTCTACCTGCACTACACTACACTACATATTTACAAAATAGGCTGACGACCCACAGATACAATCCTCTTCACCAGCCACATCTACGTAACAGGAATGCCCAGCCGCATTGTTGCTGCTACTACTTATTTTTCCGTCGGCAGAGGGCAAGGGTCCGCGCCTTGACAGCGCACGTGACCGACAGGGCAGGGCCTTGTTGAGCACAAGTAGTGTACACTCCGACACGCCGTGTAAACTGCATTCTTCAAACTGCATTCCGCAACACTACTCATCGTGGAACCAACAAGACCAAGGCTGCCTCGTGGCAAAGGCTTGTGCAAGCCTTGGTCTGGCCAAGTATCGTCTCTTCGTTATATGGCCGCTACATACCTGGCAATGCACTGTTTCTTCACACAAGCATTCAAGGGTGACTACCTACTCACAATTCCTCATCGTCTGTCTCATCATCCTCGGCGTGGGCTGTTGCGCGCGAGGACTTTGCCGTTGCATCCTTGCTTCGCGTTGCTACTGCCCTTTTGCTGAATGGCAGGACTCGGGGCGGGGGAACGCCCGTAGTCTCTGCGCCTTCCGCTGTGCCACCACCATGTGCAACCTCAGAACCACCCCCGACTGTTTCGGATGATCTCGCTCTTTGACGTGGGGCGGAACCAGTTTCTTCGTCTGTTTCATCATCAGACTGCTCTGGTGTTACAGCATCTTCTACTTCTACTTCTTCTTCTTTTTCTTCTTTTTCTTCTTCGTCACGTTCCTCGTCTTTTGCTTGGTCTATCTCCATCTGATCGCTGTCCGACTCGGGCTCTACTAGTTCAGAAGCTGGCTGCGCTGATTGCGACGAGGCTTTGCGCTTACTTGTTCGTGATGCGCCTGCCTTGCGCCCTCTGGTTTCTCCTCTCGTCGCTTGAACAGCGGTTGCTGCAAAGCAAAAGTCAGTCTTACGAATGTACCTTGGACACCAGACTGGCATTACCTGTCGTCTGGGCAACCTTTGCACCAGCCAATAGGCGGTTTTGGTCTCGGATCTTCCTCTTTTTGTCATTCAGCAGCTCCATAAACTGCTGCAGCATGACAGATTCCGCCTCATTCTTGGTTTTGATAAAGTCATCGAGTTGCGCGGTCAGCTTGGCAACGGTGTCTTGCTCGCTACTTACGCGGGCCTCGAGTTTGGCCATGTGTTGCAATGTTTGTGCGTGTGCCATGGCGGAAGCGCGGGCCCAGTCGAACGGATTAAACTCAAACTCATCGTCCTGGGGTAAGACGATCTCGCCCAAGGTGACCTACACGGGTTAGGCCAGGCTTTCTTGTTCGGTCGTTCAGCTAGCCCACCTTTATGGTTTGAACGTCCTGGCGGAAGGAGATGACTAGTGTTCCACTCTTCAAAGTATACACCATGCGGACGCCGTGCAAGAGATGGGCATGTTGGCTTGCAGGCTGTTTCATCAAGAGGAAATGAGACAAAATTGTCGCCCACTCGTCATCGGTCCCTTTGAACTTGTGCTGCAATTCTGCAAGATTGCGGTGCCGAACTGGGACCGGGGTTAGTCAATGAACTTTGTACCTGCTTTGCAACAAGGGCTTACTGGAAGCAACATATGGGCTTTCGCCCTCGCAGCCAACCAGCCTAACGTCGAGCGGATGGGTGCCCTCGTGCAGGACCTCAACAACAACCGCCTCGCCGCGGCCATCGGCAGGCTCGACGGGGACGATGCAGCAACGAGTGGGCATTGCTGGGGCGCGATGCGTGAGGCGTGATGTGCAGAAGCTAGGCGGTGCTGCGGGAAGTTAGCCGGTAGGGCAGGTTAGGACGCTTGCAGGGCCCGGTCGAGGATCTGAGCGGGTCCAGGGCGGGAGTTGTCGCAAGCGGAGCGGGTCGATGAAGTGCTCCTGAACAGCACCAGGGACTGGCACCGATTGTTTAGCAATACGGCTTCCGGGGTGTTGAAACGGCAATTAATTGACCATGTGAGACGGCAGGGCCATGGGGGTTTATATTGCAGGCTTTGAAGAGGCAGAGGCAGGCAGCATTGCTCTGGGCGTGCGTGGTTAGGGTTTAGTGTTTGTTGATGTCCAGGCATCCGTCCTGCACACGAGGCACGCCACCAGGAGGGAGGAGTCAGGGTCTGACGAGGGCTAAGGCCAGAGGGTGTGAGGGTGTGAGGGTGTGTGGGTGTGTGGGCAGGGCGTGTAGTATATGTGTCCAAGTAAAAGTATATGTACGGATGCCTTTCCCTCGTTGCTTTGATTTTATTCATTCATGCACACACACACGCGCAAACAACTCTGTACACAAACAATAACAACAACAAGGACATGAAGCAAGCAAGCCTACCACTGCACCAGCAACAACATTGGTTCGCCAGCAATCCGCATGCCCGTCCGTTGTTTTTGCCCATCGCAGCCAATTACCAATACCCTTCTCTTACTAGTAGGCCGTCGTCGCTGGCGTCGACACACCCACACAGGCGTGGCTAGCGGGCGGACCACGGGGCGCGCCTTCCTTGAGCTGCCCACCGCCTGCCTCGCTTGTGCTGCAGGAACCTGACAGCCCAGTGACCACCTTCGTGGCCCACCCCCAACCTCCTGCATTGCTCGCGAAGATCCTGCATCCAAACACGACAACACGCAATTGCGGTCATTCGCGCTGCCCCCCGAGCATGGCGGCCAACAACCGCTCCTTCGCGGCGCGCATCGCCTCCATCTCGTCCAACAGCTCCAGGATGGAGTCGTGGGACGACGGCGACTTCGACGACCGCTCCGACGGCCTGCTCTTCAAGAACTCGACGGTCCACTCGCTCTCGTCACGCATGAGCGTGCGATCCGAATCAGAGTCCCAGGACGACTGGCAGTTTCTCATCTCGCCCGACGACCAGGCCACAAACGCCTCTGCCATCACCTCGGCCGCAAAGCAGGCCGGCATCCCCATACCCGCAAACGTGCCCTCGTCCGCCCTGCTAGGGGGGTCCATCAAGAGGCTGGGGAAAAAGAAGTCGACCAAGAAAATGGAAGTCGACGACGACTGGGGCAACGACCTCGAGCTGCCCGCAAACGCCTCCGAAGGACTCAAGCTCAAGACGCTCGCCGCTCGCCCGCCTGCTGACGATGCCGATGATGACCTCGACTGGGGCGAGGGATCATTGGGCATCCGCTTTGCAGGCACGCGACAGGCCACTCGCGGCGGCCGCAGTTCCTCTGTCTCCGCCATGAGCCCCAGTCTGGGCAGCTGTATGACCATGGAGAGCGAAGAGGACGACCTGGGCGGCCTCGTCTTGCCCACCGAGCCCATGGACTTTAGCGCCCGTCTGGAGAAGCTCAAGAAGGCCGACCACCTACACCAACAGGACTCAACACAGCGTGCACCCGAACTATCTCTCCTCCCACCTCTTCAACTCGGTCCGACATCTGCCCCAGCACCTACGTCGTTCCCTACACAAGAACCACCCCTATCACCCACCACCGGTCCCGGGTTCTTTTCACCCTTGGGGAGCCCCAAGGCTCCATCGCCAAAGTCAAAGCCAGCTGCTGAGCCGGAGGAGGATTTTGAAGAGGGTTTCGAGTTTGGCACTGGTGAAATTCTGGACAGCAAGAAGCTCACCTTGAACAAGAACATTGTCGTAAAGAAGACCACCAACAAGGCCAATGCGCCACACGCCGCCCGTCCCGCGACCACGCTCACCTTTACCGACCGACCTACCATGTCGAGAATTCCAAGGCCACTACCTTCCATCGCCAGCCGCACCCGGCTAACTCCCGTCTACGAGACTGGCGCCTCAGCCTCGAACCAATCGTCAAGGACCATGCCTACAACTACTAGCGCACAGCTCCTCCGCGCGAAGCGCTCTGCTCCTGTTCTTCGTAACATAAACTCTACTCAGCCACCTCGCATGCCCTTCATTCCTGCTGGTGGTCCTTCCGCTCAGTCACACCACGTCATGGCCAAGAGTACTTCACAAACACATCTTCGTCGTGACTCTGACTCTCGTCGTCCCCTCTCTCCTTCTATGCGGTCTTACTCTCGTTCATCTGGACATCAGAATGAGACTCCGAGCCGTGCAGGGGTCCGACGCGATTTGGCACCCTCTGCACTTGCGCGCAACCCACCCCCAAGGAAGCTAACTCAGCCCCAGCGCAAGCGGAACTTTGGGGATGGGCACGAACTTGACATGTTTGATGACCTACCCACCTCGGCTACAAAAGAGAAGCAATTCGAAAAGGTCCCACGTAATGTTGGCAGTAACAAATCCTTACGCACTCAACCTAGTAATTCCCGCCTGCCCATGCCTGACCGCATGGCAACACCCCAGCCTCAAACTCCACGAAGTCCGCCTAAGACAGACAACACTCCACGATTTGCTCGAGATACTGCTGCGAGTAGGAATGCACGAGAGCAGCGATTGGCAGGTACGAGGTCAAGGGCGGATGGCTCTGTTTCCCAAAGGCCAGTGAGCTGGGCTGCTCAAGTCGCCTCTCGCAGCCCTCATTCTAGCCCAAATCACAAGAAGAAAGGCTTAGGGCAGAAACCTCAGTTGATCCGCCAGATGACCCAGCCTCAGTCCTATAGTATGGCACTCCACCACTACTGCCCAGCTCCCACTGACCACTATGTAGACGAAAAAGGCATGACTTATAACCCTACCCTACAGCGATGGGAAGGTAACGAGGAGGAGCTCGTTTCCTTCTCCCACCCTAATACCTCCACTACTACTCTTGCCTTGACCACTGCCAGTACACCAACTTTTGCACCCCCCTCTAACCAGACGGGTCGCCCACACGATCGTTCGCAGTCCATCTCGCACATAGCGCTCTCGTCTATTCATGCTTCTCAAGCACACAGGAGCTTCTCGGCACGGGCAGCAAAACTTGCCCAGCCGCCAGCGCCAGCACCAGCGCCATCCCCGCCTCGACCTGCATTGATATCACAAATATCAGTGCCTCGAAGTGTGCAATATGAAGGCCGCATGGTGTTTGATCCTGTCAAGATGACCTGGCTCAAAGCCCCTCGCCCGATGAACGATGCTCGCTCACCTTCCGAAGTCGACGAGGACGAGGACCCCTTTGCTGGCCTTGAAGACTTGAAAGACAACGAGAGCGTTGCTGGCGGCAACGGTATGAGTGGTACCGGCACACCAAACCCCGAAGATCCCGCCTTTGTAGGCGAAGAGTTCGACGTCGGTCCCAGTTTCATCCGCCGCCAACGTGACGAAGAAGCCATCTGGCGCCGTCGAGTCGAAGGCTGGGTCGGCGGCCTCCGCGACAACGGTGAGCATCCTGGCGGATGGCGATGGGCCATCCGCGACTTCGCTGCCAGCGCGCCTGCTGGTAATCCCGCGTTTTAACGACCTTGTATATGTGCATCCGCATTTACGATTTTATGATTGCATCCAAGATTCCCTCTTTGGGCGCATGTTGTGGAACTTTGTTTCACAAAAAGTAATGACTTGCTTGGAATGTCTATTTGAGATATCCCCCCGGAGTGTTATGAAGGGCGTGTTTCAATGCCGCCTCACTCTTACGACGCATTTTACGACTTAATGACGGCATGACCGTATTACAGATGGGGCTTCACTGCTCGGACACATGACTCACGAAATTTCCTTTGTATAATGATCTGCGGCGTCTGGGTCATCTTCATTCAGTATATAAGAAAACATATTAATACTACATTGCTGCTACACGTCGAGCATGAAGACTGGCTGGTGGTGTTGGGGGAGCTAGCCAGTTTCGCCCCTATTGTGTGCAGCTTCGTGGCGCCATTGTCGCCAAGTCGATGCGTCATGCTATTGGCGCCCTCGGAGTCATATTTGCGGGGCCGACAGCTCACATGCCCAACTCGACCCGCCGACCTGTCAGGCGTCACCGCTCCTCCCTATATCTTATAACATGTCGCTCTCCAACGACCCAGGCCATTACTTCCAAACGACGTACCGATTTTGCCCTTGTGCTTGTGCCTCTTGATCCCGGCTGATATCATGTAGCTCGGCTCTTGAGGAGACAGCCCGCAAGGCTGCCAAGTCGAAGAACACAAAGGGCAACCCCACCAAGCTCCCATCCAAGATCCTCGCCGTCATCGCGGATCCTCAGGATGAGCACCATGTCTACGTAGCTGAAGCTGCAGGCAGCGTGAAGCATATCAATATTGAAGTCGGTCAGACATCTGCTTCCACGCTCCAGCTTCACCGCTGGACGTGATGACAGCGATCAGTCGCTAACTGCTCTTCTGACAGACTAGCAAAGTCGTTGCTACTTTTTCCGGCCCCACTGCTCCCCTGACCTCCATCGCCGTGTCACCAAAATCCGGTACGCTGTTTGCGGGCTGCTGGGACAAGTCGATATGGTCCTGGTCACTCTCATCTCGGAAAGTGTCCACCCGCTTTCAAGGCCACAGTGATTTCGTCAAGGCCATCATATCCTTTACCTTGAATGGCAAGGAGGTTCTCGTCTCAGCCTCTCAGGATGCGAGCATCATAGTGTGGGATGTAGCTGCTGGAAAGAAGCTTCACACACTCAAAGGACACACGCGTGGTATCCTTGCTCTTGCACTAGATCCGGTTGATTATGAACCTGGGAAAGACGCCATCACTGTCTTCAGTGCCGGAAGCGATCGAGAAATCAGACGCTGGCAGATTGCATCTTCCTCAGCTTGCGAAATCCAGCCGTCACCAATCATTTCCCACGAGACTAGTATCGATGCTCTGCATTTCGATACTGATGGTGATCTATGGACCGCATCAGCAGACAAGACGGCAAAATGTCTATCCAGAGGCCGAGATTGGGAAGAAGATTCCAAGTTTGAGCACCCTGACTTTGTTCGCGACGTCGTGATTGACGAAGCTGGCGGGTGGATCGTGACCGCATGCAGAGACGAAGAAGTCCGTGTATGGGAGAGAGCTAGCGGCAGATTGCACCACACTTTTAGTGGGCACTTCGAAGAGGTCACAGGACTTCTCTTGATGGGGCAGCGTCTAATCAGCGTCAGTATCGACGCCACAGTGAGACAGTGGAGCCTGAAGCCACAAGAGCTTGCCAAGGCTATTGAGGAAGCTGAGAAGGAACGACTCGGAGAAGAGACCGCAAAGGAACCAGAGCGAAAAGAGAGTCTAATGACCTTGGAAGAAGAAGCAGAGCTCGCTGAGCTCTTAGAAGATAGCGATTAGACATCGACTAGCGAGCCGACGACCGGACATACGTTACCAAGGTTTGCTGGGAAATTTCGATCCCGTTTGTCCGGTCGGCCCCTCTAGGTAAATTTCGAAGCGAGACGACTGGCTGAGACAGTCATGTTCCCTCCCACACTCCGGCGGTGACTAGCTCAAGGATGAACTTGTCTAGCTTTGCAACTGTAGCTTAGGCTACACACCTTCCATCTTTACGAGGGATTCTCGGTCTACGAGAAGCATCAAGGTCGCCCTGCTCACAGCTCAATCTTAGCGCCAATGTTCGTCCTGGGTCTGGAGACAGTTTATCTGTCCTCACGCTGGCCGTCTAATGCCGGATGTGGAGCGGAATCATGGTTGACTTCCCCGTCTCTATGAAGAGAAGCTTGGTATTCCCCATTTTCCTATTTTGATTTGACTAGTGGTGCTGTTTACTGGCGTCTAGCACTCGTGCCATGGAGTTCGCCAGCACGGGCCTACAGCTCACCTTTCATCGACATGTGATCAACCAACAAGCGGCGCGTTCATTTTCACAGCAAAATATTCCTGGCCAGTTCACCCCTCATCCCCCCCAACTCACCTCACTCAGCCGTGCATACCATCTTTCTTTGTTCTCACAACTATCCTTCCTTACCATTTCCTGAACACGCTGCCATCGTCTGCCGAGCTGGCCTTTCGGCTTTCGTTGAACCGAGTTTGGATTTTTCCAGGCGTGCAACAAAACCCTTCGAGTCTTTCCTCCGACTACCTACACGAACGGACGTTCCGATCGATACCCCGCGATGAGCCAGTCTCAGCCTTTTTTTTCTCGAGCCATGTCGTCACCAAGGGTGATGCGTGCGGACCGTAGACAAGGGAGAAGCTACTTCACGCCAGGGAGCGTTTGTCGCAGCCCCGCTACCAGTGTCGCCTTTTCAGGTAGTCGCGTGTAGAAGATACCAGCAGATATGGAGCATCATGCTCTGACAGACCATTTGGTCCATGGTTTAGTGTCGTGCGAGGATGCTTCTCCCTTGTGCCGGTGAAACCACATGTAGGAACTCATGGCTTTCGCCATGAAGGTGAAAGCACTGTTCTTGAGCTTTGTTCTTTTCCGTCGCTTAGTATTCTTTCTAAGCGCGCGATGGTGGAAGACAAAGGATATGAGTTTCATATTCATTCTCAACGTGTTGACTATGACAGGCCTTCGGTCCTTGGCGTTTCGTTCAGCGTACAACAAGAATCGGCTGGCACGGTCAAGTCTGGTTTTTCGAGAACGGCATAAGACGTCGAATACAAGCGGGCGATCTTTCTCGGAGTGTCCAGTTTTTGGTCGGCAAACACTCAGAGGGTCTTTGTCATACCGCGCCCGCATCGAGACACCCACTATCTACTGCGCAACAAGGTCTGACCATGTTGCGCCGTAGAGGCGCGAAGCAACAGGGTGCAGCTCGTCAGTCAAGGTGAATTTCCCCCGCCACCAGTGTTGTTTTTTCAGACATCGAGTGTGGAAGATGCCTGCGATATTGGGTCTTTTTCGGAAGACTCTGACAGACCACATGGTCCATGGCTTTCTTTGGCTGTCATGACTCACCTCTTCAACATCGACCAGGTCCAACGAGAAATGCCCAACCTGAGGCAGCCCACTAACTTGACCTGTGGGAAACCCAGGCCAGATGACGTGAGAGCACTTTTGCGGAACTACAGAGATATTCGGAACCTTTGGTCCATTCCGGCTCAATCGAGCCTCACTTTTCGTGCTGGCGCTTTGAAGACCCGGCCCACCTCCAGCACGACAAAGATACAGTCCCCTATTCAGGGGTTGAGACTGGTTTGCTCCTTGTTTTCCATTCCGGCACGAGCTTTGGCCCCTCGCACTCGCTCGCCCTCACTGGTACCAGGTAGAGTATGCTTTTCTCACCCCACGATGGTTCGCGTGAGGAACCTGTCTGTCAGGGAAAGGCTTGCCTTATCCCCGCCATCAGTATCATCCTTCTAAGGAAGATGAGTATGGAAGATGCCTGCGATATTGAGCTTCTCCGGAAGTCTCTGGTAGACCTTAGGGTCCACGGCACTTTGCTTACAGGCACCCTCGGACGCACATCCCCCGATGTCTTGGCTATTGTGCAGACCCCTCCTCCCCCACCCTACTTTCGTGTCCAGGTGCCACACTTTCGGGTACGCCCGCTTCTTCAGGTACGCCTGCTTCCTACGGGTACGCCCGCTCATTCAGGTCCGCCTATGTTCCGGATAAGTCCGCTTGTTCAGGTCCACCTACGCCACATAGGTTCGTCCGTGTGTGCCATCGAGTCGATGTACGTAACTACGTCGGCGTCTTGTTCTGCAGGGAACGTTCGCGTATCCCCGCCGCCAGTGGATCGCTTTTTAGGGATCTGTGCGCGGAAGAGGCCTACAGATGTGGAGCTCAGCGACTGCTTTCGAGTGGCTGCTGGGTCTCTGATAGACCGCATGGTCCTTGGTTGAAATGCAGACAAACCCCCAAATCACGAAGCCTCGGCCGTGCTAAAATTAGCACGGCCGAGGCTTCGTGAGCTATTTGGAGACACACCGTGATTGCGGTGTTCACACTTGTAAAAGTGTCAACACCTCAACCGGTATTTTTGAGTTGGCCCTTGGGCTTTTCTGAGAAACCTTTTTTCCGAGAAAACACTTTTTACCGCCCTTTTGGGTACTACCGCCCTTTTGGGTATTCTGAGAAAAAACTTTTGCTCTTCGGAGCTTTCTGAGACCTGTCCGATTTTGGGTATTTATACCCTTTGAGTCGATTCGTCGACAATGGCTGTCATGGCCATTGGTAAGGTATGCGGGGCAGCTGCTGGCTTAAATGCTTGCCTGGAGAAGAAATGAGTCGCGGCGTTCTTTTGAACATTGGCGTGACTGCAAGAGGTGGACGGGCGGTAGAAGTCGGACCCTTGCGCCTCCTCGTGGTGCCGCCTGGATAGTCGACCACTCTCTTACATGCGAGAGAGTGGGAGATGAACTAGATGCTTGGGACGCAGCGTAAGTTCTTTTGATTGTGATTTATTGAGATGGTCTTTCAGCATCCTCACGTTGATGCTGGGAGACGAGACGGTTGCAACATGGGCTCGAAGACTTAAATGTGACTCCGGGGGGTTAGTGGAAAGATCAAGTTGGGATGTGGGAAGAAGCAGAGAATACCTGTGATGCGGACAATGTCTTTTTTATACTTTTGGCTCGACCATTGTAGTAAACGCAAATATGATCCAATCTCTCCCTCAACTCATACATTTGCTTGCAAAAATAAACTTTGCAAGACCTCCCTCGATGTTCGTGAGAAACATTTCCCACTGGCGCTAAGAACATGCAGAGCACTCACACCTACTCTTCCTCTTTTTTCTTTTTCAGCTTTGTGTTGGAAACATTTTCTCGCATTTTTCATCGTCCTACATGTAACGTACGCAATAAAGCGTAGTCTTAATTTGTCTACATACCAAAACTCCCAACTTCGATCGAAATGATTTATAAACATAGTAACCGTTCACCTCTTTTCGATCACGAAATTTCCAGCCCTCTTAAGCGGGGTAATCGTGAAGAGAAGGGCGGTTTGATCGAGTGGAGTGCATGGGGTGTAGACTTGAAGAGGGTGGAGCGCATAAGTAATAGTGAAGTGCTGGATTTCTGGGAAGGCTTGGGTGGGTTGGAATTGAGGGGGTATGGATGATGAGTGTAGTGTGATCTGGCTAGCCACTGATTTAGCTCTTCCAGCTGGCTGGGATGGCCTGATGTAGCAGTGATTCTTGAACCCTATTCGATCGTATTTCTTCTTTGCAACTGAATATTACTTGGGGGAACGGATGGGAATATGGGGCTATGAAGGCTGGCGGATAAGTCCAACGCCATCGCGTGAGAATGGTTGGAAATCAGCGTAGATATGATTGATGGAGATCTATTGTGACTACTACACCATTGCAAGTCCCGAACTAAAAAGAAAGCATAATCAAATACCATACCACTTGCATCAATCGTTCTGGAACCAAGCTTCTCCCACCATACTCTTCGCCGAAGCCCTATCCTCCGGCTTCCAGCATAGCATACTCCCTGCCATACTCCCAACCCTCTTAATATCCTCCTTACTCAAATCCCGTCTCTTCTACCCATCATAATACGCTTCCTCTAACCACCCCTGAAGCGACCGATCCTCATCGTCCCCCCGTGGCGTCGCACGCCTAGGCCACTGCTCCTGCCAACGGTGCGGCATCGTATCACCGTTCAGTTTGAGTATTTGGGATACGAGAATCGGAGGGGTAATTAGGAAGGTGTCGAAGAATGGTTGGGCGGTTATGAGCTCGAATAACTAGATGTTTATTGTCAATTCTCCTTATCGTTTGTTTTTGGCATGGGGGAAGAGTGGGATATGGAGGGTGGAGGGAGACGTACAACGCAGCCCATACTCCAGAGGTCGATGCGGTGATCTAGGGGGTCGAAGAAGAGGATCTCAGAGGCGCGGTAGTAGAGGAGGGTGTGGAGGGTGTTGGGAGGAGTGGTGGATAGGAAGGGTTGACCGAAGTCGATGAGTTTGATTGAGGTGTGGGTGCTCTTTATGATGATTCAAACGCCAGCACTCTTCGTGATGATATGCTGCGAGAGCGAACGCTTATTCTGGAGAGAGTCATGCTTTTGTACGCCGCGTAGGTTGGGTTGCTAGAGGTGTCTAGATACCCAGAGTGAATGGCGAGGGAAGAGATGCCACGGAAATTGATAGCTCCCTTCAGTGAATAGCGACGAGGAGCAGGCGTAGAGAGTGGGGTATTGCAATGTTTTAATCGAGCACATGTGGATCAGGGACACCTACAGGTTACGTGTAGCGTTGACCACGATAGCAGTGAACTTGTGTTCTGATATTTCAGACAGGTCCTAATATTTGAGAAGTATGGCAATTAGCAAGCATAGGTATAAGAAACTAATGCGCTACTCGGTTTCGTTTTCTTCAGAACTTCTGTGGTTCTATGTGGTGGGACGTTCCATTCACCTACAGGAGCGAGATTGACAGTCCCACTCATTCCTCATTCCTCATCCTTCCACCGCTGCAGCCATAGCCCTTGGGCAAAATCCATCAATCTATTAGCCCGTATCTGCATCATAGCACTCCCTCGCTGTCTACTGTATTCGCAGACGTCACCAAAAACGTCCTCAAGTCTGCCTGCATTCCCACCATCACGATCGAACGCGCAACGAAGACGCTGCTCTAATGCTTTAGTATACAGAGGATGAAATTCGAAATCGTTCCAACAAATCATCTCAATAAGTACACCGACTCTGCGCCTGAAAGCTTCGTATTCGTATCTTCGCTTCCCTTTCCCGATACAGATGCGGCGCTCCGAACTCCTAAAGATGGTCCTGATAAGCCGCTCAGCGTACTCCCAGAACGACGATGCACAGCCCCCTAGCCTTTTTCGTACAATGTTCTCTTCAGCAAACAGCCTAGTCATGAGTTGTCTCCAGTCGAGCGCAGCGCGCGCTTTGTACGGCTTGCATTCGCCATCCACAGCATGGAAATTGGCATCGTCGAATCGCGTTTCAGCACTGTTGATAAACGTGTACCGTACATCTGGAGTATTGAAATATATAACTTGGTTGTGATAGTTCTCGTGCTCTATGTCGGCTCGCCACAAGTCCATGTCAGCGTAGTTGATTGCGCGGTGTGCTCTTTCTCGCCATTCTGAGTACGACATATCTCGGTTTACTTCCTCGTATCCGTCGGTCGAGCTCAACGTCAAGGTCAGTGGTGAGGACTTCCATGTGCTGTCTGCGGCCTGCAGGTACGGGGTCGCGATGATGTTGGGCTCCGTGTACTCGAACACGGATTCTGCACCTGTCCATTCGATGTGGAGAAGAGGGATGAATGTAGTATAAAACACGCGCTCTGCTTCATACCGTATTCCACGAGCGACTTGACGACAGGGGACCCAGAGGGTGAAGGGGTCGTCGATGTGTTGTAGGATTTCAGCCCAGACTTCGAGGGGGAAGGTGTACGCCATTGTGAGAATTTGCCGTGTTTCAATTGAGGATTAGAAAGAGAAATGCTTTCAACAAATACTTCATTGGCACAGACTAGGTGATGAGTCGTGGGGTAAGGGCAAAGTTTATACAATGGGGCTGTGTGTAGTGTGGGATAGCATGAGGCAGATACCAGGCAGAAGCCAGAAGTTGCTGGGTGCACCCCTGTGATGTACCAGAGTGTGCAATTGCACGATGTGAGCTAACTGATTGCGAGAGCATCGACTCTACTTCATTCTCTGACGTGAAATGATCATGGCAACAGAACTCATACTCGTCAGCATAAAGACTCTCCTTGCATCATACCAGTATGTGGCTGCTGAAGACACGTCGTAGATCACGTGTTTTCGCGTTTAGCGCGTACCGCTAAAATAGGCTGCTTATCTGCCCCCACATCTTGTCTCCACTTTCCCTTCATAGAGGTCTTACACAAACTGATCATAGTTCAATTGGGACAGATTCATCTCGATATCTTTGTTCTCCTTGCCATTGACTCGTACAATCCTCATTTTGGAATCAGAGAATTTGAAAATCACAATGACTGCCAGCACTCCATCCAAGCCATTCCGCTTCCGCGATCTCCCTAGCGAAGTAAGACTATGTGTTGGTGTGCTTACAGCATATGCTGATGTAGCTCCAACGTTTTCTAGATACGCAACAAGATCTACCGCATCATCTTGTGCGAGTTCGATCACTCGCCCGGCGAATTCGGTATTGTAGATGATGACTTCATGGAAGACGTACTACAATTGCCCCGCGTCGAACATCGTATCGAGACGTCCATACTTCGGACATCGAAAGAAATATACCGCGAGGCTTACGATGTCATGGTGAAGACCAACCGTTTTGTCAAAGTAACATCGGCGGAGGGTATGCCTGTTGTAGGTGCTCTTAGTGGACAGCAGACTCCAGTGGTCACTCAGGAAAAGTTTCTTGTCGACCAGTTCAAAGGGTATGTACTCAGTGTACACTTTGGCCTGAAGAAAAAGCGAGACAACGGGCCGTCGAGAAATTCGGCTTGGTATGAGCCTTTGACTGCCATGGTATTGCATCGACATCTGGACAAACTTTGTCAAGGTATCAAAGATGGAGATGCACACTCACCAGGCTTCAGTGAGTCTCTGAAGATCTCAATAAGAATGGCACCCGTTTTGGACAATATACGAAGCAACAACATGATGCCCACCTTTGATGGTTTCTTCTCGGAGAAGATGCAGAAGTCCTTGTTCGCACCCCTGAGAGCCAATCTCCATGGTTACAAAGGGGTTGAGGTCAAGGGCCATGTAGATAGCGCCGTCGCAACAGCTCTGCGTCAAGATATTGCAAAAGATCCATCCTCTGATCCTGCAGCGGTCCTAACCCAGTACATGGCTGCAAAAGAGGAAGGAACCCGTCTATTCCATGATGGTCAAGTCGAACTTGGATGTTTGAAATGGCAAGACGCCGCAGTCGAGCTCGACATGTTGATCGTCTCAAGCTCTTGGCCTGGTCTTGTTCGTCAAGGAAAGGAGGAGTTCGTTGCGCAGCTTGCTCAGGTCTATTTTATTATGCGTCTCAACATCATCCACGTCCAGCTTTCCAATTGGTCGAAGAGTTCCTTCGTCGCTGAGGTACTGGCCGATGATTCACTGAACTGTGCCTTCAATTCGCTTAAGCAAGACTATTGGATGAAGGGATATAAGCACGCCGTGTCTGTCGCGCACAAGGCGAAATACTACTTTCGGTATGCAACCTTTCTGAGGTTACAAGCAGACCCTGGGAACAAAGAAAGAGCCCTAGGATTCATCGACCTGGCTCTGCGGAAGCAACCTGGAGACCTGGGTATATTGAGAGAGAAGGAAAAGATCCTTGAGTGGATGAGGCAGTTGTGACGTGATTTGAGTTGATCAGCGATGATATGGGTCTAGCAGTGTCAACTTAGCTCGCGTTCCCGATAGCAGCAGTGTACTTTGGAGCATTGAAATTGATGAAGTCATATTGTTACACAGCTAGTGATGTTTGTTCTGGTGAAGACATGTAGAGAGGAAAGCGCGTTCATCGCTGGTTGAACTAGTTTGTTGGGGCCGTGCCATTCAGTAAGCGCTAGTACTAAGACCACTAGTAGTCTGCGCTTTCCCTTCCCAGCAGTCAACATGCTACACGGTTTGGGACCAACCGCCTTACAATCTTCTCCTACATTCTCATTCAATTGTGCTCAATTTTTTACTCTTTAACGCACAAAAGCTTGCACCATGGCTGAAGACACCCCGCCATTCCGCTTCATGGACATGCCCCGCGAGATCAGGGGTGAAGTATACAGTCATCTGCTGTGCGCGTACGAAACCCCCTTACCTATGATAAGTTGAGATATGCTAGCCTAAGAGACGAGCCTACTCTCACCTTTGTTGAGCACTCCATTGACACGGCTATCTTGCGCACTAACAGCCAGATTCACCGTGAGGCCTATGATGTCATGGTGAAATCTAACCAATTCATTCGACTCAATTGCGTAATGTACATGCCTTTTCTCGAGGGCTTTGCAGGTCACGGCATGCCAACTATGGCATGTGGGCCCGTTGTAGAGCAGTTCAAAGGGTTAGTATATTTTACCTTCCTCTCTTGGCAAAAGAGACATGAACAGATACCATTAGTATCTAGCAAGAGTATTTCCAGTTGTATTCGATCACTGTAGTAATCCAACTGACTTAAGCTCTCTGCTGATGATCATCGCTTCTAGACATGTACTCGCCGTCACTGTTTTCATCGAGACCGACACACACGCTCTTGACGAAGAATGCCAGGAAATCAGTATCATGATGATGGGCAGTGGCCTCGAGCGGTTTTGTCGCAGCTTGGCGTTCTTATTGCGAAATACCCAAGAATGCGCCACAAGCCTTGATATTGAAGTGGGACCAATATGTTTTGAGAACCACGTCCATTACAAGAACGACATGACTGGGTACTTCTCCGAGACCATACAGAAAGTATTTCTGAGTCCCTTCCTCGCCATTCAAGACTATAGGGACGTTGAAATACATGGCCGAGTGTCTCCTTAAGTAGCGGCCTCTATCAAAGAGGAACTCGCGACAGACCGGACTCATCCAGACCAGGTTCTGGAGTCGCTGGAATCAAAGAAAGACGAAGGGCTTGGCTTCTATCGTAAAGGGGACTTCATGCAGGCTAGTATGCTGTGGGCGGAAGTTTCCATGGAGGTTGCGAGCCTTCGCAGGGGAAAGTCTTGGGACAAGATACAAAGAATTAGCGGTGATAGTTTCATCGAGAGAATTGCTGATCTGCAATTCAAGATGGCCCTCAACGTAGCCCAGGCAACCATCAAAGTAAGATATATGACTTACAGCATGTTGGGTAAGAGCAGAAGTAATCCGGAGCTACAACGAGATATGGCAGAGTGCGGATTGAAAATGTCGGCGGATGCGGCGGCTCCCGGATATTGGCGGGATGGATACACATGGAAGTATTCCGACGTCCTCCGAGCGAAGCTGCTATATCGCAGAACCATGTGTGTTAGGATGTGGGGAACGATTGATGAGGCTGAGGATGCTCACATGTTTCTCGGAAAGGCGTTGGAGCTGGTACCCGACGACCCCGTGATGCTTCAAGAGAAGGAAAATCTGATGAAATGGTTCTTAGGAGAGTAGGTGGTGGTAGTAATAAAACCATATAGAAAGCTGAAATCACGGATCCAAGTCAAATGACATTGATGGTGATATCGGATACGGTAGGGCATTGATGAACCCTTCATAAAAGATTATTTCCTAGCAATTAATGACTACGTTCAAGCCGTTAAGATCCTCTTAACAAATCACCCTCCTCACAATCCATTACCACCTCCTTCAGGCATCACCCCACTCCTCTCTAATTAATTCGGCCCCCTTCTCGGCAACCATGTAAATACTAGCCACAATGTTCACATCAGGCAGTACAGGCACAATACTGCAATCAACAACCCTCAACCCATCAACATCATACACCTTTAACGTGTTATCCACAACACCCCCCTTATCCTTGGGCAGCATGCGATTCGTACCAGTGGCATGCCAATTAGGAATAGTATTCGCCTTGATATACGCCAAAATAGCATCATCGTCATCATCCGCAACAGCAGATCCAGGGCTCACCTCCCCAGAGTTCGGACCAACGGTGAACTGCGAGAGAGCAGGGTGTCTCAGGATCTTGCGCAGGTACTTGAACGACGCAATACCCACGGCAGCATCGGTGGAGTCGGCATAGTAGTTGCTGTCGATGAGAGGCGAATCCGACATGGATCCCGTGCGCAGTGTTACGGTGCCGCGGGATAGCTGGACGAGGCTGGATGCTGTGACGGAGATGTAGGAGTCGTTTGAGCGGGGGGACCAGTATGGGGTGGGGATCCAGGGGTACCAGACGCTTTCGAAGAGGTACTCGATGTGGGATTGGTTTGCGAGGCCGGCGTTGATGACGGCTTCGGCACCGATGCTGCGGAGTTCGTCTTCGCTGAGCTTCTGGAACCCGTTTGTGACACCTGAGGGAGCGGTGTAGGGGCCGGTGAGGTTCTGGTAGAACTTTGTTTGGGCGGCCCGCAGGTTCTCGGGTGTGCGGGACATGTCAGTGGTTGAGGCGCTGTCTTGGGCGCGGGCCATGATGGAGAAGACGGAGTGGTCGTTGAGGTGCTGACCGACGTTCTCGTTGACTACAAGGGGGGTGATGCCGACTTTGTCGAGCACGGCCTGGGGACCGATGCCTGAGACCATGAGGAGTTGAGGCGAGTGGAAGGCACCAAGGCTCAGGATAACTTCATTGCGGGCTTTAACGATGTTGACGAAGCCGGTGGCGTGGTGGACATAGCTAAGACCGATAGCACGAGGTCGGGCACCGGTTGTGTCAAACTTAAGTCCAGTAACAGGGGAATCGTGTAGGACCTTAAGGTTGGGACGCTGGCGAGCTTGTTGATAGAATGTAGTGTAGCTTGACGTCCTTCGAAGATGGCCGTTGAGTGTTGTAGTTCCGTGCTTGACACCAACACTATCTCCAAGGTTCTGATCCTGGACAATGGGAATATTGAGCGCCTCGCTAGCAGCTACAATGAAGCCGTCAGTGGCGGGAGGAACATATCCTTGAAACCCAAGTTCAAGCGGTCCGTCCCCATAAGCACTAGCCTCGAAGGTCTTGTAGTCTTGGTTGAACGCTGACAACGCAGCCGACGAAGTTGGTGAGACGATTTTGGTACTCTTCACAAAAAGAGGCCACACATCGCTCCAGCCCCATCCGTCGTTTCCAAGTTCCTTCCAATGATCATAGACACTGGCTGAGCCACGACCGTAAAAAAGCCCGTTGGTGGTGCTGGAACCTCCAAGGCACCTTCCGCGAAGGTACTGAATGGTACGGTTGTTCAAGTGCACCTGTGGCTGAGTTACGAACCCCCAGTCGAGCAAGCTACCTTTGATGAACTGATTACCTCCCGGAGACTCATAGGCCAATACTTGTTCTGGACTTGGTCCAGCTTCAAGGACAAGCACAGAAAAGCGTCCCGATTCCGAGAGGCGATTTGCTAGTACCAAGCCAGCCGTTCCTCCTTTGTGTTATTAGTACATGTTTTTCCAGATAGTACCTGGTAGGAATGAACACTGAGATGGCTCCGTACAAGTTCAGGTAAGGACTGTAGAATGGATGGAAAAACAAGTAGCGAAACATACCTCCGGCAATGACGAAGTCGTACACTTCGTTGTATGATGCATCTTCATCCGGAGCGCTTCCGCGTGGAGTAGTAGCATCTGCCCGCTTTGCGAACTGCGAGTTATAGAAATCGAATGACGGCCATGCAGAAGTGACATGTAGCAGTGAAGATAGCGTCAGCAAGACGCATGTCGATGCTTGACCGACAGTCAAACGACGCATCTTGAAATATGTTTAAGGTATACTAGAGTACTATCTGGGTTATAGGGTATTGGTATTGATTAAGGCGGACACTCTGGACGTATAGCCCGGGCCTTGGAGTAAAATAAAGGCACGAACGCGGACATCAGGCAAAGGTCGGAAAAGACACAAGTCTTTATACTCCTCAGTTCATGACTTGATTTGAGCAACATTTGCCGTTCCGGTGGCCAAGATCGGATGCTCAGGCTTTCTTGGACCTGGGTAGGCAAAAAAGCAGTGCCTCCGTAAGACACAGGCTTACGGCTGAAGCTTCGTAGTCGGCTAGTCCGCCATCCCGCATACCCTTGTCAGGGCTGATATATCGTAAAGTTTCGGTCCACGTTAGTACCCTCGCAGGTGGGGCCATCTTCTTTCGTCAAGATTCAGCCGAGTGGAGGAGTTATATATCCCATCTTGAAAGGTATTTTGTACAGCAATCAGGACCAGACGTCCACCTCTGGCGACCAGATTTGTGCTATGAACCTATAGAAAATCTGTAAGCTGACATCTCAACAGAGTCACCAAAGGTACCGACAGGAGGTACATGTGTGTACCACCGGAATGCAACGACTACACGTTGGGTAGACGATGGTGGGGCCAAGCCGCTATTGGCCATTGCCCAGTCTGGTACCGTCACGCAAGATCGAAGCTCAGCGTCGATCGCCAAATGTCCATGTAATAATCACACCCAGCGGAACTGCGCGGAGTTCTCGAAGGTTAAAAAATACTTGATTGTTGGTACTAGACGGCGATGGCAAGTGCCAATGCTGACCTGGCGTGCGGGGAAGCCAAGCAAGGGCATTCCCGTGGTACCTACCCACGGAGCTACGCGCAACCTGTGAATATAGAGCCCGGAGCAACTGGAAATGCATAGTTACTACGAGGCGTACTCCTAGCAAAGCTACACATGCAGGTCCGGCATTATCGGATGGAATTGGGATCGACACCTGTATCACCGAAGAGGCGGCATGGGTTTTGCAAGGTGCACACAGCGTTGGAATGCCACGGCAATGGCGCAATGGCGTCACGCCTCAACCATATTGGTGCTGAGCGGGACTTGCGGTAGTTGTCGGGAGACCGGAGCGGCGATGAGAGGGGTTTTCTCTCGATCAGCTTGCAGGAACCCTTTAGTTCATTGGCTGAATGAACGGGATCCAAGAATTGTCTTGCCTTAGCCGGTGTGTATTATAGTGAGGCTAGGTATTGGGTCTACCTTGTGAAAGGAGATGAATTGAGTCTACCATGCAAAATGAGATGCGTATACCCTGTAAAAAGAGGTAAGCCTACTTACCTTGTTAAAAGGAGATGAGTATACATAAATTGTATTTCAATGCCTGTTCGACAGAATAAGCAATTTCCCAGAACCTGGGGAGGGATGCAGTCAGTGACGCAGCAAAAGATTGCGGTACGAGTAAGCCCCTAGGCAACGTAGAAGTGATGCATGTCTTCCGTGGAGACCATACTCACTAATACATTGGGAAGAGATGATTCATTGTCCAATACATCAACATCTTGCAGCTGTCTTAACGCCAACTTCAAAATCTTCAGCCTTCCATACCACATACGGCCAAGGTGTAACGGTATACAAAGAGTTGGTGGTACGCCACGTGACGAGCTGACGAGCTCGCGAACTTAGTAAGGCCTGTTCAGTCTCGGCTCGTTTTCCGTTTGGTCATACCTTATCCAAGCTTCGTCAGAAAATTCGGAGATGGACATGGACATGGCATCGTGTTCGGTACAACGGGTGTCTGGGCGCCATTATGTAGACGGAGCTCCACTTCGTTAGCCCAGCGCTAGTAGAAGAATCCCTATGCCGTGCAGTCTTAACGCACAGCTTTCCATTTTTCAGCAAAGAGGAGCTGGGCTGTCTGGCTAGCAGTAGGGCTCAAGACTTCCAGTAAGATTACAGAGCTTTGTTGCACCATGTAGCCGGTCCTCTTCGTTTTCTATCCCAATCTGGATATTCACAGCTGCAACGCTAACAAATGTCCACTAATCTAAAATGGCGGGTAAACGAAGACCAGTAACAGATCGAGCAACCAAACAGACCCTTAGATATGCAGCTGAAGGTATTGGGGCTGAAATGAGAAAAGGAAGGGCTACAGTGGTTGTAGGACGTAAGCCTAAGCGCCAGGTTCGGTGACTTCAACAACGCTAGATTCAAAAGTCAATCTGGTCTCGGAATAAGAGCAAGACGACCTTCGGGACTAGAAGTTCCAACCCACTACCTACCTCAGGATTTAGACAACAAAGTTACGACAGTGACTGATCTTTTTCGCACCGGGTTCTTCGCTTTATGAATTTTGAACTGGTCAACGTCCGTACCATAGTTCTATCATGACATACAACGTAAAACTCACACTGATCTACCCGCATTTGGTGAGACTCCACCCTCTTTATTGCTGTCGTAAGCTCAATCCCAGATCCTTCGCACAAGTCAGCATCTCGCTCGTTCTAGCCGATACTCCGTATCTCTAGCGAATCGCTTCAAAAATCCCGCTATCAGCCCAGGACATGGTCAATTTCTTCGAGATAGCATAAACTGAATTGTTCCATTAGGTTTGGTATTTTCGGGTTTGATTGGATCCTGGATCTGTTTTCACTACTGACTGCACATTTTTTGCTCAACGTTCGTATGAAGCTTGTGGTCCGAACGATCAATGGGTTTTTCATGTCATGCTTGAGTACCGGTTGATTCCTCTGCTGCTTTCGAGAGGCTTACAAACGATCCCCAGGTTGGGGATTATTTAGTGGGTATCGTTCACGATGATTTAGCATGAGGCTGAGTAAGTAGAATGTGCGAGGAATGCGTTGTTCTAAAACATCACTGCTGTACTCTAGAACAGGAGCTTCATTCTAAGAAGAGATCAATTCGCTCTATAGCATTTACTTATTCCTATACTAGCGTATTACCGAGAGTCTCGTAATATTGCTATGAACACATATAATATACTACTGTTTCTGAATAGACAGGTTGCATAAGGACGATGTTAATTGGCACACAGTGAGGCATATCCATTGCTTTGTAGATGCTCTAAGAGTTCATTTTGTATTGGTACATGGCATGTTAATTACAATTATAAAGCCGTACAACTCCACACTCGACATATTTGTCAGTGGTCAGCTGTGGCGATCGTGATCGCGTCGTATGATAACTGCTCATCTCCGAGGGAGAACATCCTGCGCACCATCCTTCACCCTCTGGGCAGCATTGGCAACGCTGTCCTTGCTGAGGCCAAAATGCGAACCGAGACGTTCCTGCAATCATATTAGTAATCTGGCGCCGTCCAAGTTATGATGTAAAGTTTACCTGCTCAGCCCCCATACCGCTACCAGCCATCAACTTGGCCCTCTGGCGGCCATCGTAGCCCAGGCCATACCAGCTAGCATTCTTCTCTCCGTTGGCGACCACGCTGCCTGCTGCCTGGACGGCCTTTACAGCATCATAGCTGTGGAGCGCGGGGCTGAAGTGCGCGTTGTATCTGTCTTGCTCAGCACCATCACCCTGGTACTTGGCAGCCTCTTTGATGGCCCTGTGGCCCCGGTCGCCAATGCTGAGATGCGAGGCATACCGATCTTGTTCCGCACCAGAGCCGGCAGCATTGGCCGCGTTCTGGAGTTTATCGAGGCCCCGGTCGACACCGCGTTTGATGGCATCCGAGGAAAAGTGCTGGGCGTATCGGTCTTGCTCGGCACCAGAACCTGACTTTGTCGTGACGTCGAGGTTGACAGGATGCGTAGCCAAGACAGACTTCTCGTCGGAGCTGAACCAACCCATTGTGAAGTAGATTGAGATGAAGTGGGATGAATCAAAGTTTGAGGAGGTGGTATTTGTCAATTCAGAGCTGAAATTGTGATTGCAAAGTAATGAGAAAGAATTGGAGAAGAAAAAAGTCGTGTTATGTAGTATGGGGAGCTTCAGTTGCGGAACGATGACGTAGGAACTAGCGAACTAGTGCGCATATCCTTGTCGCGTCCCTGATTGTCGCGGGGACTCACCACCAAAGTTCCGTGTCTCTGGAATGCGCATGCATTAGCACGTGATATCATTAATTTAACATCTCGTCGTACTTGTTCACTTTTATCCTGGCTTTGCAACTTTATGCTCGAATCTACAGATGAGGTTTATATCATTCGCCTATTTAGGTGTAGCACTATGTCATAGTAACCACGTTTATAAGATCATATGTAACCTACCCCTATCTGTGTATACCACTATGTTCTTTCTGCTTCTAACTAACTCTGAACAATATGAGGGAAAGGAGTAGATAAACAGCAGAATCCATTTAGCAAAGAGACGATAGCTTTAGAACCTTCTAGACGACTTCCTAATAGTTTACCTATAATAGTGGTTACATTAAACATATTGTTCTCTCAGTGGTGGTTAGATACAGCACTTCTGGGCTCAGAATCCTGTGCAGTAGTTAAAGGACACAAGAAAGCTTCGTCAGCACTAAACCTCAAACTCCTTCCTACAGATTCAAGGTTTAGAAAAAAGAAAATTTAGTATCCGGAAGAAAACCCACTGCGCCACCCCTCGGCTGATAACTCACATGCGATACGTCTTAGTCATGATGATGATTTCGTGCCTACTTTTATCCGGGTACTTCCGGTCGTGGGTCTTTGCCTCTCTAAATTGAGCGTTGAAGTTATTCGCCGTGACAAAGGAGCGAACCGCGGCGTCCATGCTCTCCAGCAAGCTAGCCTTATCGACCTGGTATGCTTCCTCGTCCAGAATGAGCATCTTGGCGAGACTCTTGTGATTAGCCTCCCATTTCTTGATCGCCTGATTGAGGTTGCCAGCCGCAAGTATGCTAATCTTGTGACCAAGACCATCGACACCAGGAACTTTGCTCAATCTATCGATGAAAGACTTGTTGTCGCCGAATGGACATTCTTTCCATACATCTACCATGTAAATTCTCTCGTAATCTCTCCAATCCCATAGCGCTTTTCTGATTCCGTATTGTGCACCGGTGATGTCAATGACCCACTGTGTATTTGTCTTCTTCGACTTGATGCGAAGAATTTCATGCAGGTTATTTGGCCAGTTCGCAGTCCCATGTCCAGTGTTGACCTCGCTGAAGATGGTCACCTTTTGACTGACCGACCGAAGAAAGACTTGAAGTTCCTGGATTTCGATAGGCATTCCTATGGGTATTTTATTAGCGATACATGGCAAAAACTGCGTGAAAGACAAGTAAATAAATACCTTCAACAAGGGCTTTGATAAGACCATGCAGATGTGCCAGTGGCTCGTTGCAACACATGGCGACGAGCGTTGCTTCGCGAACATTCTGGCTCGTTGTCAGATGTTCAGGGAATTTACTGAAGTGATTGCTGCTCTTTGTCTTATCTGCCCAGTGGATTTCTAGACCGTCAGGTACCTGGTCAATTCTCACCACAGAGATGTCCCAAGTCTTTTCACAGAAGTTGAAGTAAGCTTGCTGAACCACTTCTGTGATTCGGGCGAGGGTCATCTCGACTTGGGCGTCCTGACAAGCTCTCTTGTGATACGGCCGGTCATTCTTCTGGCACACTTTGTCACAGTAGTAACGTGAGTAGGTATCTGATTTACAACCGCCACACACATCAGAAGCTGGTTTTTGGCATGCAGCGCAGATCCCTTGCGGTTCGGGAGGCATTCTGGAATGAGTGGAATGGGAAGGGAAATAATCAGAGACAACGTTTTGATTTCACTAGGATATCTCGGTAGAGGGGGAAGCTTTAAAGCAGAGCGGAGTGCGTTTCCATTCTGTTCCATGTAAGCAAGCTTGAATGCGATATGGGGGAAACTTTGGGTGAAGATGGATTGACTGTACGTTGCGCAAACATGGTGTTGCCTGCTCATTCACCTTCACCTTTATGTTTGCTTACATGAGGTGAAACAGAAGTACACATGCTGTTCTGCTATAAAGTCTCTCCCACTATCCACATCTTATCGTGGACCCTCAATATCGTCACTGATTCATTTCATATTCTACTGACGCTAGAATGTCTCCCGAACCTCAGAAAATCTGCATTGTTTGTGGCGATTCAGCTACCTCGAAGTGCCCTGACTGCAAGTCAGATACATACTCACGCTACTACTGCGGAAAGACTTGTCAGGAGAAGGATTGGCCAACGCACAAGGAAGGATGCAGGGACTCCCGTAATCGACGCCTGGAGAAGAAACTTGCGCGGATCGCCGACATTTTGCAGCAAGCTTACTACATCTTCCGCGAAAACACTTGGGACATGCCTGTGGCGGCGATCATGGTTCGCGATGATCTTGTGGAAATTTATCCGAGCTATTCCGGAGCGTTGAGTTTTTTCTCCAAATTTCCTGATCATCTTCCCATGAGCGAGCAGACGAGGAATGCAATCCTTTCTGCCTTTAGTTGCAACGAGCCAATGGTATACATAAAGGAGATGATAAGCGCTTCTTTTGAAGGTAAGTTGACTACCATTCATGAAGTCCCATACTAACACGAAACTCAAAGGAATGGGTGTCAAAGTCGAAGAGTGCAAAGTCGTCATCGGCAAGATTACACGAAAAGTCATCTTTCAGAGGATCGCCAAAGAATTTCAAGATTGCTCGATGTATGCTCATGGAATCATCCGCATCACCGTGCCTGGAAAGCGGTGGATCATCGATATCACTGGTGCACAATTTGGGGTTCGTAAAACACTGTGGACCTGGGACAATTACAAGGACGAACATGATGCGAAAATTGGCATAGTATATGCGCTTGGTACAAACGCAACATTGATCAAGGCATTGAGCCGGATTCAGGGTCTTAATGGCATGCGTCATAGGGTAAAACAGATGGCAGCTGACACTCTCAACGCAGCAATCAAGGAATGGACTGATGGTCACCAATCCATTGCAGCCATGCTTCTCAATGATGAGAATGAATACGAAGAAACTAAACTCAGCCTTCTGAACTGTATAGATGCCGTAATTCGCTCTTTTGTTGCGACAAACAGGTTTGAGACTGAGATCCGAATGGCGGTGGAATACGAGCTGAGAAACCCAGGCACGAGTGAGAAGATGGCTGATGCTGTCGCCAATCTATTCACCATGAGTCTTTTCGTGAAGATGCGTGGTCGGAACAGCCAATAATCACAGCCGTTTGCGGTACAGAGATATCTTATCTCGATCACCACTCCCGCTACAAACTGCCGGCACTCGTTTCAGCTTTTCAATCTGGTTACTGAGGAGAGACGAATGGAAAGGGGAAGGGCTGGACATTGATGGTAAGGTCAGAATGCACGCGGTAGGCTAGGTCACATGGAGTTGATTGAGGAAATTTCAATCCACTGGCACAGCTTCAATAGCACTCACGTATTCACAAATGGTAGCCTAAACATATCATAACCAGATCACAAAGCATCACATGATCAACAAACCGAAATGCAATGTCCATACCACGTTATGCATGTGGCCATCATAAAAACATTTAATATGTATCTACAAAAAAATCCTCAAAATCTTCTACAATCTAGTGCTTCTTGGCCTTAATTCCCTTCAAGAAACCAGCGTAAGCAGGCTTCTTGTTGTAAGTCTCATCGAAGAGCAGCGCCGCACCCTCACCGGCAAAAACACCCGGGATCCACGAGTACTGGTCCGAAATACCCCAAACAGTCATACCAACACACTGCTTAACAGCAAGGCAGGACTTGGCAACGCGCTCGAAAGCATCGGCTTGGACCTGAAGCTTCTCGGGGGTAGCAGGGGTGTTCATGCGGAGATCGATCTCGGTGTAGACGACCTTGACGCCGAGGTTAGCAGTAGCGCGGAGGGCAGCCTCAAGAGTAGCCTGGTCGGGGGCAGCGCCGGGGGCGGTGGCGGTGGGCTCGCTGGCGAGATGGGCCTGGTAGCCGACGCCGTCGATGCGGATGCCGTAGGACTTGATGAGCTTGACGATGCGGGCGGCACCCTGGGTCTTGGCGGCGTTGTACTCGAGGTTGTAGTCGTTGTAGTAGAGTTGGGCTTTGCCGCGGTACTTGTTGGCGAAGCGGAAGGCAATGGGCAGGAAGGCCTCGCCGATGGTGTTGTACCATACGGATTCGCGGTAGGTGCCGTCTTCATTGAGGGCCTCGTTGACAACGTCCCAGCGCGTGCAGACGCTCTTGTAGCGGGTCATCACGGTCTTGATGTGGTTCTCCATGATGTCAATCAGGGTCTTGTTGTCGAAACCGCCGCCGGAGACCCAGGCGGGAAGCTGAGAGTGCCAGACAAGGGTGTGGCAGTGCACCTCGAGGTTGTTCTTCCTCGCGTATGCGGCGTAGCGGTCGGCATCCGCAAAGGTGAAGTTGTTGCGAGATGGCTCGATAGACTCCCACTTCATGCTGTTCTCGGGCGTGAAGGAGTTGAAGTCGGCCTTCATGATCTCATCTTCCCGAGTAGAGTTCCTGAGGGTCAGGGCAGTGCCAATGAACTCCCTTCCGGCCTTCTTCATAGACTTGTAAAGGCTGTCATTGGTGCTATTGCCAGGACGAACACTGAAGGTACGATGTAAGTAAATGCGTTCGTGACTAGATGTAGGATGTTACTTACGGGCTGGCTACAGCAGAGCTGATAACAGCCAAGCTAGCGAGGATGCTGGAGAAATGCATGATGTCTGATGCTGAGACTCTTCTTGACTAGAGCTGTCTGCCACAGTACGTCCAAAGTACAGACGATGATCCTACATATATAGCATTCGACGGTTATTCTAAAATTCTAGCGTCTCCTTGTTTAATCAATCCATCCGCCCCGGTGGTGCGTCTTGACGCCAGCTTGGTAGATTAACCGGGTCCTTGGCTCCTGCGTCTGCATATCTTCTAGGAACGTTCTTGGAATCTACCCCGTGGCGCCAACTGCTAGCGGTTTGTGGAGGTTCTCCAGACTAGTCCACAAATCAGCCGGCTTGGACCTCGGGAGCACTGGGCCAAGCTCCCGCTTCCGGGGTAGACTGTTTGAACGCCTGAATGAGGTGGATGTTCCTGGGGTATAGACGGAACACGTGAAATGCAGGTCCCACTCGCTTGAGAGGAGTGCATGCAGAATGGGCTGTAGTGAACGTAGAAGCTGGCCGGTTAATAGGATGTTTCCTGCCTCCATTGCCCATCCGTTCATCCGTTAGCACTCATGTGTCTTGTGATATTGATTGTAGTCGTGGTGGCAAACGAGTAAGTAGAGAACCTTTTTTTTCCGCTGGGGTTTGATCGCCAACCGTTCCAAGCATGATCACCATGCATAATAATCTATCATGCCGTTGGCATGCATCAGATTGACACGTCCGATTCCGCAGACTTACCAAATTGGATATCATACCATGTCTCTTTTACACACCCCTCGCCATCATAGTGGTTATCGGTTGACTTCACACAACGTCCATGACGACAGGAACAGCTGTGTGTATTGGACGCGGTTGTGGTCGTGAAGCCGCCACTGGATCCCCACTAGTAATTTAGCGTGCATAGCAACACTTCTAGATCTAACCGCCAATCACAGCCACCCGCAATTACCCATTTAACCGAAAGGACCACGCCGCGCGAAGCTGGGCGTCCTTAATAAATCCAACGTCGCTACAATCACCGCACTCAAAAAGGAATACACTGTGAGGTTTCAGTGGCGAGAAGACCATACTTAGCCAGTGTCGATAGCGTTGAGGCTTTTTGCCATCGACTTCGACATCATCCGGGTCTTTGTTGTTCTACACAATGCCCTCTACTACTAGGGCTAACCGCACGACTTTCCTCATAGGACCTAGTGATCAACGCTTGGCCGTCTCATCCCCCTATACAAGAAATTGATATCAAATTCTAGCGGAACTTCCCAGACTCTTCACGGTTCTGTCCTCGACAGCTTGGTCAAATACTTTTTCCTCAGTGCCAACGGTTGGCAACGCATGTATTGTTTGTTCAATCCTCAACCCATATATCTCGCTTTGCTCTTTATGTAGCGAAACATGTTACATGCTGCTACCGGTTGTCTTGAAGTCAATTTGATCCATGGGAACTATGCGTTCACACGAGTAGTTTGTAGAGGTACGACTACCTGCCATTCCAACGCCAGTCTTGGCCTATTACCGCTTTGGACGATACGAAGCAAACTCTCTCGGGTAATGAGCATTTCCTCGTGGTCATTGGACTACTGGGAGTATGTTTATGGAACATGCTTCTTCCAAAGAGCATCTTCACAGAGTGTTGCTTGACCAAAAACCGTACACACAGACCTTCTCACTCCCCTCCAGCGCTCCCTGGTCCCTCTCTTCGGCCGTCTCATACTTGCTTTAGGGCTTTGGCCCCGACTTACCCCCAAAGCGCACCTTCCTGTCAGCGTTTGATGTATGAAGCCTATGTCGGATAGGTTGTGCTACATGAGGGTCTTTCAGCCGCATCTTTCCTAATATATTTTGAATGTCGTCGTGAAGCGTTTCCAACGATATTCCTTCCCTGTGCTGTTCTGCCCCTAATACCTCGGCTAACGCCTCATTGATATGCCCTCTAGAGGTGGACGACCAGCTGCACGCCGCAAGAATTTCTTTCGCGTACCGCTCCTCTTCGTTGGTAGCCAATTGAGCCACGCCCGCTCTGAATTTTCTATTCCGGGTCTCCTCTGTTTCGCTCCGGCCAATGGCTGCCGCGCCGGAGGAACAGCAGTCGAGGATGATAGCTACATCGCACTTGGCGGCCATGATGCGTTTGTGGGTGTTGCTCCAGCTCACTTCGGCAATTGGCTGATAGGCTTTACTAGTTCATATAAGCTGTGTTCATTCTTAGCATTAAAAACGTGGGGTTCGGCTTACTGCTTTTCCACGAAGTCGGAGAGCGTTGTAGCCACATCCGGGATTATTCGTTGGGATATTCTTCTCGGATTCTTTTCCACGAAGTCCAGGACCTTCCAGAAGACTTTGGCGTCCCGCTGCAATTTGTGCGATCCCATAGGATGATTATGGCTATAATGCAACGTTATTTGCAAGAAATTTCGAGGCGAAGGCAAGCATGACAGGCGGATGGAATAGATGTCTTACCTTGCTAGTACTAGGCCATCTCCCTCCTCCAAACCTCCATGTCCGTTGTAGTAAACTACGATCAATTTATCGCTATGCTCAGAAGGCAGATATTTGCCCACTTCCTCTGCTAGGGCCTCTGACGTGTCGTTCATACGAATAGGGATTGGCTGGCGTTTAAATCCCCTGTTTACAAAAGCGGAACTGACTTTTTCAACCTCGCATTTCAAGTTTTTGAGGTCTGTGAATTCGAAATTTAGTGTAAGTAATAGATCTGATGAGGCAGATGGCCCTACGTTTTTGTCAGCTGTCGATTGATTGTGGTTTACCATCTCGTCAATGGAGGTTATCAGTCTTCTTGTTCAGAACTTCAGCAGGCTACAAATCTAGTCCGCCGCCGTACTAACTATTCCCTAATCTCTGGCTCAGTTCTTCGAAGTATAAATAGCCGAGATGGTCGGGTGGTCCAAGAACACGGAATCAGGGTTAGGTCGTAACACACTCAGTAGCCGTTCACCGGAGGGATATGCATGTAACTAGGCAGGCTGAACAATTATCCTTATCTCTTAGGAAGAAGTCGGGTGGGCGGATGAACTCATTGGTGGCGCTCTCAACCAAGGGCTACCTATGCATATATTGATGACGTGGTTGCTGAGTCTACCATAAAATGGATATGGCATTCTCACGCTAATACGATGCGCTGAGAGACGCCTGACGCTGATCTTCTCAAACGAGCTGCAGGACTGAGCAGACATTCGCTGGTATGGAGGGGTCGGCACGTCCGCTATTAGAGGATTGGATGGCATGATCCGTTCAGCTAATACGTCATGCTGCAACATAACTTCCAGCTTTGTGAGCTAATAGGTAGATTCAAAAGGCTGCTTTAGTATTAGAGGGTCAAAGCAATGAAGTTGTTCCAGGCTCCTGTGATGAGGCAACGCCACTGCCCGCCTGAGGAGGTGCGCCCAACTCGAGTTACTATACGCCTTGGTGGGGCTACCCGCCCCGCATCATCCCACAAAAGATGACCAAGACTACTATCTTACACAGCATCTCACTTTTAGGATAATCTGATATATTCTAATGGATCTACGCTTTTACAGCCACTATCAATATCACGCAGTTAGCCAATAACATAAGCCAAACGAATCAAAACATCAGACGCGGAATGGCAGACGTGCCAACCCCTCCAGACCAGCGAATTTCTAGTACTCAACCCTACAGCCTCACTTAAGAAGGCAAATTTTGATTACAGGAGAGTTGTAAGTGCGACTATGGTTTGTGGGTACCTAGAGCAGCGTCTATCGAAACGCATCAAATCAATCATAATTAGCTAGCTCAAGCTTCCATCGTCTCTGCTCCGGGTGCCCACAAACAACAGTCGCACTTATAGCCCTCTTGTAGCTCTAGAATCTCTTAGAAGAGAGCGGGTGCTAGATTTGGGCTCCAGTAGGACAGGGTAACCGAACTTAATTCCCGGGGTAGGGTCCGCCCCAGGCGCCATCACTTCAAAGGTCTAACTTATCACGGAATAGCATGGCAGGGTGGGAAACTCATGGTAAGTGTGATACCGCCTGGAAGTTCTCGGTGGCAACTGCGCAACAGGTATACTCCATTACCACTCTCTAGAAGGTCCAACGGCTCTCACATAAGGGCGTTGCCAGTGCGGGCAACGTCGGCATGCCGGATGCGGAGCGAAATGAGAAATACGGAGGATTCAGAGTGCGGTTTTCTATGCAAAATGCTCGGTGCATGCTACTAACAGCTGATACATCGTTCAAGTTGCGCTCAGATGCGCACCTCTCCTTGCCTATTTGGACCCACACGACGGCCCGCATTTATGATCTGCATCTAGGGCGTCCTAAACATATAGCAGCAAAAGATACGCGATAAGGGTTTTCTCTTCATCTGGGGCGAGATGTTACTGGCCTTGGGTCTCCTCTTGCATAGAGGGTCGTCCACGTCGGCCGTAGTACCGAGTATGATACGAAATAGCATCATCCTGCAATAGGGAAGTCTAAGTTGGTAGACCATTAATTAGAATAGCTTTTTTCAACTTATAGCTTCATCAGACTATGTCCACGATCGTAGTGTTGTGAGTATTGTCACTAACTCCCCTTCTGAGGTTGTAGAGACTAACATTTAGAACAAGTATTCCGTATTTGCGGTGCAATACTAACGATGGAATGAGTTCAAAGATACCAAGATAGCAGATTCTTTGTGGCACGGGGGTGTTTGCGTGACCTATGGGGCGACGTTACCCTTTATGACATTATATTCTGCCCAAACGCTATAGCCTTTGTAATCACACTTGTTACATCAATGACAATACATATCGAATCACATATCAAAATATTCGAAAACATCCAACGATAAGTTGGGTGGTTTATGTTAGTAGGATTTTGGTCATGAACGTCACCTAATCTCTCCAAGTGGTGAGAGACGATGTTTATGCACGTGACATTGTCTTGGCACGGCGTTCACCTGCATCCCAGAGATGTAACCGGATTGGGCGCGCCAAGGTCGTGCGCACGGCCACCCGCCAGACGATCAGTCCGTACCGTTTCATCTGGACTGCCAACATCTTCAACCACAATGTCAATCTACAATGCGCAATCCTGGAATGAATGACAAGTCGCAACCGACAACGACCTATGTCAGCGCTCACATCGTCAAGCCACAATGAGCTCTTCTGTACCCATTCAGATAGCGCAACGCCCTGGATTTATACCGGCTCCTCGCCTTTACTACGATTGTAATCAAGACAAGCCCACGGGATCAGCTGCGACCTCTACTCCCGGAGAAAATTCAAGCCGGAAAAGCTCTTTCGACCCAACACGCACCTTTAGTCACGTCAAGCACCATCAGCACATACGACAACATCATCCGGACCTGAATAGAGATATGGCTACGTATTACTGTTATGGAAAAGACGGCACAGTCACTGCTACCCATCTGAATCCAAATGCCCCAGCATTCACACGTGGCCTCCAAGGAGCCACCTCAGACCAGCAACATGGAGACATTGTTGGAGCCTATCTCGCACACCGTGCAACGACTTACCCCGCACCAAATCCAGAAGAAATACATCAGTATGGGAGCACCCCATATCAGCCATGGGGCCAGCCACTCGATAACAGCGCTATATCAGAGCCCATAGAGCCAAGCCACTGGTCCAGCGACGAATATGAGTCATCTAGCTATCCAAATAGTTCACAGGCTGAGTCTATGAGTACTCTGGGTTATGCTGGATGGGCTTCCCACTCAGGTATAGCTCATCCTTATCCAAATCCGGAAGACATTCGTCATATGCACACATTACACAGCCTATTGCCATATCTGCAACCGGAGAGAAAGTTGAACGCACTACACGGACCGGCAGTCGATATCGTTGAGCAGGATACTGGAGTCGTGCTTGCCTACCAAGTCCCCAAGAAGCTGCTGGTTTTGTTTCTTGGCCGGAGGGTTGTCAACAAGTATATACGAACCGTACAGCGCCAAGATGGCAAGAGCTCGAGCGAGCCACCAACCTCTCAAGAAATGAGCCTGCCTCGTGGCAAAAGTAGCAAGGCCGCAATGAGGGTGTTGATTGCCTGGATGGCAAGGGCCTGCCAATATCACACCATGGCCACGATGGAACAGATTCGCATTCCCAAGAAGACCTTTGTCGCGTGCTCATTGGCTCAAACTATGGAGCTTCTTGGCCTTCATAAGGATGCTTTTCGGGTTGACAATTTCATCGCACAGACGCATTTTGTCCGCCCAATCTTCGCAGTTGAGTTAGAGGCCTTGTGGAACTGCCTTGGCGAAGAAAATCGATACGTCTACGCCGCTATCCGGGTTGTCGGTAAAAGACTGCAGATGCGTGAAAGCAACGATTCAAAGGCCATTCCTGGTATTGACGCTGACATGTACGCTACGCTGAAAAAGTATCCACAACTGGAAGCTCGTGTGCGTGATCCCGAGCTGAATGAGCGGTACCATCCACACTTTAGCACCGATTGGACGAAGAGGCTGGGAGGTAGTGAGCGAAACAAGATGATGAATAGTACTCAGGATGGGCGTGATACTGTTCACAACCACTGGTCACAGGAGGATGTCGAAAAGAGCCACACAATGGATATTGAAAATGCGACACACAATCTCAGGAACTTGAGTATCGTCTCGGATGACTCAAAGCTCTCGGTAGCCAATGTGGAGAGTGATATCATGCCACATGACGGCAGTAACCCAACCCAATGGTAAAACAGCGGCTAGTACGGTTTTAGCCATGTCTTTTTCCTCTTCATCAAGATTGTACGTGTTTCCTTTGGGTGTGGTTATATGAAGGCGTTTTGTTTATCTCAATGCATCATCATGGGAGTTTTTATTCACGGCAGATATCCACCGGACTGGCGAGTTGAGCATAGCACGGCGCTGGGGGGTTTCTTGTATCCAAATGTCTCTTTGTATCAATTTGCGATAGTTTGGGAACATGAAGTACAAGCTGTATATGAACCGAATTTCTTATTTTGTAGAGATGGCTACGTGTTGGCAGATGCGAAATAGATATTGAAGGAATGATTTCCAAATGAGGTGTATAGGCATGGTTTCAAGCATGAATAGCTTACATTCAAATACGACTTTTTGAGTATGCGATGTGTCGGTGACGTACATATTATCAATAAATTCGCGAAGACCCACCTCATTGTGAAAAAGAAGCATACAGCATCAATACATCAATAATAAGCTCGACCTATATTGAATATCTTAAGCGCGATTCAGTCTAAGAGTCACCAGGGGACTTTCGTACCCTTCACGGCGAAATATCACTGACTTATATCAGTACCAAAAGTCCCGCTGAGAAAGTCACTCTCTTTTGATATTGCACTGCAACTACCCAAACAGAGGCTCCAGTCCTCTTATGAGTCTTTTCTATAGCCAGTAAGCTTTCTCGCATGTCACAAAGAAATCCAAACGACATGTGTCCGCGCGGACAAAGGCACTCCCACCAACAATGCTCAGCACAGTGTCAACTATCGAGTGATACTGAGCCCGTACTAGATGTTTCCAAATCTCAAAACCAGCTCCAGCATACACATACAGAGTCTACTGACGCTACATGTATTGCTCCGACCACGAATAGCCAGCTGTATAGCAGTCATCTCTCCTACAGGCAAAGCATACCATATTGGGACGATTTCAACGGTATAATTTACGAGATTCCTTATGGGAAGCTTCTCTCCCCGTCGAAGGCACATTCGCAGCAGGCAGGTGGACGTCGAAACACTGAGCCGCAAAACTCCTGTGCTGAAATTGCAGGCGACGGACCACATGGGGAGAACAAAGCTAGCCATACAGTACTAAGTCACTTGGGTACTTCACAGGAAAACATGCCGGATGGTGAGAATGAGAAGTCCTTGGGTCTCGCGCCATATGTCGATGCAGAAGAGACGCAGAACAAAGGATGTCTTGTAGGTTTGAAGAAAGATGGGGTTTACACCAGGGAATCTATTGAAAGAACATCATCCAACAAATAACAATACATCGGTTTATTGAAGTACAAGCAGGATGCTGGAACTGGGTAATGGTACAAATAAAGGCTTCATCACTGTCTGGTGTAGTCTACAGCTATTGAAGATAAATGAGGATTTCTAGTTACCAAAAGTCTCCATGAATCATATATGCTGACGAGTGTGTCAGTACTTGAAAAATGAACAGCACAACACCCTAAGTGATGCTTTGCGGAGTCTAGCAAAGATCATAGTAGTCCATTGTGAAATGGCCGAGGTTCAACTCCACATCCCCACACGGTCCGTGCGCGTGCTTCCCCGCAACGCGTCTTCCTGGCAAAGCACATCCACAACTAAGGCCAGACCAATTATCAAGATGCGCACTCTCAAGCCCTTCCGTATGATACAGACCGCCAGGTCACTCCCCTTTGCCAGGGACTACCCCAATCGCTGAAGAAACCCCATCCCAACACCGCTCGAATTCGTTCCTCTTCCCGCCCAGAACCACCATATCGCAATCGCACACGATGAACTTCTCCATCCCTGACGACCTAAAGCAGTACCTCGCCAACCTCGACACATTTATCGAAGAAAAGATAATCCCACTACAACATAAGGACGATAACAGCCGCTTCTTCGATCACCGCCGTGAACACGCTCGAACCGATTGGGATAACGGTGGTCTACCGCGCAAAGAATGGGAAGACCTGTTAGCTGAATCCAGAAGACTCGCGGATGAAGCTGGATTTTACCGACTTTCGCTGCCAAAGCAGTATGGCGGGCGAAGTAACGCGGACGGGCGAGGAAGCAATCTTTGGATGGCTGTCATTCGAGAGCATCTTGCAGCAAAAGGGCTGGGACTCTTCAATGACCTCCAAAATGAGCATTCTGTGGTTGGGAATTTTCCGGATGTAGTTATGCTTATTAATTTCGGGAGCGAGCAGCAGAAGAATGAGTTTATACCGTTGCGACTTGAGGGCAAGTTTCGGATGACGTTTGGGTTGACGGAACCGGGTCATGGGTCGGATGCTACACATATGGCTACGAAGGGGAGGCCGGAGACGAGGGATGGGGTCAAGGGATGGTTGCTAAATGGGTACAAGAGGTGGCAGACCGGTATGCATAATGCCACCCACTGTTCGATATTTGCAAGGACGTCGGGGAAGAATGGGGAGGTTAAGGGTATTTCTTGCTTTATTGTCCCTGTTGATACGCCTGGACTCAAAGCAGAGTCGTACGAGTGGTGTGTATATGATTTACGCCTTGCTAAGAAAGCAGACTAACCACCAACTACAGGACGTTGAATATGCCTACCGATCATGCCACCGTCTCGATCAAGGATGTATGGGTCCCTGAAACCGCCGCCTTGGGACCTATACACAATGGATTAGGAGTCGCTCAAGCCTTTGTGCATGAAAACCGCATCCGACAAGCTGCTTCATCCCTAGGTGCAGCTGTATACTGCGTCCAGCAATCTGTCGAATATGCCAACGAACGCGCGCCTTTTGGAACGCCCCTCTCGCACAACCAGGGCATCCAGTTTCCACTCGTTGAACTCGCGACCCAATGTGAAATGCTGCGTCAACTTATACGGAAAACTGCGTTGGAAATGGACTCAATGCCACACCACGAGATCGAAAAGAAGATTGGGGATAAAGTGTCGATGTGTAATTACTATGCGAACAGGCTGTGTACCGAAGCAGCCGACCGCGCGATCCAGGTCCATGGCGGGAATGGGTATTCGAGGCACTTTCCCTTTGAACACATCTGGCGACATCATCGACGGTACAGGATTACTGAAGGGAGCGAGGAGATCCAGATGCGCAAGGTGGCGGCATATCTATTCGGGTTTGGTGGCAGGAAGAGTCTGGTGGATGCGACGAAGCCCGATTCGAAATTGTAGTTTGGCTGATCATGCAATTGAAATTCCCGTCTAATCGGATGCAAGCCAAGTTGATTGATGCTTGTTCAATAAAGCGTATGCCCTCAGTCTCTTCATTGTTCATGTGAACCGGTTCCGAAGCCATCGGTTGAACCCTGGCATCGCATCTTTCTCCGTGACCACAGGTAGCAAGATCACGATTAGGAGGAACCAGACTGCAAATCCTAAGATCCATAGAAACGTCGACTGTAAAATCGAGCTTTTAGGAGGTTTTGGTAACGGCTTTGATTCTACTTTGCTTCTAGCCCCACGACTTAGTCTTGACCCGGGGACTGGTGGGAGTGGCTTGGATGTTGCATCCCGAGAGGAGGTTACAGTTGCGAGACGGTCATGCGTGAGACGGTCATGCGTTGTTGAAGGTGCATTCGAAGCATATGGTTTTGGTGGTACGGGTGGTCCTTCTTGATCTAGGAACGGCCTGCGGTTGCGTATCTGGTGGATTTCCATTGTTAGAGTGTGGGAATCAATAAGTTGCTGGAAGAAAATGGGTATGGAAGGGATGTGAGCTTAAAGTTTGAGATACACAGGTGTTGTTTATGTTATTGATTTTGCGCTTTTCTTCTTGTGGACTAGTTGATTTTTTGGGCTCGGTTGGGGGTAGTATGCTCCGAGGAATATGGGTTGTTAACTGTCTCGGATTAGATGGTTGGGTCATGAACAGGGCTGGTTTTGGGAAGCAAACAAATGTGTGAGAGTCATGAATGGATGATTAAAATTGTGGTGGCGTAATGAGACGTTTGGTCTGGTTTGCTCTACTGTCTTCTCGGTAGCATATCCGCTGCAGCAGTGAATGAACAATTTCATTTGTGTATGTTTTAACTAAAGCTTACATCTTGAGAGATATGAAGAATGAATGTTTCAAGTCGGTGCGGTTGTTGAGTTTCGTCTTATGTTTTGTACTTCTTATTAAACTCTAGAATGATTGCATTATTTTCAAGCTAGACTCTGGATCCATTTTGCGTTAGGTCTCGCAGATATCATTATATGTAAGCACACAGATATAAACCTCAATCAGATCGCTATGAATGGGAAAGGTAAGTTGGCCGCTGGAATATGCACACCGAGATCAGATATTCATGTTGACCATGCCAGTATAACATCAGCGTAGTACTATCTTCTTTCTATAAGCGAAAAAATGGCTTTGGAAATATGAAAACTCGAACATACAGCCCCGAACACAGTACTGTTAAGATCTCCACCGTCATTCACATTCACTGGTCTCCACTCACGTCCCTAGCAACCCTTTTCATCTACCACCGCTCGTCCTTGAAATGAGTGAAAGGTCATATATACGGCATGTGATCTGGTTAGTTTGCAGCTCGATTTTCACGCTTCTGCCTTCCTGCTCCTAGATCAGCTCCTTCGAAAGTACTAAACAACTACACAATTGAACTCAACTCAACTATCCGATATGAACACTTTCGGAAACGCACTACCTCCTACGCCTCCAGGCATTGCACCGGAAGTGCTGTCGAAGATCGAGGCGCTTTTCCAAAATCCAAACTTTTCTGGTATCTCAGTGGCCATGGATGAACAAAAACATGAAGTACCCGCAACAGATATCCCGAACGCCCTCGCAGATATCGTATGTAAAGACCAGTCCACACGAGAAGAGAGCAATCCTCTCATCAACGAGACGGAAGTTCTCATGGGATACGATTCAGATACGGATCCAGAAGGGGGAGCAAGATTGAGCAATCAACGGCATCGAGTCAAGGGCAGGGGAGCACGAAAGAAGCATACGCGAAGCATAGCAAAGTATGATTGCTCCATTCAGAGAATAGTCGCACGCTTCGAATACCCTTCAGAGACAAGCCTGGCACCTATCTCATCGATCCCCCGTTCACCAAATGCGATCAAGTCGACTTCCAATTCTCTACTCAATATCTTTTCGGCTTTTACGCATTCCATATATTGCGTATCTAAGTACCTGACACACCGCCTTCCTTTTCCCTTCTCTTTGGTTCGACTTTTGATAAGCAGTTACCTGAACGTCGGTACCGAGTATAAAATGAATATCAGAGTTGAAGTTGAACCAAAGAAGGTGGTTCGGGTTCTCGCATTCGTAGGAGGAGGAGAGAATGTCGATATCGGATGTGTCGAGCCAGTGGAGATACAGGCGAGATACAAGAGGGTACGAGAGATTATGAGAGAGTGTGGATGTTGGGTTGAGGAGGATCTATATAGCAAACAGATTAAGAAGTCGTTGGGAAGGCTGAAGGAATAGTGGGAAGAGCCTTTTGGAGAGACTGGAGGAGGCGATGATGTGTGCGAGATGATCCATTGACGGCGGTGCGGACAAGGAGGCTCTATGTCACGTCCTTGGCATGTATTCGCTGCTGGGGTTGCTATAGGCATTTTATATGACTTTGAATCGAATTTCCTTTACCAAAACTGGGGTGCAATGAAGTGAGGATAAACGCTTCTATGGAGATGGAAGCCAACGTTAAGAGGTTTGGTTGCTCAATCAGTCGGTGAAGAGCCACTCGACTAATCGACTTCAATGTATGTATTGCTATGCTATATTTTCCAATGTGATCTTTTATGTAGTACCCATAGGAAACCCTACTATATGTGGCAGTGCACATCTTTCAGCAGTACAGACTTCTCCCCAGAATAATGGCCTGTCAGAGACAGCGATGGAATTAGTGTCGAGCATTGCCTAGCTCCTACCCAAGTACCTAGTACGTCAACGTTTCTCTAATTGGCACCACTCGCATCCAACACCTATCTGGTGGGGTGGCACCAAGCTTCTGATGAATATTTAGTATTGGGGTCTTCAATTGCTACCCCATCTGAACAGTCTCCGCTCAACACCATAGAATAGGACTGTTAAATAGCACTGACTGGTGTCGCTCACCAGCAACAACGATCTCACCGGTCTTGAGGCTCTTATTCGCTAACCCGACCAGGCAATTACCACCCGAAGGCGTTGAGCACTGCTGACAGTTGTGTTGTTGGCGTCGCCCGCGAGCGACACACCGCACGTGACCCTACTCTTACCCTACAGCTGCCAAACACAACTATACGTACATATCTAGCACAACACCTGCTGGGTGTAATTCATTTGCTAGGTGGAGCGTCCGCACAGAATTATCTCCATGTGGAAGAAGCGGTAAATGGAGAGGGACCGTTGCCTTCCAATTACTGTTGGATACTGGCAAGGCTATTGGAAAGCCACGAGGCTGCTTTCGCGCTTCTGTGAGGCAGACTGAAGGGCTGATAATTCATTTGACTGGCCCTCTGACTGGAGATTTGAGGGTTATTGGACTACAGAGAAGCACAAAGACACTTCCTGCATACACGTGCAGCCGTTGGCTTGGATCTCGATTTGGCCCCCAAATGCTGATGTCGTACCAAAACAGCCTGTCAGCCTTGGATGGTACTGCGCCGCATCAGCCTCCAAAAGATGTCTCTTGTAAACACCCGCCATAGGGGTGCAAGGCACATCCCCTACACCACAATCACGAACATTGGAAAAGATATACCCCACAGATCTTGGCCGTTGAGCCGCTGATCGTCCATCATGGCTCCGACATCAAAACAGTTTAACGCCGCTACAAGTATGAGTCACAAGCCTCGTACGAGGCCCTGAATGCTAACCTATTTGACTAGATCAACGACTATTTCGAGAAAACCATGTAAAGAAGCAGGCAACGCGTCGACGAGGCCAACGCGATGGACCGCTCCGACTCCAACTGCGATTCCTCACCGCGACCGATCCGTCGTATTTCAGGAATGACGAGACGAGACGCAGCGTGCGTTCGCACGCAATGTCATATCACCGGAACAAACCACGGAAAGAGGCTAGGCTACCTGAGGAATGCTCCGAGGTACCAGCCACAAAAGAGCCTGCTGCCTTAGGAGAACACGTCCTACAGAATGGCCGCAATCATGGAAATGCATCGGTGGAACTGGAAGATAGCCTGCAACAGCAGCACGGAAATGAAACGAGCCCAATTACACGTCGGCATGCTCACGACAGCATCACACTTGAACACATGCCACGATCTAACCGACAGCTGTCCGCCACACGCGCCCTGCTGACGTTGACTAGCCCCAAGGCCAATTCAAACGACTGTGACTATGTTGAGAGTCAAGAAGAGCGCATACTACGTCTTTTCACGGCCCAAGTAACTACAATGTGCCAGATTGGAGATGGCGTTGATCCTTTCCGTGCGCTACCAAGCTTCAGAAATCCGGAGGTCAACTCGCTCTTCCTCAAGCGTCATTGTAAGGATACATTTTCACGATTCATTCACCCAAAATCCATACTTACTAACCTAATCAGGCATCCGGACATTTGCAAGTGATTCGTTTCACGTCAAATGGCTCCCCGTCATGCTTTCTGATCGCGAAGTCATGCTCAGTTCTGCAATCTTAGCTTCCGTTTGGCTAGACATGCACTCGGAGATTCCAGACGAAAGCAAGCAAACCCGCTTGCTAAAGGACGAGATTATCGGTATGGTTAATAAGCGGCTGCGAAAGAAAAGCACTCGTTCGTCAGATTCAACAATCATGGTCGTACTTCACTTGCTCATGGGTGAGATATCGGGCTCCAATGAGAAGGCGCTTCGTGTACACGAGCGGGGTATTGCAGAGTTACTTCAGCATCGTGGTGGGCTACAATGTTTGGGCAACGAAATCTTGGCAGAGACATGCACTGCGTGAGCAAACCTTCTCACAGAGTGACATTGTGCTAATCTTGCATGCTAGGGTCTGCTATCACGGTGACTTGATCTGCGAAGCCGAACCTCTACCTGATCTCGCCACTGATCTACCAGTCGTAAACCCACCGACTATTGATGGTGTTGAAATACCCGAGTCGCCTATATTCTGCCCTAGAACACAGTTTACGACAATCGCTAGTGACTCGCATTGCTCGACTTCGACGCGTGATTTACTTCGAGACATGCGGGACTTGACAGATCTCTTCATTTCTCAAGAAGCCGCACCTGAGACTGTTCACAACACTTGCAAGATAGATGCCGCCTACTGGGAACAGCGAGACGCCGAATACAGTAGCAGAATCATTGCGATACGCAAGCGCTTGACTAGGCTCCCCTCAGCACATGTTCCAGACCTCCCCACTTCCAATGACTGGATTTTCGAGGCCTGCCGTATTACCGCGCTTATCTATACCGCTTCCGTTATGTTACTTCTACCTTTCTCTACTACTGCTGACCCATGCCGAAACCCCCTAGTGTCAGAGTCGGAAGCGTTCAACTGTCCGGGATCCGGCGCGAGCTATCTCAATACCCACTTGAGCGAAGCATTGTTCAAAGCACTACGTCGTACTGCTGTTGCAGATGTATGGGACAAGATGTCTGGTGTTTTGTACTGGGTAAGTACTGTTGGCGCTGCAGCAACTCGTTCGTCCGTTGGAGATGATGTAGATGCCAAATGGGTCCGACGATATCTTGTGATTTACTCGACACGCACCATGGTCAAGCTGGTCTTTGATCATGCGAAACCCATTGTGGTGTCACAGAAGAAGCTTCTCAAGATACAGCAGCTCATCAGCAGACACGATGGTCGTGGTGTGGAAAACGTCACTTAGATCTCACCGCCAGTCACAGGGCTGAGGAGAGGCCGGTAAACTTGACTTTCCAATGGCGTTCATGTCCTTTCAACATGAGGCAGAATAAGTCGTGCATAAGTGCAAGGATGACCGTCAGTACTGGGGCAATTATAGCGCTTACTTTCTATTTTCTTTTTGGCCAAGGCATGGGGTCCCCATAATTATATGCTCGAATATTGATAATCTGATAGAGAAAATAAGGCTGTACGACAAGCCACATCAAATTACAATTGTTGAGCAATAGTATGACGTTATCTTATACGTTCGTAAAAGAGTGACTTCCAATAGTACCGAGCGAATTTTCCACGGGGTAGCATGTCGCCAGCCCGTGTTGCCCGTATTGTAGAATCGAGACGTTCATCACGAGCGTTTACTTCCTTCCCCGTGTCTTTTCCTGTTTCAGGTCAGCGGACTATGCGGACATGTTCGGATCATGTATGGCACCGTCACGCTGCTTCATCTCCATGTGCAGTTGTGCGGGATTCGGATTTAACACCATCCGCTCCGTCCGACTCACCACACCCTCTATGCCCGATACACGGGAAACAGGGCTGGCCACTGTAGATCTCCATAGTGACAAAAAATGAGTTTTTTCCAGCCACGAACCAATCAGTTAGCATTTTTGGCTTTGCAAATGCTGCCTTGTGTTGGCAAACTCCCCTGTGCAGAGCATACTACGAGTACTGCATTGAGGGAATCATATTAGTAATTTTGTTCTGGAATTTTCGCATGATCGACTCTGACGCCACATAGTACTGTGTACATACTACTTGAAAAATTCAACAATGGTATGGTACTATGTGTGCTCCAACTGACCGCCTTCAGGGATTTACAAGGGTTTGGTCGGAAAACGCCTCCTTCGGGAGCCGATGCGCAGATCTTCGTTGGTCCGTTTCGTCCGCTGCTCCGCGTCACGACAGTCATCGCGCAAACCGGTCAAGTCAGCAGAGTCCCAGAAAAGCTAGTTCTTTGCAGAAACGCGTGTGGCGCGAATGCACTGTGGCTGGAATGCTTGTCTAGAGCTTAATTCTGAGCAGAGCCTTGAGGCATTCTGAAAAAAAGACTCGGTCAGATGCGTACTTTGGTCAAGACGCACGCATGCAGTGCAAAAGGTATCCTTTGTAAGACTTTGTAAGATTTCTAATACAAAAAGCAACTTTGAAACAGATGGCTGGCTTTTGGATGCCTTGAAGCGCCCAGCGCCCTGTCTTGGAGCTGGTGACCTCGCAACCCCTTCCCTCTGGACAAATCAAGCGACCACACAAGGGCAATGTGCATTGATAGTCAAACCCCCGATCCATCTGGATGACGCTGGCGGCTGCCAACTCGTCCGAGATTATGACACGGGGGGTCGCTTACGACTTCCCTGAGTTCCGATTGGCGATGTAGACACACTTTGCTCGGCTAGGCCAGGGTCTACCTGCATGGTACACTACCGACTCACAATGGAAAGCCTTTGTATAAAACTTCAGCGCCCGCGTGAAAGGGGTCCAAGGGAAGAATGTTGTCTTAGGAAACACTCGCTTACTAACCTTTTCTCCATCACCATGGTTCTCGTTACCCGCTTCTGGCTACCTAAGCACCCTAAGCACGATGTGAATCAAGAAGACAAACTCAGTAAAGACGACAAGGCTGAACAGCAAACCCAAGTCACGCCAATATCGATTTCTCTCAAGCGACTATTCCTACCAAAGCTGGATTCAAAGGCTCCATATGTTCCAAATATCTCGGCCGTTATCAAAGCTGCAGATGAGGGTCTGATTTCTTCCGCACTATTCACAAGTCTTCAAGAAGAAGACGGACAGATACCACTCAGCGCTCTATACCAAGCATTTGAAAAGGAAATCCGCGCTCGTTATCCTCTCGAGAGATATCCATACGCCACGGATGTACCCAAAGGCCATGCCTTGGCGAGGAAACCTTCAGGAGCCCTTGGCCGATCTAAATCGGTATCGGGGACTTCGCGGGCAGACGCCAGCTTAAAGATGCATAGGAAAAGTATGGACCTGTCAATGACAGAACTGGGACGAGCTAGGAGTCTTGTTGTAAAGAAGTGGTCGTCGCCTCTGGTATCGGTGCGTAACGGACTACCCAACGATGGAAGCCGTCAAACTGGGAAAAAAACATGGGCCAAAGACGGACAGAAAGCAAAAGTTGAAAAAGGCCGGACAACCGTAACGATCACACCCGCCGAACTCACTGCACTTGCCATAATACTCGGCAGCGAACCGAAGCGCAATGTCGACAGAACAGTTCCAGTCTCAGAGACGGGCGCCTACAATATCTCTATCGTCTCCGTGCAAACAGGCGGATCAAAGTACCACATCACCCTCCAGCAAACCAAGCGCAACAAATGCCAGTGGCACGCCCCAGACTCCGGCGTCTCCCCGCTCTTCGCAAAGCACCTCGCCGCCGGTTCCCTCCCCTACACCCAAGACGCCCAAAACACGCACAGCATCCTCATCACCCCCTCAACCCTCTCAGCCATCCAGTCAGGCTCTTCGCTCTCCACCACCGCCAACCAAACCCCGACAAAGCAAACCACCTTCCTCTCCTCCCTCCCCTCCTCTCTCCCCCCCAAATTCCACATCCTCACCCCCTCAACCTCCCTCCAACCCCCCACCACCCTCCTCAACGCCATCGCCGCCTTACCCCTCTCGCGTGGTCTCGCCCCCCTCGCCTCAACCCACCTCATAAAAACCATCTCCTTCATCACCACCGGCGGCGTCAGCCCAGGCAAACTCCTCCCCCGCCTCGAAGCCCTCGTCGCAAAACTGCACCGCCACTCCCCTCATCTCTCCCTCTTCGGCGCCCTCTACGACCAGCGAAACGCAAAAGCCCTCCATCGCGAGCGCGAGCGACTCCGCCGTCTCGGCGTCGACCCAACGACTCCAGACACGCGCGCTGACAAGGCGGCGCGGATGTCGCGCTATGTCGCGCTGCTGGAGCGTCTGATGGCGCTGGTACCCGACACGAAGCCCAGCGAGGTACTGAAGAAAGTCGAGGAAGGGCTGAGAAGTGAGATTGCAGATGCCTATGCTAGGGCTACAGGTACGGGTACTTCGAGGGCTGGATCTACGGCTTCTCGCACTGCTTCTGCTACGGCCACGACTGCTGCGCAGCTTGCTGTTCCAGCAGCGAAGTCAGAGAGTCCGGACCGCAGGCTGCGACGGAGGTCGAATCGCTTGAGTTTTATCTCGCGGGCTTCGACGGGGTCGAGTGTGAGTTTTGGGTCTGATGATGGTGTTGGGGGGGATCTGGGCAAGCAGCTTGAGAGGGTGCTGAAGGCGGAGTTGCCGTTGGATGTTCGCACTGTGGCGTTTGTGGCGCGTATAGTCATTGTGGCATGGACTTTGAGTGTCGATGGTGTTGCATTTGAAGGGGAAGAAGATGCAGAGGGCTGCTACAAGATTCCTGATTTCACTGGCTGGGATAGGATCGTCATGTCGTAAAGGACTCTTTCTTTTGTTGTTGTTGTTGTTATTTTCCTTTGGTTTTCCATTTGTGTTACTACTACTAAGATACCAGTCATACCCTATTTTTCCTTGCTTTGGGGTGGAATATCATCGCTACAAACATACTAGTACTGGAATACTATCATCGCTACAACCTAGACTTACTAGGCCATCATCATTACTTTACCTAGAAATATTACACTATCATCAATTGTTACAGATCTTTACCTCTCCCCTTTTCTTTGCATCCAAATCAAAACTCTAATTCTTTTCGTCCGCATATTAGTCCGTCTCTTCACAGTCCTGACACATACGCGGGATCTTGATACGAAGACAAGAAAAGATGACAAGACTTCCCGTAGTAGTTCCGGGTGACCGGGCTTATCACACGGCTCGGTCAAAAGGGATGATTGAGGTTTCCGGGTCTCTTGTTCGGGAACAAGGACACGAGGCAAAGATTGTAAGACAAGAAAGAAAAGTCGGGAGATGAATGCGTGATTCATGTAACGTATAGGTAGTAATATTACGTGTTAGCTACATACGGCAATATATTAGCGATCCAGAAGCGTGAAAAAACTACGCGAGACGTCTATATTTGTATATACCCCTAGTCATCTTGCCGTCTATGTGCAACAAAAAAGCCACCCTATTCCGGCCCCATAACCTCCAGCCCCTTGCAAACCCCTACCCAGGGATCTCTCAAACTGTCCCACACAACCTCCATGCTCTCTTCCTCCAGCCCATCCCGCTTACGTTCCCTTCTCTCAATCCGATCTCCCGTCCCATCCGCCATCATAGCGGTAATACGGTCACGCTTGCTAGGCCTATCACTAAGTAGTGTAGTATTTGTTTTCAAGCCTTTACCATCAAGTTCACCTTTGACTTCCCAGCCTCTGCGTACGGGACCGTGAATGGTGGCGGGGGTGATGAGTGTGCTATCGAGGAGGGCGTTCCAGCGGGAGAGGTACATGCCCGGGCCATGGGTTGTGCCTCTGCTGTTTTGTGATGACGAAGTTGTTGGTCGCATGATTGATTCTAGACGAGATTGCGATGTTGATTTGAGGGTTGTAAGGTGCTCTTCGTGTTTGTCAAGGAGCTGCTTTAGCTCGTCTTGCTTTTCTTTGCTTAGAGTCTCGAATATAGAGTGTAGCGGTGCCGTCATGTTTCCTGCGCCACCCTCGCCTCTTTCTTCGGCTTCTAGTGCACGTTGGTCGACCCTGAACTCGGAGAATATGCGCTTAGCGTAGACTAGGAAGTCCTGCCCAAGATCCGGTGCGTTCTTGGTGACCTGGTGTAGGAACTTGTGCATCGAAGGCGCGTGCCTCTTGAGCAGTTGTACAAACTCCTCAACTGTAGGAGCGTCACTTGCTTCTTGATCCAAGATACTAGCTGGGTCTGGTGAGCTTGGACGCGATTTGGAAGCCTCGCGGCTTCGGTAGCCACCCTTCTTCTTGGGTTTGGCAGTCTTGATCAGATCCGTAATAAATGCCTCCGCATCAGTGACAGTGCCGGACAGATCAACGGCATTGTGAATGGCTCTGATGACGGGATCCATGCCTGCGACGGCGTCGCGAATTGTAGAAGTCAAGACGTCAGGGTTGGATTTACAAAGAACCTTTGTAAGTTCCTCGCGGTCGCGAATAGAGAGATATGTGCCGAAGTACTCCATGGTCACACTGTGTTGGTGTTCGTTGAGCGATTCGGCATCAACCTTGTACGGTGGGTCAGAAGTCTCAAGAATGACTGCCACAATCGACTTGGATTCAGAGATTGACTGGCTTCGTGCAGCTTCGTGCTTCTCTCTCGGTGCGTACACAAACGTCTTGATTGCTTTGAAGACCCTCTTGTCCGGAGCATTGCGCGATGCTTCGAGTTTAGTTGCCCGCTTTTGAAATTCCGATGTATCCCATGCTAGTACTGTAGAAATGATTTGTTGTAATAGGTTCATGCCGTCGTTTGTATTATTAGTGAGACCTATCCAGTTAGTCATGGCTGTCACAGACAACTTTGCCAGGACCAGCCTGACCATGCCGTTGATCATGGTAGCAGCATTGCCAACGCGCAATGTTTGCTTGACTACGGTGTATGGAATGAGGCGGTGCAGATTCTCGAGGAGACGGACAAGGTACTGGCCGTCGGGCGACATGATAAAGATATGGTGGAGGAATGAGGCAGCACTGGTGCTGTTAGAAGTAGTACGAATATGCCGTGTGAGTACTCACTTCAGCAGCATATACTCATGTGCTGCTTGTAGACTACTCGAATGGTCTTCGAGTCTTGGGGTCGCCTTGACCTTCTCATACAGTTCATCGAGAGCATTGCCGTAAATCGACTCGTGTACCAGCTCTTCGAAACCCTGAATGACGTCCTCAGGTTTGCTGGTATCGTACTCTTTTTTGCTTTCCTTCTGCTTCCTCGAGTAACCTCCCAGCATGCCCCTCGCGACGTACTCAGCAATACTACTTGCCGCCGTTGCGAGCGCTTTCCTGCTACCAATAGCGCCCTTGTCGTAACTCTCGCTCAGTTCGGCTTCGGCCATTTTTGCGACTAGCGTCTGGATCTTCTCGGACCACCACGCCTCTCCAAAGTTTCTGATGGCGGGGTTGCACAGCGCAAACTTGTTGAGCATGTTCTGCAACAACGGGCTCGTCGACTGAACGCCATCAGCCTTGCGAAATGGGTAGCCATACTGGTCGATTGTCGAGGGATATTTGAAGGCTTCAATCTCAGCGTAGACCTGGTGGTGGATCAGGATATCAAAGAGAGCGTGTGTCTGAGCGGGAGTGAGGGGTTGGGTTGTCGACATGGCTGCGGGAGGTGTATGACACCAGGCTCAGGAACGTAGAATAAATCCATGCCTGGTCGAAGACGAGGGTGGACGCGGATGCGCCGACGACACGCGGGGTACGTCATCTTGCCTGCAGGCTTGGCAGATTAGCGACATGAACCGCTGCTACGTAGATCTTGGACCCCGCGTATTAGCTTTAAACCTATTAATACCGCGAAGAGAGATAAACTGGGATTCGATCTCTTTGTGTAGGACTGATGAGTCATGAAAATATGGCTCTAGTTCTACATCCGCTCACTATACAGCAGTATGGATATACAACCAGCACATAACTCAAGGATAGCATATACTTACTGCCTTTTGATAAGCACTGCATCTGTAGATAAGAGAAAGAAATCAAAATCTAGCATGCGAGAAAATTGTCTTGAGTAGACTCAATCTCCTTTCCCCTTCACCCCTCCTTGTTGAGCCTACAACTTCGCCTCCCTCTTGTCCTCCACTCCCACCAAAAACCTCCCAAAATACTCCTCAAGCCTCTCCCCAGCAGATCCATCCAGTGGGAAAACCATACCCACCCATCCATCCGGCCTTAATACAAACACCCCACCTTTCTCCTTATCAACCCCATACCTTTCAACCGCACTGTCATCCTCATCATAAAAGACACGCCCAAACGGCATCATACCACCCAACGCCTCATACGCAGACGATACACCCCGCCCAGAAACAACCGTAATCCACTCCACCGGCCCTTCACCACCGCTCAGCCACTTCACTCTCCTTACTGCCCCTACAAACTTCCCAAGCCGCTCCCTTGTCCCTTCCACTTCCACCTCCCCCGTAAAAACCAGCACATAAAACCCCGCAAAATTCGGCGTCTGGACCAGCAACCGCGTCTCCTCCCCCGTCCCCGGCTTACTGAGCTTAACATCCGGTGCCCTCTGCCCAGCCCGCACCATCTTCGACACAACCTCCGCTTGCCCAGTACCCACATTCAAATACCCATCCTCCTCATAAAAAATCCCCAGTCCACTACTAAACCCCGCCGCCTCCGCCATAACAGCCCCAAGAACCTCATTTGGATCCGCACGCGGATCCCCCTTCCACCCCTCTGGCAACTGCATCGTCATAAGCCGCGAGATATCCTTGTCATAATTAATCAAACGCTGTACATTCGGGAGGCGCTCTGCCTCGTACGAGCGCAGGAGGTCGGGATGCGCAACGCCCTTTAGTACAAGCGATAGCTTCCAAGCTAGATTAACGGCATCATGGATCCCAGTGTTCATGCCTTGAGCGGCCCCACTGCTATGCGTGTGACACGCATCACCGACTAGAAAGATACAGTCGTGTACGAAGAAGGAGCGGGCGATGCGTTGGCCGACGACGTAGATGGTCCACCAGTCCACCTGTTTGAAGTGGATGGAGAACGGTTTTACGGCTTCGATGGCTTCTTGCACAGCAGCGTCCTGGGTGAATTCAGCGTAAGCTTTTTGGCGCGCGCTCGTGAAGGCGAAGCCGATGCGTGTGGCGCCGCGATCGAGGGGTGCCCATAGGACGTTACCGTGCGTGGGGCTTTCGATGGCGCAGTAGGTACGGGATTTGGGGTGGTTGGTTTCGAGGACGCCGTCGATGCGGATCCATTTGTCTTCGGTCGAGGTGCCGTCGAAGGGGATGTTGAGGGTGCGGCGGACAAAGGATTTGCCCCCATCGGCGCCGATTAGGTAGCGGCATTTTACTATACTTTGGTTTTTGGTTTCGCTGTGCTCAATCGTGGCCAAGATTCTGTATCCGCCGGGCTTGACGTCTTGTAGTACCTGGATATCGACCAGTGCGTACGGTGCTTGTAGCTCGACACCTTCTTTCTTCATTGCGGTCCGGAATATGTCTTCTTGGTATTTTTGCCGCAATACCAACGCAAAGTCCCACTTTGTATCCTTCATGTTTTGCATAAATGCCCAACCTCTACCCTCAACTTCATTGCCGTATTGGTCATAATTGGCCGTCTCACGGCAGGCGAAGCATTGCTGGGCGAGAGAGTCTGCAAGGCCGAGCTGATCGAGCATCTCTGAGCTGCGGGGGAAGAGGGTAATGGCACGGCCATACTGGTCTTGCGATGACTTGACATGCTTTTCAATGATTTTGATTCTGTATTCTGAACGGTCAAGATTGCGTGCAAGTTGATACGCGGTAATGAGACCTGGTTGAAAATATTAGAGGCTCTGACATCAAAACTAAAGGGCTGTCTACATACCGGCGGGTCCCCCGCCCACCACCAGGACGTCAACGTGCTCTACAGGTACCTCGGGGCTTGTCATTATACCTGGTTGTAGCAGTCCTAAGCTTCCAAGTACTACCAAGAGCTGCCTCGGGTTTAAGCATGATCATATTTAAAGGAAACAAGCTCTATTAGCCGTAGACAAATCACAGTTGGGCCGGAGGATATGCGGGCTATCAGAGACTTGATAGGTAGGTACCCTCAAAAGCGATTGCATTCTTTTAGTCATCGCGTCCACGCAATGATACGTCGCACGACATGTGCCTGCATGCGAAGGAAGCAAGAACGGGGTACGACGCAAGCCGTATCAGTGTCTGATAAGATAAGCCGGCTGGATGAGCCGAGGTGACGGTGACCGACTAAGTCCGTCAATCAGGAAGCAGGTAGTATGGGCTGTGTATCAAGGCTCAATTCGTTCTCGATCAAATCTTCTTTTCAGATTCATCTACATACTACATCTCTTGTACAAATTTCAGGTCGAGGTTATCACTTCACCAATCAACCAATCTACAACTTCGCATCTAGTCAACCCAAGTAGCCGTTTGCACTCAGCCACTCCCGCACGACCTTCTCGTCTCGTGCAGCATAGGCAGCGTAACTGCGGATCGTGTCATCCACAACCTCAAGGCCCTTGTTGTAACCTCTGGTATCCTTGTTGGAGAAGAACTTCTGAATGTCGTCCGCGACAGCAGCATCGGTAAACTTGTTGAGACCAAATCTCAGGAAGCGCTCTAGCACGACAGGGTTTCCAGAGAGTGCAGGGTGAACCTTGGAATCCCAGTTGTCGCGGATGTAGTGCCATACTTCTACTCGCACCTTTGAGTTGTTTGCGAGAGCGATCGTTGACGAGTGCTTGTCTTGCATGGCTACGGCATCCGAGAAGACGAAATCCATGACTTGTTTCGCAAGCTCAGGTGTTTGCACACGGCCAAGCGAGCCTAGGCAAATTTCCTTTCCATCAATGGATGTTGTGTTGAGGTATTCATTCTGCACAGCCTTGAGCGCTGGCTCGCCACGGTTCTTGATGGCTGTGGAAAAGACGGCCCGGCGGAGCGAAGGGTGGATGGCCTTCTTGTCTCCACCAGAGACGTACGCGTCAAATCTCTTCAGCGCCTCATCAACAGTAGCCTGGTGGCCAACGATACCTGCAGATAGGAGAAGGCTAGCACGCAGCTGACCGACAAGGTAGCTCTCACCATCCTTGAACTCCCATCCAACCTTCTCGACAGCCGGTGTAATGAGCTTGAGGTGGTACTTTCTCAAAGCTTCACTGATATCCTCGCTACCGGAGAACACACTCCGGACATTACCAATGTTGGTAAGAATTTGGGACCAAACAAGGTAGTCGGATTCGTCCTGGAAGCGTTCTGCTAGTGCGAGCAGGCCAGCAGTAGATCCGTATCCAGCTACAGCATTGGCATATGCATCGCCAACAAGACCGATCTTGTCTTGTACAGTAAGCTGGTCGCGGGCTTCTCCGAGCTTCTTCAGACGGTCCGGAGGGTAGTTAGTTCTGTAGAAGCCAGTAAGGTTCTTGTTGAGCTGGTAGAAACCCTGGCTGACATCCCGGACTGTGTCTTCCTTTTGTGTCAAGGCAGTGGTTCCGTGAACGGACGCCGTAGAGGGTGAGTCACCAGTGTGAAGACCCAGCGGGATCCACCAAGTAGTTTGGTCCTCTTCCGGCTTAACGTTGCCGGCGAGAAGGAAGCGTTGCTGGCGAAGCCCGATTTGACCAGGCTCTTCGGCGACGGTGACGACAGGGAAACCTATCCTGCGGACCCAGTGGTCCATGAAGCTGTTGACGTCCTGGCCAGAAGCCTTGCTCAGAGCAGACCATAGATCATTGGTGGTTGCGTTGGAGTACTGGTGGGCCTTGAGGTAGTCTGCAACACCTTGCAAGAAGACCTTCTCGCCAAGATGAGCACTCAGCATACGAATGACGGAAGATCCCTTCAAGTAGGAAATGTGATCAAAAATCTGGTCAACCTCCAGGCCGTCGTATACAGGCACTTCGATGGGGTGAGAGGTGCGCAGGGCGTCAAGAGCGAAAGCTTGTTGCACGGAATCAGTCTGGGAAAATTGTCAGTAAGCTAATAGAATAGATACCTCGAGATTTATGACGTACGACAAACTGTCCCCAGACATTCCACTCTAAACTTGTTGTTAGCGTAAATTCTGAGACTTCATAGAGAGGTCATACCTGGATAAAGATGGTCAATAGCAAGCCATCCGACCCAGGTAGCAAAACCCTCGTTGAGCCACAGCTCGCTCCACCAGTCCATGGTGACAAGGTTACCGAACCACTGGTGGGCAAGCTCGTGAGCTACAACATAGGCTACCCGGTTTCGGTAGCTGTCTGCGGAAGTCGCAGGGTCGAAAAGTACTGCGGTCGTTCTGAAGCTGTATTAGTGCTACATTCAAATCGTATGGATTCCTAAGACATGCCTGTAGGTGATGAGACCCCAGTTCTCCATGGCTCCGTGTGACTAGAAAACAAGGTCAGCGTTACGCAACTATGGGGGAGGGACTGCACGTATGATTGGCTGAAGAGTCAACGCAACGTTCGGTGCACTCCGCGGTCTTACTTACAAATTCATGAACGGCCAGCAGGTCGACCTTGGGAAGAGGATAATCAATTTGGAAGATTTCAGAAAAGTGATCGACAATCTTATGGCAATTGTCCAAGGCAAAGCGTCCCTGCTCCTTCAGACCGCGAGTCGTATAGACCCTGACTGGGATGTTCTTGCCGTTGTACTTGCGCTCGGTGAAAGCCTCGACGTACTCAAAGTCACCAATAGCCCATGCCAAGAGGTATGTCGACATGATGGGTGACCTCTCAAACGCAACAGTATGGAAGCCGTCCCGCTTGCTAGGCTTAATTTCCTTCTCAGGCATGTTGCTAAGTGCAACCTGGTCCTTGGGTACTTCGAGCTCAACGTCAAACGTAGCCTTGAGGTTGGGTTCGTCGAAGCAAGGGAAGGCGCGACGGGCGTCGCAAGCTTCGAACTGGGTGCTGAACATGTAGTGGAACTCGTCGTCCTTGGCTACAGACGCAGGAACTTCGCCCTTGGGCTTGTACTTGGAGCGGTAGAAACCAGCCATGACGTTGTTGACAGCGCCCTGGAACTGGATCTCCAGCACAGTCTCGCCAGTGTAGGTGATGCTGTCGCCAAAGTTCAGCGTAACCTGCTGCCTCTTCTCATCGTAGCTGAAGTCTTTGGCTGGGTATGTCTTATCGCCAGCCTTCAGCTCGGCGCTCTTGAGCTTGAGCTGGTGAGCGTTGAGAACGAGCGTGCTGAAGCCGTCATCCTTGGTAATCTTTGTATTGATCTTAACGGTGCCGTGGTATCCAAACTTGCCGCCGAATTCGAGGTCGTAGAGGGAGAGGTCATAGTGCGAGGGCTTAGCCCTATCAAATGATTATCAGCTTCTCCTGATCCTGATAACGGGCGAAATGCAATGCAATTTACTGACCATGCTGGAAGGACATCGCGATCTGAAGCCATGTTTGCGAAGCTGCTGGTAGCTTCGCTTTGACACAGCCTCTTTTGGATGCTGAGTGCTACTGCAGACCGGGGACGCGGCCTCAATTGGGTGCGAGGGGTAGAGCAAAGCTGTCTGGTTGCTGACGAAAAGCTTCTGGAGCGCTCAAGGTGGGCTGAGCAAAGATAGGGCAAAGTAAGAGATGAAAGTTGACCCGTAAGCAGCAGATGCGAAGTGTGTTTGGTGTCGAGCCGGGCACGAACCAGATGTCGAGAGCAGAGTCTCGCAGAGGTAGAGAGGGCAGCCAGCTTGGAGGGCAAAACGAGGGGCAAGATTACTCAAGAGCGGGTTTCAATGGCATAAGACGACGCATGAGGACTGAGAGGGGAAGGTGGGCGTGCGGCATGTCGGATGCCCCACCTCTCGAGACGATCCCTGCGGCGGCGTGTTTAGCGCGGGGTGCTTGGGAAGCGTCTGCTAGTACGCATCCATCGATATAGCTGAGTGCGAGAGCGGCCATTATTTCGACATGTGACATGCGCGTCATTGACTGCGATGGTACGGGTGGGTGGAGGCGTTCCAGATAATGTCCTCCGCCACCACCCCTGGCCAGGCAAACCCTCACGATTGTCGCCCTCTGTTCTCCTATGCTGCACGAATTCATACATCATGTACAGGCGCGGTCCAGGAAAATAGTAGTAAATGGTAGTTTTGTATCGTGGCAATCCCTGTTACGCCATGCAAATGCTTCAGTTCCACGCCTAGTCATGCAGTGATGTCTTTTCCACGCCAACCAAGCTGTCTGTCCACAAAACGCCGCACAAATACTTGCATTTCCACACGTAGGCTGCCACGTGCTGTACTTCTCTTTGCTCAGACTCGGATGAGCACATCGAGACATTGAATCCGCCATTCCTTCTTCCCCAGCAAGCCCTTGACCCACTCGTAACTCTGCGCGTCACTCGCCTGGCCCAGTCCAATCTTTCCCTTGACTCCTTCCACCGCAGCCTTGACCACAACCTGTGCTGTGTGGTTCGCAGCCTGCGCCAGTACTCCGGCTGTTTCTGACGCGGTGCCATTGAGCGCTAGTTCCGCGCTGTCCGACAGCGGCGCATCAAACCATGGCGTGTGGAAGTCGAAGAGCGCAACGACAAGAATGAAAAGGAGTAGCGAGCAATACACGCACGGTCGGTTTAGGAAGTATGTAGCCGATATGAAGAGGACAAGGTAGACGGGAGATGCTTGAGTCCGCAGTCTGGCCACGACAGTCAGCATGTGCACAGCGCCGCCGTCGAGAGGGGGTGATAAGACGCCTTACTTACAAGAAGAAAAGCACTGGGATCCAGCTTCGCAGACAAAACATTGTTGCGTCTTCAAGATGAGGGCAGAGTCGATTGCCAGGCGCGCACGCGCGCTACGCTATTTGAGGGCGTCGTGTCACCTTCGCGAGTCGGTTGAGATGCAGAGCAGCGGTCTACAGAAAGATGGCAGTCGAGATACTAGACGCCCTGCTTTCTTATCACTAGGCAACGATAGTGGCGAATATGTAGCCGGTGCAAGACGTGTGGTAAAGGGAAACAGCGAGTAAGAATATTAATACGGGGTATGAGGGCAAAACAGGGCGGGCAGGGTGCCAGTGAGATGAAATGGTGCTGAGTTGCTGGCGGCGGGCTAGGGTCGGTTGATGGACGAGCCCTCCCACCGCCTTCGCTGAATGGCGCTTGCATGCATACAGGTATGCACTGCCTCACGTGCTTCAGCCTTGTCAATCATACTTTGTGACGCGGCATTACTCTGATACATGCGCGTTTCGTCCGCTTCTAACAACAGTGAGCATGTCGCGGTATAGGAATGCTCATAACAATGTATCTGCTTACATGTTCGTGCGCAGTGTGCAGCGAGTCGGACTTGGCAGTCTCGAAGATCACGTGCCTCGACCAGCTCCATAGTAGATCAACATGTTTCATTGCCAAGTCTCAATATACATAGTCATTGGTATCTTGATGCGAGCTCCGTATAGCCCATTTTCTTACGTCACCCCAACGTGCACAACACCCATCTAGGCAACTCCCGTGCACCTTTCCCAGCCCATTTGCATCCTCGTCCATTCACCAAAATGCCCAGAAAACGCCTCCCTAAGTAGATATACCAGTACAGGAAGCCAAAGTGACGCCGTATTCGGCCGCCGGCAGCAGAAAGAGAGCAGTCCTCATCATGAGTCCTTCTATACGGGCAAGTTGAACTTCTTGCCTTGGATGACCCTGGTAACCGTTGGTTAGTCATCTGATCGCTCATTCCCACAACTAGACAACTTACTTTGTGTAGTAGATGTAGAAGAAATCAGAGTACAGGATGGTTTGGATAATACCCGCAATCACGGCAATTGGGTCGTAGAACTTGGGTACTTCAAAGAAGTAGCGGTAGATCCAGTTGGGAATGTACAGCGCCCTGTACGCGCCGAGCGCAAAAAGATAGTGGGTTGTAATTGTCTCTGCCTCGCCAGTCCGCTGAAGCATAAAGAGCTGTGGCAGGATTGCGACCGACTCTAGCCAGATGGAGAAAGCCCAAAGAATCTGTGTGCTTGGTTAACACAACTCCTTGGCGGTACTTGGACGTGCCGTACCTCGGAAAACGTGTACTTGTACGGAAATAAAACAGCCAGTACAGCGCTAGCTCCCAGAAGATACTGAACTTTAAACGTGTCTAAATTCGGGTCGTGGGTCGGCTTGTAATCATTGAGCATCAGGTAGACGGTGTAGGCAGACGTGCTGATGAAGATGATTTTGAACACGGTCAGATAAAGGGACTTTGGCTCGTAAAAGGTCCATAGCAGGTCGACGTAGCGCGTAAGATAGACGATCAGGTAGAGGAATTGCGACTTGAATGAGATGCCAGAGGCGCTCTATGAACACGTTAGCTCCAGCCATTGCACGAGACAGCAGACAATTCCAGCGTACGCTCGACGATTTCATCTTATGCAGAAGAATCAAGATGGAGAGTAAGTGGGATAAATCCCCTGCGCGAAGTCAGCAATGCCATGATCCCCCAGCGGGCGCCGTCTTGGTCGCGACGGCCCTCGCTCTCCATTCTGCGTACCCAAAAGTCGGAAGAGATTCATCGTGGCGGCGGGCGTGTCGCTGAGCGCTTCTAGGAAAGCAGCAAATGTTTGGCGACAAGAGGTGGTGTGAGCGTGGAGATTCGCACTTTCTCACATAAAAAGACACGTTCCGACAGCTCTCTGTACGTAAGGACGGATGGAGCTACGTAGCCCTTGCTTGCCAAGCCCGACCCCTGCCAGGAACGTCACCTCTGATCGTCGCCGCTCCCGCAGTGGTTCGCATACCCAACGCGCACCCTTCCACGGTACATCTGCGGCCATTCTTGTCTTGTCAATTATATATGCCCAAGAGACCTCTGCTCACAGAAAGTCAGTCAATACGTAGAGTACCAGCGCTGTTTGCCCTGGACGCAGCTGGAGGCTGACACAGCTGCTATGATTCGAAACGTCCATAGATCCCTGCACCAGTGATCCAAGCTAGCTCTCACACATCTGAAGAGCCCAGAAATAGCACAACCACTTCCAGCTCTGCGTTGCCATGGCCTACTTGCTGGGATGGAAAGACATACTCCGGCCAATTCGTGATGGATATCGCCATCTGTTCCCCGCACCGGACACAGGGCCAACGCCTGAGGAGAGACGCAAACAACGCGATCTGGATCGGCTCAAAGGCTTCACTTACTTCGACACTTTTGATCAATTAGAGGCGTGGACAAAAGGTGATTGCGACTCTTTTCAAAGAGCCAACACCCCCCGCATACGAACAGAGGATAGGGGTACAAACGACAGCCTCGATAAAGCAGATGTTCTCTTGATCCATGATTACTCCGGAAACTACCATGATTATGAGAGCGTACAGGGGACCGGTGTTGATGCGGAGCTCTATTCCTGTGAATATCTTCAATTTGTCGATGTATTCATCTACTTCTCACACAAGCTTGTCTGTGTGCCTCCGCCAACGTGGACGAATACGCTTCATCGCAACGGCGTCGAGGTTCTAGGTACACTCCTAGTTGAGCCACAAACTGAGGGCTCTGAGCGTCTCCTACAGCATACGCGTGAGGGTCAAACCCTGAATTTTCTGTTGGCAAAAACTCTAGCAAGAATTGCTGCGCATCACGGTTTCGACGGCTGGCTCGTGAACATTGAAAAACGATTCCCAAATGATGTTTGGGACCCCGCAGTCCTCGAAGCCTTCCTTTGCCAGCTGAGAGCCGAAATGGGCGGTACAATGAGGCTTATATGGTAGGCACAAACTCCGTCTTTTCCTAGCCATTGGGACAGTGTAACGGTGCTTTAGGTATGATGCTCTCACCGTTTCGAACAAGATATCGTACCAAAATGCGCTGAACACGTCCAACATCAAGTTCGCATCGGCCTGTGGAAGTATACTCACAAATTACTGCTGGAAAGATGCTGAGGCTGAAAACTCGCTACAGCTTGCTCTGTCGAGCAAGATCTCGCCCGAAAATGTCTTCTTTGGCATTGATGTGTGGGCGCAGAACAAATCCAGTTTCGCTCACCCACGTATTACTTATCCAGAATATGGGGGAGGGGCACCAACACTGGTGTTGCTGTGGCTAAACTTGCCGACCTAGGGCTGTCAGCAGGCATATTTGCCCCAGCGTGGTCCTTTGAGCATTTTCCCGGAAAGGGGCGTGACGCTGAACGTACAGTCTGGCAAGGAACCCCACTTCCGCATGACATGGACTGCTCTTGTGGAGATTGCTCGTCGCGTCATCAGCCCAATGATGCTTTTGCAATCCTCAAGAATGCGAAAGAGCGTGTGGCTGGCTCAGAAAACTTCTTCTACACTGACTTCACGCGCGCTTTTGCTATGCATGACGACGCATCGAACGATCTATTCGACGGCTGTAGTATCCATGCTCAACTAGGTAGTCAATCCATTCTTCCGCGTCCAGTCATTTTCGGAGACAGACATCAAGCTGTTGAGCTCTGGCACCGTCTTGACAATAGCTCAAGTACTTCCTGCTTGGTAATTGAGGCCACACAAAATCATTCGAATACTGATGACACGACAGAAGTCTGGCTTCCATTATTCAAACTCGATATGCCCGCAGATGGGTCTTTGCAAGCTGAAATATACAGTGACAATGCGTCATTATTAGCTGGCCATAGTATTCTCAGCTTTTACACTCGAACCACAGATTCTGTTCACCTTGCCACCATCACACCCGGGAAAGGAATTCAGCGAACAGTATGCTCACCAGAGTCTTTTGTGCCTGACGCACGCATTCAGGAGCTTGGGGTCCATTTGAAAGGCTCAATCAGTACTGCTCTAGGTAAGACTATGCAGTTACTGAATATCACGAGTGTCCGGATTATGCCGATTTCCACTTTTCAGATGTCTTCTTCATTATACATCAACCAAATTCAACTTCAAAAGCGAGGTGAAGGAGATTGTGAGCGCGTGCAGCTGGTTTGGGGCTACAAAGACCATGGAAGAACTAAATATAAAGACAACGGAATTCCCCGTAGCAACATTACAGGGCCTTTCTCGCATTTTGTCATTTCCACGGATGGAAGAATGCTCGGTAAAGCATACGCGTTGGAGCATATTCTAAAAAAACAATTCGCTGCGAAGAATGCGGGATCGACTCTGGAATTCGAGCTTGTTGGGGTAGGCTTCGATGGACAAACACTCGCGAAGAGCAGCGCCAAGCTGCTTCTACCTTAAGCTGACAGAGCTTCAAATTTAACAATCTTGCACAATGCGCTCAAGTATTTATCCAAACATTGGACAGTTGGGCTAAGAATGGACTAGTGCGTCATCGACGTCATCGACGTCATCGACTACTAGGTACTTTCCCGCGTCGCATCTCAGCTTGCAATGTATTACACCACTGGACAATGAGAGTGCTCGCTCAGCAATTAGTGAGGTTGTCTCATACATTGCCGAGGGTTTGTTATCAGCTACATCCGTCTGCATCTGTCTTCACGGCATCACAAGCCCGACGGCTTCATGCGTCTGCATTCACAATGAGCCCATCGAAGCGTAAACATGAAAAAGAAACATTATCCCCTAAGTCGAAGAGACCAAAGGTCGAGATACCTGCTTATCACCTTGCTCAGTCGAGACAAGATGAGAGTGGCGAGATAGTTTGGCCCGCCAGGCGCGAACAAATTGAATGTGCGCGGACGATTATCAAAGAGTGGTAAGCTTCAATTTGTGAAAGGCTCATCTACTATTTACTAATGATCAACAGTGCTATTGCTCAGAAACCGACTGTCATAATACCAGACAAAGATGCAGACGGCCTGTCTTCGGGTGCTATACTGTACCATACACTCACTACTCTCGGTTTATCATCTGACCATATATCGGTGTACTTTCCTCCGAAAGGCTCTAACGTCCATGACGAAAGCACAAAGGAAGCTCTTGCCGCTATGTTGCCAGTGTACATCTTTGTTCTAGATCAAGGCAGCAGAAAGAGCCCGCCACTGATTGACTCTCCACATACATGTCTTGTTATAGATCATCACTTTGCAGATGAAGGGGGTTTCCCAGAAGGTGCCGAGTATGTCACGGCTCATGAATGTCCTCCTGTTGCAACAAGTGCCCTCTTGACATACAACATCTGCCTGCCATTGCATGTAGACTTGAATGACAAGATCTCCTGGCTTGCAGCACTGGGAACCCACGGCGACCTAGGCGGCACCATCAAGTGGGAGCCACCCTTTCCAGATATGACGGCTACTTTCAAACAACACACGAAGAAGGCGATCAACGATGCCGTAGCCTTAGTCAACGCGCCGAGACGGTCGGCAGCTTATAATGTCGAGGATGCGTGGGCTGCGGTGCTCTCTGCAAAAAGCCCTGGCTCAATTGTCAAAGACGAGAAACTTCGTAACGCGTCTTTGGAGGTGCGACGCGAAACCGAGCGCTGCACGCATACACCGCCCATGTTCTCCGCGGACGCTACCATTGCCCTACTGTCGATATCCTCGGCTGCACAGATTCATCCCGTCATCGCGACCCGCTGGTCAGGTACTTTAAAGTCAAACAAGCTAGAGATTGTAATGTGTGCGAACGAGGGCTATCTTCCAGAAAAAGTCAATTTCTCGTGTCGAGTTGCTAGGTGTGCGCGGGCGCGGGAAGGGGAGGAGAAGATTGACATCATCAAGAAGCTTGAGGGCATTGTTGCTGGTGACAACGACCTGAGAGCAAGACTGGGAGAGAGCTTTGCAAGAGGACACAAGGAGGCTAGTGGTGGTATTGTGGGAAAGCAAGAGTGGGAAGAGTTCAAGAAATTGATGGGCGTGGGGGAGCGTACGAAGAAGACGGAACCTGCCACTAGAAAGGAGAAGCCAACACAGAAAAACACACTTGCCAACTACTTTGGCAAATCCGCAAAGGCATAGAAAGCATAGACAAGGTCACGTTTCGCCTTGATCATGCAGCACGATAGATTGGTTCCGCCCTCGTCGCCGCCCTCGCCACCGTTGTACGGAAGAGGCGCCAATGAAACCCGGGACACGACTAAGGGGTTGCAGCAGCAGGTAGGAATGCGACAACATTCAATCTAATCCGGTCGCACCAGAAATGAAAGCCTCCGCTAGTGACGTTCTTTTGCATCTTCGACTTGTTCGCGAACCGGCGTATCGGCCTCGAAGCCGGAAGATCTCGTCTAGGCGTTGAAAACACAGAGGCGACCAATGGCGCTATAGTGGCTTCGTTATGTTTCGAATATGGATGAGGTGGGTCTGCTGGGCGCCGCATGTCTAGGATGTTGACTTTACCCAATCGACACACTCCGTGTTGTCGACTACGGCGAGTTGACAGAAGAAGACTGCGCATAGAGCCTCCAAGGCTTGGGTGTCCTGGCATCAATGAAAAATCAGATTACATCGCTTACTCGGTGTCTCCCATCGCTACAACGGTATCGTCCAAATGACCATGCCTAATCAATCCAGCCTCATATTGCGGGGCACCATTGCATCCGAAACAACGCCGGTTGATGCAACACCCGACCAAAAAACGAATGCCGGGCCCAATCAGGCAAATTCCGGGGCTTGGAGTGCCGCATCGGCGAATAGTAAACATGGGTATAAATTGAGTGCTGATGAGCACGCGCTTCGTGACAGGTGCCAAGAAAGCTTGGTTGGAGCGACGCAATCTACATGTGTGACAAACAATGGATTCGAGCCACAAGTCACGCAGAATCAGGGATTGGCAAGACACTCAGTGGAGTAGTGCTACTGGTATGACGGCCCGGGGCAAAACCGTTGCTGTTAGATTGCTCGGTGTCAGCCAGCAAGATGGGGCGTTCAGCAGCCTGAGAATAAATAAGAGCAATCTTCTGCCTTGAAGTTGAACAGCACGACACAGACAGTCACTTTCAAACACTCTCACATCAACTCTCCATCGCAATCATGAAGTACTCTACTATCATCCTCGCTGCTGCGACCACCGCCTCTGCCCACTCGACATGGCAGCAGCTGTGGGTTGGAAGCACAGACAAGGCGACCAGCTGCACGCGTACTGTCAAGGATAACAGCCCTATTGACAGCTTGTCTTCATCCGACATGTTCTGTGGTCGTGGTCCTGCTGCCTCATCCGGTGTCTGCGAAGTTGCTGGTAAGTCTCAATATCCCCAAACCTCCACTCCAGAAACAGGAGAACAACTCCGTCTCCATTCCACTCTTGGTACTGTACAATAGACACAGGCTAACATTAAACCCAGCCGGTACTTCCCTCACCGTTGAGATGCACGCTCAGCCCGGCGCGCGCGCCTGCTCGCAGCCTGCCATCGGCGGCAACCACTACGGCCCGGTCCTTATCTACATGGCCAAGGTCAGCGATGCCAAAACCGCCAGCTCCGGCTCTTTCTTCAAGGTCGCCGAGGATGGATACACTGGTACCACCGCCTCATGGGGAACTGAGATCCTCAACGCAAACTGCGGCAAGCGCTCCTTCACTGTTCCCAAGAACATTGCTTCTGGTGACTACCTTGTCCGCGCCGAGGCTATTGCCCTACACGCTGGCGCTGGAAGCCCTCAGCCCTACGTCAGCTGCTTCCAGGTCAAGGTTACTGGAGGAGGCAGTGCTACCCCCTCTGGCGTCAGCTTCCCCGGTGCCTACAAGCTCAGCGACCCGATTTTCACGAAGGCCATCTACGATTCGAGCTTCAAGTACGTCAGCCCTGGCCCTGCTGTCTACTCTGGTTAGGAGACTTGAACATCCGAAATGATTCTGAACGAAAGGAACGGGGAGATTACGGTGGCTTGGTGATTTGACATTCTTATACGACGGGTCGGAGAGATTCTTTGTACATAAACCTTCTCCGAACTCCATATTGCTTGGACCCATTTTTTTTACATACCACATATATAACCATTTGAAATGGGAAATAACATTCTTCTTCTCACATCTCTCTCTTCCCTCTTTTTTTTCTTCCCTCCTCTAGTAAACCCCCTTTGCAACCTTCTCATCATACGCCAACACCGCCTCAAGCAACACCTGCGCCCCCAGCGCGCAATGCTCAGGACTCGTATACTCCTCAGGATTATGACTAATGCCATCTCTACTCGGCACAAAAATCATACTCGTAGGTACCACGCGACTCGTCCACGCGCTATCGTGGCCCGCTCTACTCATCATACTCATAACCTGGTCTTCACCAACCAGTCCCACCGCTGCGCCCCGCACAGCCTCGATGCAATGCGGATGAAACTTTGACTCTGGGAGGCCCCATGTCCGCTGTATTTTGTAAGTTGTGCCATTCGTTTCTTCAGCGATGATTTTATCGAAAGTGGCGAAGATGGCGGTGGAAAGTTGCGTCACCAGCGCGTCGGTGGAACATCTTATATCGATTATGAAATCGACGCCCGCAGGGATTGTGGCTTGGGATGCGGTATCGCTTTTTATGACGCCGACGGTGGCAACGCCGAGTTCAGTGTGTAGTGCTGTGTCGCGGACGGCGGTGATGAGGCGCGAGGCCGTTACCAGCGCATCTGACCGGTCGGGCATGGGCGTGGTACCGGAATGGCCTTCTTTCCCCAGCACGCGGATGGCGTACCATTGCATTCCCTGGACGGTTTCGACGACGCCGACGGTTTTGCCGGCGCGCTCGAGTAAGGGGCCTTGCTCGATGTGGAGTTCGAAGTGGCAGTGGAGGGGGTTGTCGAGGTGGGAACAGGGGGTTTCGCCGAGATAGTTTATTTGCTGGAGTGCGTCTTTCATGGTTATACCATCGGGATCGAGAGTAGACCAGCAGGTGGAGAGGGGGGTGCTGGAGTGCTGGCTCCAGACGCCAGAGGACATCATTGCGCCGGGGAAGCGGGCCCCTTCTTCGTTGGTCCAGTTTATCAGGGCCAGGGGACAGTGGGTTGAGATGTTGTTTTCGTGGAGGGTGCGGAGAACTTCGAGGGCGGCTTGGACGCCTAGGATACCGTCGTATCTGGGTTTGAGTTAGTAAGTTTCTTAGGCTTGGTCGTTGATATGGTAGTGGCCAGTACCTCCCACCTGCAGGCTGTGTATCCATATGACTGCCCATACCAATTGGCTTTTTGTCTTTGGAGGTACCTTCACGAATTGCAAAGATATTTCCCATTTGATCAACTTTTATTTCGCATCCCAGGCTCTTGCATTCTGATACTAGCCAGTCTCGCGCGGCTTGATCTTCTGGGGTGAGAGTGAGACGACACATGCCCGTTGAAGGGGCCGCAAGAGCGCCATACTGTGTGCAAGTATCTTGCAATGTACTGTTCAGTCTATCTCCATTGATCTTGAGAGAACTTGAAGTCATTTTGACGACTATAATGCCAGCTTTGATGCTTCAATGATGTTATGGTTTCAAAGGAGGTATATAAACGGTGGTCTACCCCTCTCTAACACACATCTAGCGGAAACGTGTGTATTTGCTAATTGTGACAGAATTATATGACTGTACAGAGTTCCACACATTATGCTTACTTACTCCAACTCTACGTGTTCAGCCGCTGATAAGGTGTGGAGGAGCAAAGGTGGGGCAGATGTGAGTGGGGGGTTGAGATATGCACCTCACTATCTTGGACTAGCCTTCCTCCAACTACCATGATAGCCGACGACATGTATCTTCAGGAGCTTTTGTTCGCTCTGCATCTCTTTTTATCTGATTCAAAAGATTGAGAAAGGCGGAGAAAAAATGACAGCTGAATATGATTTGCTCATCATCAATGGAGTAGTAGTTTCGGAAACAGATATCCAAGAGTTGGACATTGCCATCAAGGATGAGAAGATTGCAAAGGTAGTCCCAAGAGGGGGTCTGGGAGATGCCAAAGCAACAAAGACAATAGATGCTGAAGGTGGATACGTGATGCCAGGAGGTGTAGATGCACATGTCCATCTTCAAGAACCCCCATTATTCGGCCAGGGATCAACAGCAGACAACTACGAGACAGGCAGCCGATCAGCCGTATGCGGCGGTACAACAACCATGATAACATTTGCACCTCAAAAAAAGACCGAAGACACCCTCCTCGACACTCTATCTGCAACTCACTCACGCGCAAAAGACAACTGCTACATCGACTACTCCTTCCACATCATCGTTGGCAATCCCTCCCCAAAAGCCCTCTCAGAATTCCCCATTCTCCGCAACGAAGGCATCTCTTCTCTGAAAATCTACATGACCTACGAAGCCCTCCAACTCCACGACGGCCAGATCCTCGACATCCTCCTCCACGCCCGCACCCACTCCATCACCACCATGATCCACGCCGAAAACGGCCAAGTAATCGACTGGATGACCGCACAGCTCGAGAAACGCAAACTCTTCGCCCCAAAATACCACGGCTCCTCCCACCCGCCCATGGCAGAAACAGAAGCCACCTACCGCGCAATCTCCCTCTCCGAATTCATGGACACGCCCATCCTAATCGTCCACGTCTCCACCCCCTCGGCCACGCTGCACATCCAAACCGCACAAACCCGCGGTCTCCCCATCTACGCAGAAACCTGTCCACAATACCTCTTCCTCACCTCGTCCTCGCTCTCGGCCCCGGGTTTCGAAGGCGCAAAATGCGTCTGCTCGCCTCCCCCCCGCGCCAGCACCTCGGACTGCGACGCCATCTGGGACGGCCTCGCCAACGGCACCTTTACCATCCTCTCATCCGACCACTGTCCCTTCCGCTACAACGACGCCGTCTCGGGCAAGAAAAGTAGCATCTCGCCCGAATTTCCCGACGGCCACTTTAAATACATACCGAATGGCTGCCCCGGCATAGAAACGCGGCTCGCGCTTACGCTCGGCGCGAATCGCCTTGCTCTCACGAAATTCGTCGAGCTGACGGCGGCGAATCCGGCAAAGCTTTATGGATTGTATCCAACAAAGGGGGCGTTGAGGGAGGGCGTCTCGGATGCGGATGTGGTGGTGTGGTATCCGGAGGGGGAAATGGAGCCGTTTGAACTAAAGAATGAGATGCTGCATCATGATGTGGATTATACGCCGTTTGAAGGGATGAGGATGACGCAGTGGCCGAGGTGGACGGTGTTGAGGGGGAGGGTGGTGTGGGATAGGGAGGGTGGGGGATTGGTGGGGGAGAAGGGGTATGGGAGGTTTGTTAGGAGGGAGGCAAGTAGTCTTGCTAAACCGAGGAATGAAGGGGAGTGGGTTTTGCCGTTGTAGTGGAGTGTATTGAGATGGAGCTGGGGGAGTATGGTGGTTCACAAAGGGGGGGGGTGATGCCAAGGTTCTTTGTGTTCAGATGTTTTGTCATATTTTTCCTTTTCAAAATCTCAAGTAGATGTAGATCGGTGGATTTGGATGTGCAATGTCCGAGGAGAATACATGTGCGATATTGATTTGCTACAAGCATCGAAGGTTTTGCGTATATTGTATGAGGTAGGCATTGAGCAGAATGTATGATCTCACAGCTCCTCAAGATCTTCATCACCCATGTCAAGAGGCGGGAAATCGCCAGCTTCGCATCGCTCGGGCCGCACAAACACTCCATAGTTAGGGCTACACTCAAAGTATCGCTTCCCCTTGACGGAACCATCATTCTTCCCCGTCGGCTCGTCGAGAGTGACCCCCACCCATACACCTATGCCGGGGATCTCTGGGATCAACCCAATGTACGACACGGTGCCGCGGCGTGCATCCGACTCGGGTAGTAGGCGGACACGACTCGATACAGATAGACCTAGTGAAACCTGTCAGCGATCGCTCTTCGAGTATTGGTGTGGGTCAGTCAGTAAAGTGTATGTCCCGATTTGCTTATAAGTAGCGAAAACGAAAGTGGCCACCACCCCCTGGCTATGGAGCGAAGCCTAACTCAGTTTGAACCTCAACCTTTGTTACCAAAGAGCAAGTGCTAGTGACGATAATCGAGCGACATGGTTCCGAAGTGATTGATTTTTTGTGTTGCGCAGGTCCCAAGCCGCCAACCTGCCTGCCTCTGACATACATGCACACACACACATACACATATACAGAGTTGCCGCATGTGAAGCGCCCATTGTGAGGAGCGCTGAGATCTAAACGGGGGATACGGTCACCAACTGACAATGCACAGGCGGGACTGGCGACATGTTCCAACCGCGATGCGCTGCGGCGTTGATTGTCTAGACGCACAAGCGATATCCTCGTTCCAATACAAGCCTCGAGGCTATAGCGCACGACAATTGATACAGGCCCCGCCACCCGGAGACCACCATCACCATGTTGCTGCAGGCATTCAATTGCTCGTTGCAGGCGTGGCTTGTGGCGACCAAGTGTCAAGTCAAGGAAGTTTGGAGCGTGAGGGTGGTGACAGGCGTATTTATCATTGCATTTGAGTTTCGGGGGGCCTCGTTCCGATCCTTAGCTCCCAGCGGGACGGGAAGCGAGGCGAGGCGAGAGTGATATTGCGAGAGATATAAACGATCCCCGATGCAACCGAAACTTGCAATACTCGATTGCCAGTTTACTATTGTCGATTGGACGTGTTCAGACGCCGTCGCAGGTGGTATTGGGCCCCTGGCCAAAGGGGGCCCAGGGTGTCATGCAGGTTGCTGAAAAGAGTATGTTTTGTACGACCGGTTCGGTGAGACGGCATCAGGTCTAGAAAGTGCTTGTCTGACATGCTTACTTCCTTGTCGATGCTTCATGACTGGATGAAACCTGCTGACATGATGTCGGTGGCGAGGCCTTGGGGTCGGGTATGTGTAGCCGCGGCTTTGAGAACCGTTTGAGGCATGTACATTACGCGTGAAGGAATGGTGTAGGTTGAACCAGAGTAATACCCGCAATTGTCAATTGGCCCCAGAATTGCTTTTTTTGTCTCTCTCTCTCTTAGAACACAGCCACCACTGCGGTACGAGTATGTGGCCCAAGACATGCACAAGGAGACGTTTACGCTTACCTCTCTCTTCTACTTCTCGCTCAGAGGCGCGGATCTTTTGTTGTTCTATGCTGGGAGCGTTTGGATCAAATCGCCCAAGCTTTTGAGCCTTCTTCCATGCAAGAACACTATCGGTCCGATGCTCGTACTCTGCCGCCGGCATCTCATACTTCTCAACGGCGGACAGGTCATTGAAGTCTGTACGTGCAGCGGGTGGACGCGTATCTACAACCTAGAGATTGCATGTCAACACGAGAGGCCATGTACGCGCACTGATTTGTTCGCAGAGCCCTGTCCGAAGAACTATGGAGCTGAACGGTCGGTGCAGGGGTTGTGTCGTGAGGCAAGATGAAGTGTCAAATAGGACCGAGGTGCCGAGCCAAAAGAAAAAAGGAGAGCAAATAGGCAAGAGAATGAGAGCTGCGCAATTGGAGTCAGGAGACGCACTGCTCAGCACATCCCAACGGCTCCGTGCTCACAAAGTGGGCAGACGACGGCGGAGGAGCCGAAGGATGGATTTTCCCGCGACTGCCAGGCTGACAAAGATAGACTGTGCATTTGCGGGGCAGGGCAGGATATGCGGCCACACGCAACAGCGAATAGGAAGAGAGAAGACACAGTACATGCACGTACCGAGTAAGTAGAGCAGTTTCAAGGGGAGTAGGGAGCCAAGCCGGGGGGGGGGAGGATGGGCAAGGAGATGTGGCAGACGGCGAGAGGACAGCATATCAAACGGGTCAAGGACAGGGCTGGCAGTGGCTATGCAATAAGGAGGAGACGAAGAAGAAGCACTTACGGTGATCTCGGCATACGGCTGCAGCGGGAAGGCAGCAAGCTGGGTATTGTCTTCGTCTGCAGCAACGAGAGCAACGGGGTCCTGTGATGCCACACGTAGAGACAGCTGCTGACAGCCTGCGGGAATGCCGGTAATGGGCTCGAGGCGGGTCTTGAGATGGGCAATTGACCATGCCGGCGAGATTCGACGCTCAGAGGACGAGTTGGGGGAGCTAATGAGAAGCGGCACGTCTGCCGCGCTTTGAAGAGACATGATGGCCAGCAGCAGCAGCAGCAGCAGCAACAGCAGCGGCGGCGAGCTAGGCAGGCTGGCGAGAGTGCAGGAGTTAGTAGAGCGAGATGAGGAGCGAGGGGAGCGCCAATGGTATGGCGGGCGAGGCTAAAAGCGGTTATGCGAAAGCAAGTGCAAGCAGCAGGAAGCAGCAACCGCAGTGCTGGCGTGCTGGCAGCGAGCGAACCCAGTGGGGGGAGGGGGGGATGGATGACTTGTCTGGTCCTGACAGGTGACCCGCTGGTAATGCGGGCTGGGGGTGCGTGAGTTGGAGTAGTGCAGAAAAGAGACATTGGATAGGGCTGTGGGCGTGCAGAATGGCCGGATCGGGAATGTGAAGCGAGCGCCAAGCGCCGCGACTCCAACTTGAGTGAATGTCTCTGAACACATGACGAACGCCCGTTGCCCACGCCGACCCCACGCGCTCGTATCACTGCTCTCGTCACCGTGGGAGCTGCAGCGACGATCCCGCGCCATGCGTTGGCAATGTCTCTGCGCGGGTCACTCGGTCCAAGAGGCGCTCTGCTGTGCAGTCGAGGAACGCGCGCCAATGCTCGTCGGCTCCGATTGCCTGGCCGAAACCATGGCTTGTTCAGCCAAGGCAGAGCCATATTACGCCGGCACTGTCTTTCTTTACGGACGGACGGGCGTCGAGGGCAGAGGCGCCGGCGTCTGGTGTGTAGTAACTTACATTGGTACCTATACTATATGATAAATGGAGTGGTCAAGAAAAGCAGCCGGCGCTTGCACTCGGCTCACCGCTCCCCTGTATGCCCATGCCCAAGTGGTCCAAGTATACTTAGTTGGGTGTAGTATGTAGGTACTTACATTATATATAGACAGACGAGGTTAGGATTGTGCTGCGCCGACAGATTGACGTGTGCATCCGCATCGAGCCAAGAAAGCGGCCAGCCAGACAAGACATGGCGGCTGTGACACGGCGGAGCCAGGCGTATATGTTCACACATGCTTGGTTAGATGGTGACTTTGTCAACTATGTACAAGCGTCGACGCCTACCAACAGGGACACGGTGGGTTATTAGAGAGCATGGCAGGCCCAGACTGTCATGGGCTTTATGGTGGGAATCTGATTATGGCATGCCGGACCGGTGCAGGCAGGTAATGCAGCATCCGGCAGAGGGCAGAAGCGGGTGCTTCAAGTATGTCGCCGATGAAAAGCCCTTTTTTTCCCCTTTGACTCGAGCGTTCACGGACGCACGGGGACGCTGTTCATGGCTAATGCACGTCTAAGCCCGTCCCCAAGTGGCCGTGACCGTGGCCGAGAAAGAGAGGGGGCGTGCTCTATCTGTCTCCGCCAACCTCACAAGTGGCCATCCGTGAATAGCAAACCAACAGCCTACTGTGCATGCACGGCTCAAAAAGGCAGGCCTCACCGCTTAATGCGCACCATCCGAACCCTTGGCCTGGCAGCGAGGCAGCGAGGCAGTGATGCAATGGAGCATGGCTACGGACGTGTTCTGGAGGGGGGGCGGCGCACGCAGATATGACCTGGCAGTGCGGCGCCTCGTCGTCGTCGTTGTTGTTGCTGTCGTTGTCGTTGTCGTCGTCGTCGTATGTTTGCATTGGACTGCACTGTACTGCACTGGATGAGATGGGATGGGGTGGATGGATGGATGTCGTCGTATAGTATAGAACAGCACAACGTGGCTCTCTCTCTGCTGGGCACGAGACCGAGCAGGACGACAGCACACAGCACACAGCACCCAGCACCCAGCCAACGGGCAGGGCCAGGTGGAATACGGGTCAGGCCGAAGCAACGACGGCTCTGAGAGCGTGCAAGCTAGACGTCACGCCCATGGCATGGCCGGCAGTTCACCGCAGTTCACCGCTCCTCTGTGCAGGCCATGGCATGCTTCTAGTGCATCGCCGGGCGCTCACAGCCCACAGTGGGGAGGGGCTTGACCGGAGCCGTCGAGGCAGATATTGCAGGGCGTGGAGCCACAGTGGCCGTTGGCAGCCCTCGGGCGTGAACACATCACCATGTATGCACCGCTACAATGAAGTCAGCCGTTCGCAAGGCTTCGGTAGCGACGCGTCTGGCGTCAGAGATAGCCGGAGCAGGGCGAGCATGCTGCAGATCTTCCATGTCATGGCGCTGGACCTCGTCCGAACCCGAACCGTCTGCGCGAATCCCTGAGGCTGTTCACCGCTTGTGTGTCGCCTTGATTCGCTGCCTTGGCCCTCCGAGGCCAGCGCTGCAGGAAACACGCCCCGGATGCTGCCATCTTGGTCGACGATCGTGGCCGTGACTGTGTGAGCAGTGAGGACGAGCAGGAAAAAAGAGGAGCAGCACACCAAACACCCCTGCTCCATGCTCCCTGCTCCATGCTCTATGCTCCATGCTGCCTCTTCTGCAAACGCCGCCCTCGCCGCCCTCGCCGCCCGCCCGCCAGCCCTGTCTTGGGCACGCGCATTGAGGCCTGACGAAACGAGAGGGCAGCAAATGAGACCCAGCACCGGCCGTCCGAGGCGTGCCAGATACGAAGGCCATGACTGCCGCCGGGTGGAGAGAGTGGACGACGACGGACGGGCTGGTTCGTTGGTCAACGGCGCCTCACCCACCACGCAGGCAGGGAAACGCAAGGCAAGCAGATGCAAATGCAAATGAATGCAAAGGACCCCCTCCCAAGACGTACGCCCGAGACCCAAGACAGGGCGAGCAAAGTGCAAGCACACACACACACACATACACACACATGGGCAAAAAGGCCGGAGTCAGAGCCGGAGTCAGAGCCGGAGCCAGCGCCATAGCCAGCGCCAGGGCAAAAGAAGGAGAGAGAAGGGCATAGTGCTCTTCTAGCAGTAGTAACAACAGTAACAACAACAAGGTAAGACGTCAAAAAAGAACAGACAACTAAGTAAACTACTCCTCCCACCACGCAAGACACGTCATCCTAGCGCCTCTGCCAGCGAGAACGGGTGTCGTGCTTCTTGTGTCAAGCTAGCTGCTCTAGCTGCTAGCCCCAATCCGCAATTTGGGCCTGAGGGGGAGCGACTGTCCTTTTTCTTCTTGGGCGCTCGCTAAAATCTCCGGCAGACATGCTTCCTTAGATCAGATCAGCTCTGGTTTCGTCGTGGTCTGTGGGTCGTTAATGTGGCGCGCCGCCAGCACGAGTCGACAAGGCGTCAAGCGCACAGGTAGTCAGTCAAGTCACAGACGCAAAGGGTACATCCTGATCCCAAGCCCCCGGAATCCCTATCCCTACCGCGGACGATGATGCGGCGCCAGCCAGGGCCTCGCAGGGATGCCTGTTATTAGTATTACAGTTGCACGCTAACTCTCTCTACTCGCACATCCATGCTCGACAAAGTACCTCAGACCCTCAGACCCTACTTCGCTCCTACCAGACCGCATCCACCATCCCTCCAACGCTATCCTCCCCGACCTGCTCGACCTGCAAAAGTCAGTGGCTCAGCACGACCGTCACTCATCAGACCAAGTGGTTGGCCTGTTTCACCCCCTGCTCCCCGGCCCCGACCCATCTCCCAAATAGCTCGCGACTCGATCGACCACTTAGAGCGTCAATCATCCACTGTACCTCACAACTGGTTAACTGGTTCCCTCTTCGGCACATTTAGTCTATCCGAACCTCACTCCTCTCCTCACGCCTGTCCTCTCCTGTTCATCTCCCGCCCACCCACACCCCCCCTCCCCATCCCCTCCTTGTTGTTGTGTTTACCCATCAACGTCACCTCACCTTAGCAACACTACGCAATCTTGTGCATAGTCTTCCGTCATTACCTTGGTTGGCTCTTTGCATCTACTTTGCTTTGCTCCTACCTACCAACACACACATATACACGCATACACACGCACACGCACACGCACGCACACACACACACAACCGCAAATCACTACCAGGAAAACCTACTACTCGTTGTCGTCATCGTCGGCAATCTTTAGAATCATTTGGTGGAGGCCCGGAGACGTACAACGTAAAAACCTAACATTAGCTTATGGGCTGGCGTAACGCTGGTCCTTTTCGTTCATCCTGGATATCAATCTCCTTCTCGAGCCCCGCGCCCGGGGCTCCGAGTCACCGGCCAGCAAGAAGAGCTCAGTATCTAATGCATCTCACTCAACCGGAGCTACACGGGGATACACAACCGCACCCTCAGCCTACACACAGTCGCCGGCGCAAAGAGCATCGCCCGCATATGCAACTGGATCGCCGGGCTACGCCACTGCACCACAACACTATGCTCCCATGGCTGCCTACCCCCAACAGGCACCAACATCAGCTCCCAAAGGATCCGCACCAATGCTAGGAGGACCCGTTCTACCCGCCATTGCAGAGCTTCACCGACGGAATGAGTCTGCGCCACTTCCTCAATTCCGCCAACTCTACACAGGACCCCATGGACCCACACCTGCACACAGCGGCCCAGCAGCTACTAATGTTTCTCCTCCATCAACACTGAAGCGTCAGGCATCCCAAACCCCACTCCCTGACGAGAGCCCCGCTAAGAAACAATCCAAATGGACTCCTGAAGAAGACAATCTAACAATAGAACTGCGGGGCCAAGGCATGAAGTGGGATGACATTGCAAAACGACTTCCCGGCCGGAGTTCCATCTCATGCCGGCTGCGATACCAAAACTACCTGGAGAAGCGAGCCATCTGGGATGAGGAGAAGAAGAACAAGCTAGCACGACTTTACGCCCGGTACGTACATTAGAAAGAGAGAAAGAGAGAGAGAGAAAAAAACGACTAGGTTTTGACTTATTTTGGACGGCCCCGAGAGGCTGGCGGTGAATGTTTTTTTGGTTTGTTCGGTCAGGCTGGCTGCATGCAAAAGACATCTCACACACACGTGCGACACTGCTCGGGCGAGGAAAAAACAAATACTGACTTTTTTTGGGAAATAGATTCAAGGACCAGATGTGGCAGAAGGTTGCTACCGAGATGGGTATTCCCTGGCGTTCAGCCGAATCCATGCACTGGCAGTTGGGGGAGCAGGAGATGAGTGCGCGCGCCAACGCGCCAGTGTTTCAGCTCCACCCATCTGCAACGGGAACAGGCATGAGCTCGCCATCGCAGGTGCCTGTCATACCCGCGTCTGCACCCCATGGCTTTACTCCTGCAAACGCAGCTCAGTTGATGCCAAACCCACCGCCGATGCCACCGCAGCTTCACCAAGCACCGCCGGCGCCCATGGCCCAAGGCCCAATACACGGCTACCACCATCGCACAGACAGTGGCTCCAGCGCCGGTGGCAGTGGTGGTGGTGGCGGCGGTGTCGTCGGCGTCGGACGCAGGCGCAACAGCTCCTTCAGCCGGCGACGAGCAGACGCTCGTTCACGCTCGAGCGTACCCCCTCAACTCGGCCAACCTCTCCCACAGATCCAACCGCGATCCGAAGAAGACCTAGTGAGCGGCGCGCGAACCGCACCCGTCCCGGACATGGCGGGGTCACTGAAACGAGAGGGCGAGAGCCTCAGCTACATGGAGCATTACCAACGGCGGCGCCAGCAAGAAGAAGAAACGGCTTCCTCGGCCCCAGCTTCAGCTACCTCTGCACCACCCCCACGATCAGATCCTTCGGACATGATGCAGCAGCAGCAGCAGCAATCGCAACACCAACCCCACTCGATGCGCAGCCCAGATCGAATGTCCCAACACAGCAACGCAGGCAGCATCCACAGCCTCAAACGCGACCCGGAAGATAGCACCGCATCGGATCGCCGCTCCCTCGCCTCGCCCTATGAGCGTCCTACCTCCACCGTGCCATGATCTCTCCCTCACATTTGTTCCAGTTTGAAGCGTTCTTTTCCCTCTGTCTCTCTCTCTCTATCTAGCATCACTGCGGTGTTTTTGTTTTTTCACACACACATATACATTGACGCCTCTCGAACGAATCTTCTTTTTTTTCAACCTATAGATCTTAAGAAACTCTCCTTTTTGTTGTTGTTATTGTTGTTGTTGTTGTTTGTCATTCACTCTCTCTCTCTCCCCCTTTCCCTTCTTTCCTTCACCCCTCCTCACTTCTCCCTCCCTCTTTTTTTTTCTCTTACCAAAAATGGCCCTCAGGCTTGGGGATTTTTTTGTTATAGACTTTGTTTTTTTTCTGCTTGCTTACTTTGCGGGGGGAGGGAGGGTTTGAACTTATGGATGTTTATATTATGTATACACACGCCCCCCTTTTTTTTCTTTCTTTCTTCTTTGCGCAATGGGGGAAGGGAAGGAAAAGGGAAAAAAAGGAAGGAAGGGTGGGAGGGGGGGGTAAAGGGGATATACGAAAGACCAAACCAAATTTTTTTCGGGCCGGGACCGTAATAATGAAGGGAAAGGCGTACATGTCTCTTGTTTCTTTTTTGCTGGTCGGAAAGCTGGTGTGTGTATGTGTGAGAGAGAGGGAGGAAGGGGGTGGAAAATAGGAACATGGGGAGTTTTGGTTTAGAGAATTGTGTTTTTTTTTGTCTTTTCCTGGGAAGTCTCTTGTTTTTTTGGGGGGAGGAGGGAAGGGAAGGGAACAGAGAGAGGGAGGGGAGGAGGGGCAAAGTTAGGTGTTTAGGTATAGGCAGCATTTGGCGGGGGTGGGAGGGAGGGAAAGGCGTCATGAATACCCACTTTCTGTCTGTTTTGAAGAAAGAGAGAGAGAGAGAGAGAAAGAACGATTGTCTTGTTTGTTTGTCTTGTTTGTCTGTTTGTTATTCTTTCTTTCTTTTTTTCGGGGGGAGCTTTTTGAATTACTAGATGGATGAATGGATGGGATGGATTGGGATGAGGGAAACTGGGTTTTGGCTGGGGAAGGGAGAGAGAGAGGGATGTAGGTTGTGTGTGGGGGCTTGCTTCCTTGCTTTCCTTTCTTTACTCTTCTCTCTACTACCCATACCCGAGCACGCCAAACCCTCTCTCCCCCGTTTTATGCGAAGATCATGATGTTCAATCTTTCTTTTCATTCTTCTATGGCATTTAGCGTGGGATTGTTGCTGTTTTTTTGGTCCTTTTTTTTCTTTTTTACAACTCGTACTTCTAGTTGTGTGGATGATACACATTACGCAAGTCTCTTTTTTTTGGGAGGGTTTCTTCTTCTTGCTTACTATCATATCTCCTTTTTCTTTCTTTCTCTCTCTCTCTCTCTCTCTCTCTCTTCCAATCATCTATATGGTTTACTTGCTCTGTTTAGTCATGGTTTCCCCCCCCCTTCTCCGTTCTTTGTTTTGCTTCTTGTTTTCCTTTTTCCCTTACAAAGCGACTTTACTTACACGATTGCATTTCGTTATCGTTCGGTGGCATTGCGGGGGGGAACATCTCCTGTTAGCGTTTGCTTGGGGGAGGGGTTTTTTTCCTTTTGTCTTGTTTGCATGCATATGGAAAGAGGTTTTGTTCATGCAGAGAGAAAAATGCGCGTCTGGTTCTCCCGCCTTTCCCCATCCCCCCCTTTTTTTCCCCCAACTGTGGGAAAGTTGTTCGTTCTGCGGGCATAGGCATCAAGGGTGGGGTTTTAGAACATTTTGCCATAGCGTGGTTTTTTTATGGATCAACGGGTAGGTTTTACACGTCTCACGTTTTGGAATTTGCGTTTCTGTTTCATGGGCATTTTCTTTTATGTAACTAGACTTTTTTCTTTGTTTTTACGTTCTTACAGATATATATACGCATGCTGCAAAAAATGGTATATAACTTATCATGTTTCTTTGCGAAAAAAAAACGACACAACTTGTTTTGAGAAACAATCATGTTGGCTTCGCATGGCACACAGGATATGGAATGGAAAAGAATCAGTCGTAGAAACACACTTCCAGGACCAACTCCCCCCCCCAACAACAACAATTGCAAAGTACCATGTTCACTCAACAAAGTTCAATGACATGCTCAAGCGATCAAGTTTTTTTCCTTCTTGACACGTCCACCCCGGCCAACTGTATGTCGTCAGGCATTTCCCTTGCTTGCAGAGCAGGGAGGGGGAGGGGGGGGGGCAAACAGAAATGTGGCGGTGAACATGGACACATAACCGTCACACCCACACGCACACTGAAGAGAACAAGACGCGGTAAGGTTCGTTTCTCGTCTACCCCAGAATGGCCCTTGCTGGGTCTTGGGCCCCAAACTAAGCGGTGCCGATGACGTAACAGCGGCGCGATGCAAGTCTCAAGAAGTCGGTCAAGCAGCGTCTACGTGGCCAGCGCTGGAGGGGTTTGGTGTGCGTGAGAATGTGTGTGTGTGAGTGTAGAGGGGGGGGGGGTAGCTGCGCTGTCACCGTTTCCAATGAAGCAGGGGTGTGGTGGGTTTGCGCGCAGCCAGGGCAGTTTACTTCTAGAGGCGACGACGACGACGAAATTTTTTTTCCGACGCCAACATCAGAAAGTGTGTGTGTGAGAGTATGTGTCGAAGGCTTTCCCGACGTGTTTGGGGTGGTCAGGTCGGGGAGGGGTGTTGCAGCTAGGAAATTGGGAGGAGGGTGTCGAGTGCGTTGGCCAGTGGACTGCAGACAGGGCTCTTAGCACTGGAGACATGTGAGGGGCTAGTGATTGGGCAGGCGTGGTGAGCAGAATGAGAACAAGTGCGGGTTGCATGAACGGTTCGCTGTCCTTGCATATGGTGGCTAAGGGTTAGGCTATTTTGGGAGGGGGGAGTGGATGGGAGAAGTGGTGTGTTGGAGGATGCATGTGTGGGTGCATGTGTGGATGCATGTGTGGATGTGGGAGTGGGTGTATGTGTGTGTGTATGTGTGTGTCATGGTTCTTGCAGAGGGTGTTCAGCCCCGCAAAAGCAAAGATTGCACGGCTGGTCTTGCGCGGCCCTGCCATGTTTGACCCGTGTAGGGCTGGCTTATCGATAGCAGAAATCAGTCCGCCCTCCCACGCCCGACTGGCTGACGGACGGACTGGCTGACGGACGGACTGGCTGACGGACGGACTGACTGACTGACTGACTGACTGACTAGCTGACTGGCCTTGGGCGACGACTTGCTCGCTCGTCATCCCATGTTCCATCAGACCACGCTTGTTTTGTTTCCTTTTAGTCTTGTTCTGGTTCTTGTTCTTGTTCTTCGGCGACGACGACAACGACGACGGCGACGGCGATGACGGCGACACCTTGTTTCTTCTTCGTTCCCCCTTTCTTCCTCGTATCCCCTGTTCCTGCTCGCTTCCTCGCTTCCTCGCTTCCTCGTCTTCCCCCCAACCCCCTCGTATGCCATGGCCAACGCTGCTGGGGCCCAGCGAGGCACAAGGCACAAGGCTGATGGATGCCATGGACCGTCGGTTCCCGCCCTCGCCCACGGTCGGCGGCTGTGAACGGGCTTGAAACAGGCTAGCCGACAGGCCCAGGGCAGAGTTTGTGCCCCGGGCGTCAGGCCATGGACTCTTGTGGCCGGCTTGGGAGTTCTTTTGTTCTAGAAGGCCGCTAGCATGACAAGTGTGGATGTCCCCAAGTGTGTGTGTGTGTGTGTGTCCCCAACCCCCCTTGCACGGCATACCCGTCACCCGCTCCCCCAGCCGTCGTCGTCACACAACCTCAGGCATAACCAAACGCACACACCCACACCAATCCCACCGTCAATGCATGCAACATGACGCCAGAAGACGGCCGACCTACAACTTGCGACGGCTTTTGCTTCGCTCCTCTCAGCTCTCCTGTCGCCCGTCCTGGCCTCTGGACGCCCTCGACGCTGCTTGCTGACAAAACTGTTTCCCCCGGCTTAGCCCTGCATGCGCCCAGCACTGTTCGCATGATCCGAACCACCAGCTGCCAGCCTGTGTGTAAACGCCCGCTGCCGCCGCCGCCGCCATCTGGATGCTTGGCGCCCCGACTTTGGGTGCATGGTGAAGTGGTAGCGTATCGTCGCAGCAGCCGCCTGGGTATGGGTATGGGTATGAGCATGAGCATGTACACCTGCTACTGCTATATCTATGCGTGGACGTGCACCCTGCGTATGGTCCAAGACAGACGTACTTACTCTACTTACTCTCTCCAACTAAGTAAGCAAGCTGGCCAGGCCACCAACCACCCATCCACCCATCCACCACCATGACACCACCATGACACGGCTTTTCTTCCCTGGGCCTTCGAGAAGCCTTCCTATCTAGGCATCCTTGAATTTCCCACCTGTTCGCCAACTGCGACTCATGCCACCGCTGTACATGACGATACCCTTTCACTGCACGCCCAGCCTCACCACCGCCTCTTCTCCTCCAGCCCCGCCATGGCTTCCCTTGCCTCGCTAGCCAGGGCGTTCCCGTCCAGCCTACCGCACCTTTTTTTTTCTCCCTCGCATCCATCACATGACCATCACCTGGCCCCTTGCACTCACACACAACCCATCCTCGTCCCTGTGCCTGCAATCCTCCCTTTTTTTTCCTCCCTGCCCTGCTTTTGGCTTCGCGGCCATGGTCCCGCTCGCCGGTGGATGGATGGATGGATGGATCCAGCACGCGACTTTCTGATCGCCCGGGACCGCTGATCGCTGCCTCGGACCCAAACCCACCAAGGGGCATCCCAAAGCCGTTCCATGTCGCAACCACTGCCATGCCCACCAGTCATGAACCATGGCTCCAGATGCCCTCCCCACCCACACGTTTGCTCTCTCTCCCTTCTCCTCCTTCCATCGTCAGCCCTTTCTTCGCGCTCACGCTAGCGCTCAAGCGGAAGCTCGTCTCAGGAAACATGCACCCGTCATCCGTTCAATTTCGGCACTGCAACGGGCAAATTTTGGCCTGCACCCAGCCCTGTTGTCCACGCCATGCCCGTTCACCCACTGCCTGGGTGCCCCCAAAAGCACACCGTTGCATCGCCGTTGCCGCCTACCCTGGAACATGACCTGAAGCGTCGCAGTGCATGCTTTTTGCTCGATAAAACCCATCCAACAATGGCATATTGAGTCGCGCCCGCCTCACAACTCCCCGAGGCCCCCCGGCGTGCCACTTGCATCAAAAACCACGACTCGTTCGGCACAATGCAATGGGGGGGGAGGTTCGCACTGAATTTCTTTCAGGCCCTGCCCGGCGTATTGCAGCCGAAACAGTCTTTGTGCCTTACATGCTACACTGGCCCCACGTCCTCTGCACTAGACTATCAATAACTCAAAGGACCGCGCTTGCCCAAATATCGCCGATCAAGTAGTTCGCTGCCAGTTCATCGGAACTTAATCAGGAAGTTAAACGCTTAACTCGCCGAATTCGTTCATGCCCCCAAATTCGCGCACCAACACCGCGATTCATGCCGGATACCACAGCTAGCATTCCCTATACACAACAAAACATGTCGTCAACGGCGTCGATAGGCCCAGACTAGGAAATCCACGACTGCCATAATTGTCTGACCGTCGTCAGAGGGGGTTACCCTTGTGACGAACGACATGATGAGACAGCAGCCGGCACGTATGTTTGGGGAGTGGGTTTTTTTAGGGCTGTGCGGCCTCAGAATCCAGGCGGAAACTAGCCATTTCGCTCGTTGAAACTAACAAGCGACAACAATTCAAATACAATCTTCCAATCTGATGAACAAGGGAACCCACGGGACTTCAGCTCCACTAACATAACACAAAACCTATCCATTTTTTAACATGATTGTAGTTTCATCGATCCACCATTTATCCTCTATGTTTGTCGTAGTGTCCAGTTGTTCCATAGAGGCGGTGTCACGCAGCGCCACCAAACCCGCACTACCTTCAAGCCACAACAAGGTCAAGTTAGTATGACAATTCCCCCCAAGGTTCCGCCTCAAGACGCGCCCCGGTCACCTGGCTCTCGCTTCGTAATCTATCTTTTGGAGGGCACACTTGCAAAATCTCTCTACTCTGCTAAGCCCAACAAGCGTCCTACTACTTCCCTTTCTCGGCGCCGTCACGTCTGTCAATCTCCATCTTCACCGGAAAGACAAAAACTACGCCAGGAACGTTCATGTAGTAGTAGGTCTGCGTGATGCAGGGCCCCCGCCCGCCCCCGGCCCATCTGTCTACACCGCTTCTCACCGCCTTGGAGCTAGAAGGACCTCACCTTTTTTTTTACTTTACTTGCACTTTCCATGCGTTTCTCTTGCATGCTCTCTCCACTAAAGCTGGAAACGATACCCTCGCTACCGGAATTGCCCGTTTTTGTGTCACGTCGATGTCACTCTGCTGCTAGTTGCCGCTTGTGCATGTCATGCAAGGTCTTTGCTGGAAAGTTGGGGACGTACATATGTTGTGGCTGCATGTACTGTAGTATAAACTTGGTATTTTGATAGAGAGGCGTTGAGGCTGAGTTACACCGCCTTGGAGGTGTACACCGCTTGGATATTGAGGTGAGTGAGAAGAGTAGTATGCGGAATGTTTTGTAGTCTTCGTCTTTTGTGAAACGATTGAGTATCTGGTGTGATTCTTGGCTCCTGACCGTCTTCGTTGTTGTGTTTTCTCTCCATTGAGAACTTGGGTGATGGAGAAACGACCTCCATATTGATATCCTTGACGAGTAAAGTAGCATATAGAAAATGTCAAACTACACGTTAGACCACACGTCACTCCCACCGTATCCACCACTCCCCTATTCACTCTAAACTCTCATCTACATTCCCAACAAACAGCCACCTCACCACATTCATCTCAGCCCCCCTGCAAGCCAAATTCTCATTACACGACCAAAAGTCGAAATTGGCCTTTACACCCACAGCCACGTATCTCCTACATATTCTCCACATCTCAACCACCCTTGCTTGCTACTCTAACTCGGTTACACTTGCTTCCACTCTAGCTCGATTACACTTGCTTCGATCCCTACCTCGATCACCAATTACTCTAACCCTTATATCTAGAATCGGCAAAAGATACAGTCATCGCGAGGTAGTGGAGTAAGTAGCTATCCAACCAGTACCCCAGCCAAACACACAACTCATAGTCTGCACCATAAACTCACGATCTTGAATCAACAGCCCATAGAGGAGCGCAATGAGCAAACAACCCAACATCATCATTTGAATCATACCAGTCTACCATTTTTTTTACTCCCTTCCCCCCCCCCCCCCAAAAAAAAAACAAGCGCCTCATGTCAACAAGGATACCGGTATGATGAGATTTACTCTATAATCTAAACCCCTTCACCTCCTATCTTTCCTCTTTTTTTAAGGGGGGGTTAGGAGGGTTCTAAAGTTGTACATCTCCCTCTCTCTCTCTCTCCTAGACGCGTTAGGAATCCAGAGTGTTTTTACCACTATACTCTACTACTACGCAACCTCTACCACTGGTAACCACACACACACACACACATATATACAAACACACGCATGTACACACGCATGTAGCCTTGCACCACAAAGTACTAGAAGATCCACACACCGCAAACCTTTCCCACCATATGCACATTTCTAGCTAACGTGTGAATTATTCAATCATCAATCACTAAACCCTGCAGGAGAGCAGGAGAGCTAAGATAGATAGATAGACACATACAAGTGAAGCCCAAAACCCGCACATGTATACATCGCATTCAGGACCCCCCCCTCTCCCCACACGTGCGTACATATACCAAGAGGTCCGAGTGATGGATAGTGGGTTATGCTATATAAGTAAGGTGTAAGAGATACTCGCCGAGTGGATGTAGGGATGTAGGGATGTGGGTTGAAAAGTGGTTCGTCGATCCACTTGGCTGCGTTATGCGGAGGGAAAGGGAAGTGTCTGGAACATTGGGGGGAAGGAGGAGGATATGCATGTATGCTTCGATATGTACATGTGGAAAAAGCATGGGAGAAGGGGGAGAAGGGGGGGGGGAATGGTGTATGCATATGTAATGCATGATTGTTTTTGGAAGCTACTGTGGGAGGTGCGTGGACTCGCGTGGAGCGCTGTGTGTTGTTGTGTGGCAGGGAGGGTGAAGAAGAGATGTAGGCGTTTCAATGGAGCATGAAGGAGACGAGGTGTGTTGTTGTTATTGTTGTTATGAAGTGAATATGCATGCATGATGTTTGAATGCTGCGAGTCTCGTTATCCGATATACTGCTGATGCATCGCATGGGCAAGACAAAGTGGTTTAGAAAACAAGCCACGCTACTGACTGTGAAGGTGAATTGAAACTCCAGCCCATACCATGTTATGCTATGCTATCCCATGTCATACCCATACGATACCATACCATGCCAACCAAACCTTAAGCACCAGAAAGAAAACCCCCCCACCCAATCTACTACTACTCCTCAACATCCACAAACTTCTCCTTTGCCTGTGCAAAGAACACTCGGGCTGTTCCGGACCCAATGTTCCTGATACTATACGTATTCCCTAATGCAACGAATCAGCGAACAGTTTTCCTTAAAAAAATACCTCATGTGATGTATAAAGTGGGAAAACCAGCGGGAGCCAATCAGCGCGCGAAACGCGGTATAATGTGACCGGCAAGCGCGTCAAGAGCGCAAAAACAGTCACAACAACGAACAACGCGAAGTGATGGATAAAAAAAGGGGTGACATAGGCGAAGGGGGCTGAAATGAAAACGGGGCTGCGAGAGGAAAAAAACTGGGGTGGTGGCTGCAAAGCCAAAGAAACAACAGCCAAAGACGTTCCTCTGTTCCGTTGCGTTGTTGAAGAAGAGGTAGAGAGGTCCCACACAACGCGCGCGGTAGCCGCCTCAAACGACAGGTACTTGCGTTTCGCGCAGCAGCGAGCAGTCGAATCGGAGGAAAAGGTCCAGCCAAGCCGAGGGCACAGCAACGCTACTCGCCGTCTCCAAATTCGAGGGAGGGTAAAACGCAGTATGCAAGTGAGGTACCCACGCAGGCCCCATGCACCACGCACACAACGGCAGTAGCTCCGCACGTGATGAGAATAGGCGCCCTCTCGCTTGGCCCCCACATGATGGGACCCGCTCGCTGCTGCTGCTATGTGTTCCTGGGGACCGTGTGACGTTGCAGGGCAGGAAAGAAAGAGAGCGCGTAAGTGTGAAGGGGAAAAAAGTGGGCGTGCGTTGTGTGCCAATGTGCATCACAGTTGCTCTAGCGTCGAGCGTAAAGTGACGGCGAGTTGTGCAGAACGCGCAAAGGGCGGGAAAATAAATATTAAAAAAAGAACGAAACAGAACTACTCAAAGGAACAATGTGTGGGGAAACGACTGAGAAAGGAAGGAGATAAAAGTTAAACGTACCTCGAGGCACTTGCCAGATGCCATGTTTGTGGATCGTGAATTCATTCTCGTGAACACGGACCTCGACAGTGCCCGATTGCACATTGAAGACCATGTGCATAAATCGCGAGTTCTTTGTGCGCTTCATCTGGTCAGGACCCAGCTCAATGAGTCCCCAGTTGAAAAAGGAGCCGCTCGAGCCAATCTTTGCGAATTTGAATCCGCCGTCGCCGACTTCTCGCGGTTGGATGCCCTTCTCCGCCCATGCAATATCTGTGATCAAAAAGTTAGCAAAAAAAAAGACTCATTGTGCCTGCATAAAAGTGAACTTGCCGTCTTCAATAATCTCATCAGAGGCACTGTTAATGACCGGGTCGTAGCCTTTGTAGTTGCCCACGAGCCTGCCCTCTTTCTCCTCCCAAGGATCCAGCTCAATCTCTTCC